GGCACTCCCTTGCTCGTCTCACTTGGGCTTCCATATCATCTCTCTCCAGAGGAGAGAAACTGTTGGAGAGCTCCTATTCCATTAGCTGACCACGACTTCTGGCCCCTTTCCTAACAGAGAACCAATCACCTCCTCTAGGTACTAGGGACGCCTCTCCTAATGTGCCCCTGAGCAAGGTCTCCTCTAATACATCATTTATAAACACCTCTCCCTCCCTAATACGTGGCCAGTCGCTCACTAAGGCTGACCACTTCAGTCTTGAGTGAATCTACCAGTTTGCAGTTAATGCAGATGAATCAATTCAAAACCTGGGCCTGGAAGGCAAACATCTCGCAACTTTGGCAACACACAAAGTATTCAATTGTTATATACGTTATATGAGAAAAAATGTTTTCTCACCTGCACCTCTTTCCCCCTCTGTACTGAATTCCCACTCTCACCAAATTCCTTAACAGAATTCTCACTCTGTTCCACCTCACTCAGTTCCCTCCTCACAATGCCTGGCTCTCTGCTCAAGTGACTCATCCACTCCAGATGAGTCACTGAGCCCTTTTCCCTTAGAATAATTATAGTAAACCCCCATCCCCCGGTTCGGAGTCAGGCTCCGCCACTGTTAAGTGCTCTGAGATGCTACACTGCGTGGAGGGTGCAATATAAGTACAAGTTGTTGTTGTAAACTTTTAATAGCTCATCACTCCAATGGGGTTTACTGTAATTATTGTAATAACAATAAATCTCTTCATTATTTGAATCTTTAAGAAAAATATATTTTATTGAAGAGTTCATTTTATATATTGAGCTGTTTGTGCACCAAAGAAGCTTTCCTACAATGCAAAACAAACACTATTTGAAATAATACTGTTTTTTGAAACAATGATAATTATATTTGATATTAAGATTGCATAGAGTTAGTTTGTTTACAAAAGCGTGCCTTGTAGCTTGTTTCAATAGAGGCATCTCTGTGATTTTATAGATTGATAGGGTGAAACAGAAATAGTTTGGGAGTATTAGTAATAAGTATCCACCCTAAGAAGGTTTATTTAGTCAATCTCACGTCAATCTACATGGATTTAGCTTAGAATGAAAGTCTTATTCCTGTACCAAATAGAGGATCAAATCCTTATATGCTTTAATTTTGCAGCATAACGGACAAAATGATTTCTGAAATGAAGTACCTCATGGTCTCTCTTGGTTGCATTTGAGAGATGAAATTCTTGTGCCCACAGGACTGGAGTCATTATGAGTTTAAATGTTGTAGCATAGTAAATGTTAAAGAGTAAATAGAAAGAAGGACATTTGCATTATATCTTACTTACATAGAGGTTGATTCGGAAATGTGCTTGTAGGGAGAGAGAGGTGACTTAGAGATCGACCTGCTTGAAATGAACCAGAACCTCGTCTCTAAATTCCACTGACAGATTTATCAGTTGGGACGGAAACTGGCCCTGTATGTGCGTCAGCTTGTCATAAACTCACTGAATGTTAGTATGGATTAGGTCATGGTCTTATCACTTTGTTACACTGGTACATTCCACAGTATTTTTCTTCTGAGCCTGATATTTTCATAAATGTAAATATTCAACATATAACTGATTGTGTACTCGAGCATGTGATCAATCAGCTGTTAATATGGTACATTCAGTGCTGTGTGCATATAGCATGTCCATGGCTTCTGGATTTCCAGAGCTATTGAATTGGGAGTCAGCCGCAGAAATCAACTTTAAGGTTTGATCCTATGCAATGTGAATGTAGGATATGTGATTCAGAACATGACAATTTAGCAAATACAGTATTGAGAAACAGAAGGGATATAATATAAGGTTTTATATGAAATTTTGCAGTCAGGAAGGGGAGATAAACCATAAAACTAGAACAATTTTATCATGCATAATTTTAGTAATGGGGTAGGCAATTAAAAACTCAGACGCTTTTCCACAGGTTTTGCTTAAACTTATAAAAATCCCACGTGTGAATATTGTTAAGTAAAGGTGGCAGAAGGGTGGAGTTTGATTATTTAAATTCTCTTGTACTTTGGGCTTCATCTGCCATCAAACAATCAACTAGTTTTCTTTCTGCCATAACGATACTATACTGTAGAAGGACATTGAATAAATTGTTTACATTTTTACAAGTACAAGAGCCTTCAAAGACAAATACAGATTATTTAGTTTCCCTCCCTCCAAACCCCCTCCACCCCTCCGAGTGAATGGTATTGACATTTGATTTTGATCATTGGTATATTTTCTTTCATTAGTCAAATGCAAAAATCTTCTTAATTGACAGTTTCCTTCCTGTTGAATTAAACTGACAACATTGTGTGTGTGTGTGTGTTAATGAAACCTCAGGGAGTTAGTTCAAAAGCTGTTCACCACAGTTTACAAACAGTTTACAAGCTGTGGGGTACTCTGACAAATTATGGGCTCTGTCTGGGTTACGGGTTATTTATTAAAAAAGGCAAAATACTGCAGATGCTGGAAATCTATCTTCTATCTATACTAATAAAACAACAATGTCTATGTGTCTGCCAAGATCTCAATAACCGATTGACAAAGAGATATCAATTATACCTCATCTGATATCAATTATACCTTGCATTTGGGAATGTCATGGGCATGTTTCGGGGTCTCCTATCGTTGACGAATTATGACCTAAACAAGCTCATCACACAGTTTTGTGCTGCAGTTACACCTGGTTCCTGCGCTGACTCACAGTGGCACTGTGGCATCGTGCGTCACAGAGCACGTACGAGCGCAAGCATGCAGCATGCACACGCTCAGATGAAGCCAAGCGGCGGGAACAATATAAACATGCCTAAGCGAACATCGAGCCTTTCAAGTACAAATAAAAATGTCAGGCAAAAGAAAGAAGGCTGATTAAATGAAACTGAAGAACAAAGAACCGCACGGCTGCGTTGCAATAATTTGAGGATCTGCTGGATCACACATTAAAACCCTTCGGTTAGCGTAGCTTTGATAAGATCTTATATCATTCATGAGCTGTGACCCTTTGATAGGGTATTCTATCTTTCATGAGGTATGACCCAAACAAGCTCATCGCACATGTATGGCAGTTTTGATTAAGTTGTACACACAGTGTTTGTGGCATGTTAAATGGTTGGTGAGTGGTATCACTGAAATCTACATTCCATATTGGATCCTTTGGCTGCAAGCATAGCTGGAATGGCTACAGCTAGTATTTAATAACAATAGAAGTCACTGGGATCACTCAGCAGGTTAGGCAGCATCTTCAGGGAGAGGAAATAGATGTGCGTGTGTTAAACAAACCTCAGCGAGTTCAAAAGCTGTTCACCACAGCTTACAAACTGATTATTCCCTGCAGTATACACTGACAATTATGGGCTCAGTCTGGGGGTTGGATTTGGGAGTGGGGATCAAAGGGAGTGGGGTGGGAAGATGACCGAAGACTCAGTCAAAGAGAAAACCTTGAGACGGACATTGAAGGAGCCGAGGGAATAGGCAAGATGAAGGGTCTCCGGGATAAAGTTCCCGAAGGTGGGGCATGAAGGCTAAAAGCCCAATCACCGGTGGTGGGACACGCAGGATGCCAGACGTGAAGACGACCAGTGTTTGCCGAACGGAGATAGTAGGATTAGGGTTAGATAGGGTTTTAAAATGTCATAGAGGTTGGGGTACCCCGCAAGTGACCGGGTGAGAGTGGGAGGAGAAGCCGTTTGTGCAGATGTATTGCTGGTGGTTTGTGAGGTAGGACTCGAATCAGGCGAGTTCGGTCCCACTGAGGTGGATGACGGAGGAAAGCTGGTGGAGGAGGATGGCGTGATCGCCTGTGTCGAACGTGGCGGAGAGATCCAGGAGGACAAGGAGACAGAGGGAGCCCTGGTCACAGATAGAGAGGATGTCGTTTGTGACTTTCACAAGCGCAGTCTCTGTACTGTGAGCAGGGCAGAAACCAGACTGGAGGGGTTTGAAGAGGGAATGGGAGGAGAGGTGTGCGCAAAGTTGGTTTGGGAAGTTCACAGGATATACTGCAAAGTGAAGCGACTGCATTTTGCATGTACAAGGCGAACTTGTACATCAAACAGTATCACACAAATAGCTACGAGTTAAATGCCCTGGACAATTATTGGGCAGGAAACTTGCAGACACTGACTTGTATGATTTAATATTTTAATGTCCTTCTGTGGATCAGACAGATTGGAATTTTCCCCTCAGTTTGATGTCTCATCTGAAACAAAGCATCTCTGACAATGATGCTTTTCTCTCAGGGCTACACTGGAGTTTAATTTTATTTATGATCTGCGTTTATCACACTCCTTTTCCCAACCTTTGCACTCAGCAAACAAAGGCCTACTGCACGTAGCCCCTGCTTTCACTCCTGAGTCTAGACCCTCTCTAGGGGTCTTTAAATCCCACCTTAAAACCCACCTTTATAACCATTCCTATGGTTAACTCCCCCTTTCTCGACGTCCAATTCAGTACTACAGTTTTTTGCCATTTAGTTTGCAATATTTAAACAGTTGTTGTTGTTATTGTTGTAAACAGGATTTGTGGGTTACACACACACACACCCATGCGCATAGATTAATGTTGTCAAATTGTTAAAAGAACCTGGAATATAAACTCAGATCCTGACATGGGGCTTCAATCCACAACATTTTAGTGTTGTTGGATTCAAGCAGCAATCTGCTAATGGCAAACTGTGCAGCTTGTATTCATGAATTCAATGTTGCCAACATTGGCGTGGACCATTCTTCCATTGCAACAGAGCCATCAATTTTATGAACATTTAAAATGTCAAAGTCCTTATATATATAAGCTAGATGTGCTTAGCCTTCTTTTCGTCTGAACACAAAACTTTGCTTTTCTAGTTTATGCACTGATAGTTAGAAAACCTGCATGAAGCTTGTTTTTGTATCCTAAACATCATTTCCCATTTAAATATTTCAATTTCTGTTGGTTTTCTGTGAGTTACAAGAGCCAGTTAACCTGTGATGCTAACGTTTGTTCCACTTATGACCTTAGGTATGAATGCTGCTGTCCGAGCTGTGGTACGCATGGGAATTTATGTTGGAGCCAAAGTCTATTTCGTCCATGAGGTTTGTTTTACATTTTAAATCTTTTGAAACGACACACACACACTTTTTATCCAGTTCAGCAATTCTGGTACTTACCGTTGGCTCGTTTCAAACTCTTCTCTCTTCCAGGGAGAGGGAGCCCAATCTCTTAATTGGGATTCTTGATGTTGGTTTGCTAAATTGCACACCATCAAGGCAACCTACTGTGGGATGCTAATAATAACAATAATCCTTGCATTTGATATAGCGCCTTCTCATGTCATTAAGACATCTCAAAACACTTCACAGGTTATACTGTATATTCTGTGGGTGAAACATTAGTATGCTAACCAATGCTCAGAATGTGTTTAGCCAGTAATAATATCACCTGTTTTCATCTGCATTCTGTTTCTCTATTACGAAACCCAATGATTTTGTTTTTTGCAGCAGCTTTAAGCTATGATAAGGAATTCAGTTTTTTTTCTGTAATACCTGTTCAAACCATTTTCCTAATTGATGTATTGCATGGCTGTCAATCGAGTTGTTAGGAACCTTGTTGATAAGAGCAGTTAATAGACTGACTTGTTTGCCCTCAATAATAAGATTCCCTTAATAATGAGCTTGCGATTTCCGTCACCATCAGTTTCATGTTAAAGGAACATATTCAAGAAGAAACATTTTGGGAACTATTAAAAACAGAAAATGCAAGGATTATTATAATTACCAATATTAATACTATTACTAACATTATTATTTATATATTTACAAATATACTCTAAACATTTATAAATATAATTATAATATGTGCACACAAAATGTCATTTACACATGTAAAATATTTATTTTGATGAATCAAAGCAGTAAATCGGGGGTGAATAATAAGCAGTGATCAACTTATTTGTTGTTTTAACAAATGAAATAAATTAATCACAAACCCTTCTTCCCTTGCACAGTGCTAGTTCTCTCTTTCCTCTCCTCTTCCCCTAAAAGAAAATACTAGCCTTATAAAGAGGTTTTATTTCACACAAGTACCAAATTGGGCCTGGCTCATATACTGCCCACATTGCCAGTGAGAAGGTGCTGCTGGTTGGGTCCCAGGGCAGCAGGAATCTGCATTGGTCCTAAGTGGGCATTAACCCAGAATAAAGACCGTTTTGGGGACGGTGAACTTTCTGTATGGCCATTACCATGCCTTTCAGTGCTTTGCCCGCCAACGCCCAGTCACATGTGGGGTATTCCGGGGCTCCATCCTTGGCCCACTTCTTTTCCTTATTTATATGCTCCCTCTCGGAGATGTCATCCACAGACACAGGGTAACCTTCCACATGTACGCGGATGACACACAAATCTCCTTTGCCTCCTCCAGTACCAATTTCAGGTCCGCCGATGTTCTATCAGCTTGTCTGGCAGACATCAGGGCCTGGATGATTGCAAATTTCCTGCAGCTGAATGTGGACAAGACAGAAGCCATCCTCTTTGGCTCCCGTCAACATCTTTGCTCCTGCGGATCTAAACTCCTCAACCTCCTTGGGCTCTCCCTCAGACTCACCGAACCAGTGCACAATTTGGGCATCCAGTTCGACCCCCAGCTGTCCTTCCTACCAGTCCCTGACCAGCACAGCCTTCCTGCACTTCCGCCACATTGCCCGCCTCCAACTATACCGTACCCCAAATGCAGCTGAAACCCTCTTGTATGCGTTTGTCATCTCCCGCCTGGATTTCTCAAACACACTCCTCGCAGGTCTCCCCAGCTCTACTATTCAAAAAATCCATCTCATTCAGACCTATGCTGTCTGCATACTGACTCGGACCAAACTCTGTACCCACATCTCACCAGTTCTGGAATCCCGGGAAACTCTGGAATCCCTCCGCTTTTCCCCGTCTCTCCCCTTTTTCAAGTCTCTTCCTTTTTGACAGTGCTTACGGACACCTCCAACCCCCCCCGGCTGGGAGTCAGGATCCGCCACTGTTAAGCGCTTTGAGGTGCTACCCTGTGTGGAGGGTACTATATAAATGCAAGTTGTTTCCAGTTGAATACCTTTCATATTTCTGAATGGTGATGAACTGAAGAACTGGAAGGTTGTCAGACCACATTACATTATTTCTCAGATTGGAGAATAAATCATCAGACAAGAGGTGGAACTAAGATGCAAGGAGAAAAATGAGGAACTGAACTCATGCTCTGGCCTTCTTTATCTGATGGTTCAGATTATAGGGATTGATAATAATAATAATCCTTGCATTTGATATAGCGCCTTATCACTTTTTCGAGACATCACAAAGCACTTCACAGAATATATTGTAAAGTGAATTGACTGTATATTTTGTGATAAGAAGAACTGGAAGATTGCCAGACAATTTTTCGTTCAATTTTAGCATCAAATTGTACTAAGTGCAGTTCAGCAGCAGCTTTACAAAAATAGGCATAGAGCCGACCTTTGGATTGATTCAATTTCTATTGTGTCTCGATCTCATGAGTCTAGGATTGTAATGCAATCCTCCATTGAACAACAGAAACTACAACCCAACCAAGTGACTGAGGCTACTTGCATTCAAATGAAGGAGAATTGAAATGAATAGGTGAAATAAAACCCTTAAAAGGTGTGTTAGATATCAAAAAAGGTCACCCAGCATTCCGTTTAGGCAAAATCTGTTAAGTCAAACTTTCTTGGTTCTATAAAGTTACACCATGGAGGGATTATAACAAAGCAATGCTACTGCGGACGAGACGTTCAGCAGCCGAGATTCAAATCTGTCTTGTCTGGTTATTCAAGCTTTTAATCTTCCATCAAGTCTTCACTTGTGCTGCTCCGATCTTTTTTGCCCCTCGTTCTTTGTTCTCCCTGTCTTTATACCCTCATTCCACTCCCTCAATGCGTTCCACCAATCTCTTGTCAGTCATTTACAATCCGTTATTTTACATACCCTATCTTACACCATTCAATGGTTGGTGAATAGGTTACAATCCCTCATCAGCATATCCAATCATACGTTTCCTTCAACTCCTTTTTCTTCGTACTGATTCCACAGTTACCTGACCACATGTTACCGTGACCGCTCACCCATTTTAACCCCTTGTTAGTATGTTAATTTTGCACACCTTATGCTAACAATACTCAATGCTCTTATGCATAACCCAACAGGTGTACTTGGAAATTTGATCCAAGTAAAATCCATGAAGGTTAAAACAAATAGATTTGGAGCCAACTGGATCATTTATGCACTTCTGATTCAGGACAACTAAAAGCCTAGAGTTGGCCGCTGTCTTCTCCAGTACAGAAGGGCTTTTATTCATGATCGCTATGCTGTGACCTTGCTTGAGCTGCGGATGTCATCATCTGCTAAGAGCAGGATTAGACTTTACTGTAATTCCATTCACCTCCCCCCTCCCCCCCTAGGCACGTAGTTGACTCGCATAGCTTTGCAAGCTTGTGGTATTGTTACGCCTAGTTGTTGAAAGGGGAGAGAGACTACCTAAATGACACTGTAATAGCTATTTTCCATGCCACAGTATTTATGGCAACTTTACAGTGGGTGAGGAAGAGTCCAGGTGCAGAGAATAATCTCTTGTGCTCAAGTCAATACCACCAAATTATGCACATGCTGTCTTTTAAAGTTGAAATTAAGATCAGGGCAGCAGTTTTACTATTGCATGAAAAAAAAGTCAGAATTCTTGACTTCTAGTTCTGTCAAATTTTTTAAAGTACGCTTCCCCCTCCCCAATTAAGGCAACTTCAGTGTCCGATTTCTGACTGCAAGGATAGATGTATAAAATGGTACAGATATGATTCCTGCACTCTTTCCTCTCCACCCATGCATTATTCAAACCCCTTCAGTCGGGTTTCCGTGCTGCCCATAGCACAGAAACCACCCTGGTCAAGGTCACCAATGACATCTTGACCATTTGCGACCAGGGCTCCTTCTGACTCCTCGTCCTCCTCGACCTATCGGCAGCATTCGATACGGTCGACCACGCTATCCTCCTCCACCGCTTGTCCTCCCACCTCAACATCAAGGCCCTATCCTTGAGTGGTTTAGGTCGTACCTCTCCCACCGTCTTCATTTTGTTTCCACAAATGGCTTTTCCTCCAGCCCCCGCACTGTCTCGTGTGGTGTCTCTCAGGGCTTTGTCCTCGGTCCCCTCCTCTTCACCCTCTATATGCTCCCCCTCGGTGACATCATCCGCAGACATCGGGTTAACTTCCACATGTATGCGGATGACATCCAACTCTACCTTTCCTCCTCTACCCTCAACTCCACGACCACCGATGTCCTGACAGCTGCCTGTCTGACATCGAGTCCTGGACGAGAGACAACTTTCTTCAGCTCAAAGTGCGCAAAACTGAGGCCCTCCTGATTGGCTCGCGTCAGCGCTTCCGCACCTCAGGCACTGACACCATCAGCATCCAAGGCTGCACTCTCCACCTCTCAAAGCCAGTCAGGAACCTCGGTGTTCTGTTTGACCCTGAGCTGTCCTTTCTTCCTCAAATCCGCGCCATAACTGGCACCGCCTTCCATCACCTCCGAAACTTCGCCGGACTACGGCACTACCTCACCCCTCACGCTGCTGAAACTCTGGTCCACGCCTTTATCACCTCAAGGCTGGACTATGGGAACTCTCTCCTCGCCGGCCTTCCCGGCACCTCCCTCCACAAGCTGCAGGTCATTCAGAACTCCGCAGCTCGTGTACTGTCCCGCACCAGGCTTCGCGACCACATCACTCCCACCCTCGCTCGCCTCCACTGGCTCCCCATCCCCCAGAGGATCGAATTCAAGATCCTCATCCTCGCCTACAAGACCATTCACGGCCTTGCTCCCTCCTACCTCTCCGACCTATATCCCCCTACTTACCTGCCCGTACCTGCGTTCCTCTGGCTCCGGTCTGCTCCGCATCCCCTGCCCCTCCCGCCCTGCCATCGGTGGCCGGGCCTTCAGCCTCTCAGTCCCTAGGCTCTGGAACTCCATCCCCCAGTGCCTTCGCCGCCTCCTCCCTTTCCTCCTTCAAGGCCGGTCTCAAGACCTTTCTCTTTGACCGTGCCTTCAGCTCACCTCTCGACTCTCTACCCCCTCCTCGCTCCCTCCCTTCCCTCCCCTCACCATTTCCCCCCTGCTCGGGTCCTGACCCAACTGTCCAGCGCCTTGGGACGTCCTCCCGACTTGAAAGGCGCTCTATAAATTAAATCTTGTTGTTGTTGTTGCAAATTCTAGGCTCACACATACAACAACAAGATTTCATCTATAGAGCGCCTTTCACGTCGGGAGGACATGCACACAAAAAACCTAATCCAAAACACATTTTGTAAAGCAGAAGGTAGGGAAAGAAAGAGAAACAATCCCCCAAATAAAATTGGTCCATTGCTCCAAGGCTATTTGTAGGTTCCTGTGCACAAATTGGCTGCCAAGTTCACCCCCAAAAGATACACAGTCACTACACTTCACAATATATCCTGTGAAACACCTCCTACCATGAAGGACACACTAGCAAATGAAAGGATTAATATTTTGGTTACAAAGTACTGCTAGTTCTGCTGCTGCTGTAATTCTTTGAAAGATCAGGTTTGAAGTGCTAGAATTGGAATACTCAAAAGCTCCAGAGGGCAAAGAGCAGCCAAGAGAAAGTGGCACAGTGTTGCCCAGGCATTTAATTAGCAGCCAAAAATAATTTGGCCAATTACTTCAACATTTTCTGCATGAGAAAACTCTCCAGCAAAGAAAGACATTTCCATTACAGAGGGAGAAGAGACTCATACTTCGTCAGTGAAAACCAAACTATTTTAGTGTGGAACATTGATGGTTAGTTACACTATGCCCCAATTAGCACAGCAGGTTGATTTTTTTAAAAAAAATGTACTGTTTCGTAGCTAAGGAGTAGTTAAGTCCTCTGAGTGTGATTCAGCCATGCCCCAGAGGATTACTTTGCAATTTCTTGTCCAGCTCAGAATTCATTTTAAAGCTGGCACTTCACAGTATTATATAACCTGAACACAAAGTCTCAGCAGCACTGTAGTTTAGTGCACTCTTGAAGAGACTTATGGCCTCTGTTGCAGTGAGTGAGGTTTCAGAACCGGAGGATACAATTATTTGCCCTAATTCTAATCTCATTTCTAATTAGTATTGCAAAGACTTCACAAGCTCCTTAAAGCAGCTGAGGCTGTTAGTGACCTGATACGGCTTGGTAAATCTAGGGCAAGATTGTTTTCTATTGATAGCATCAACCTTTGAACTGAAGCTATTAGCAGTTTGTGGGGGCAAAATATAAAAGAAAGTTGGTACCAGACGGATTCGGGAAATTTATACCATGCTACATATATATATCAAGTATATAAATATTAAAAGTTAGCCTTCTGATTGCTGATAAGTGCAAGTAATTATAAGTTCCCTGGGTTGATTGCTCATGTTTCTAGCTTCCACATAATGATACTGTTGTCTACAAAACGAACAATCACTGCACTTTACAATAAAAATCCTGTGACCCAATTTGAGACGTCCTCTTGATGTGAAAAGTGCCATATCAAATGCAAGGATTATTATTTTATTAACTGAAACACTAATATTAAAACCCTCACATTATCAGCTTTATTACTGTAGCGTTACTGCTATACAATGAAATATGAAAATCGGAATGAATTTTTGGTAAAGTAATTCTGCCAGCTCTGTCCTCCAGTACTATCCCCTGCAATTTGCTTTTATAGAATTTTAACCCTTGCTTTATTTCAACTGCCACAGTGCATCCTCTTGATTGATTAATACTTTGCTTTTGTAATAGTTTGTGTATTTTTTTTGTGGGGAGGGGGGTAGCCCAGTGGCTAACACATGTGGAAATTCATCACATTGCTTATTAACAACAACAACTTGCATTTATATAGTGCCCTTTACTCGGGAGCTCTTAAGAGTGGCAGAGCTTGACACCAAGCCGGGAAGAGGGTGGGGGTGTCCGTAGAATATTGTGTATATTAATGCTCAGTTTTTCTCAGCCTCTGCGATCCTCCACTTACATGTACAGGGTTAGAATCCACAAATCGCATTTGGCCATTGAGACCCAATTATTTAAAAATTATTAAAAAAATTATTTAAAAAATTGAGCATTTTTTCTAGTCGACCAAAGCTCGGAATTGTGAAGATTCACAAGATCACAAGATTGGTTTGGATGAAAAGGCACTTCAGCCTAACCAATTTCATCCTTTAAGAACACCCAACCTATGCCAACCCCTCCTCCCCCACCACCCCCAAATGCAACATCAAGCTGCTTTTTAAATAGCTCCTGGGCTCTACCACCGTTCCTGGCGACCTGTTCCTCTATGTAAATTAAAACGTCCTGATATCTGTCCTGAAATTGCTCTTTATAACTCTTAACCTATATCCTCTTTTTTTACTGTCTTGTTGCATCCTAAAGTATTGATCTGGATTTACTTTTCAAACCCATTTACAATTTTATACACCTCTTTGAGGCCCCCGCTGAGACATCTTTTCTCAAGACTGAAGAGCCTTAGCTTGTCTAATCTTTGTTCATAGCTCATTCCTCTAACACTGGGGATCATCCTTGTTGCTATTCTCTGCACTATAGTAATAACAATAATCTTTCCATTTGATATAGTATCTTATCACGTCTTTGATGTCTCAAAGCACTTCACAGAATATACGCTAAGGTGAATTGACTGTCTGACATTACAAAGTCAACAAGCTACCAAATTTAAATGATTGCTCCCTGGCCTCTTATTGTGTATTTGCTGTCCCAGGAGCATATTTGACAGTGCTCAAGGTTAATGAGCACAGTATTGATAAGGTCACAGGAATTAGATTATCAGAGTGGACTATATGTTAGCTTTCAATTTTAATTTTTAAATATAATTTTTGGCAGATAATATTGGCATTTACCTTTATATTTTTATTTTTTTATTTTTAGTAGGCTTTTTTACTACAAATCTGCCCCTATTCTCTGTACCTCCATCCTCTGATTCACTGCCTCCTTCACCTCTTTTAAGATCCGTCTCAAGAGCTAACTCTTTGTGCTTTAGGTCATCTTTCCTCTTCCCAGACTTTGCTCCCACATGCAGCTCAGGTGCCACCATTGTTAAATGCTTTGGGACATCCTCCTGGTGTGAATGGTGCTATCTAAATGTAAGTTTGTATTGTTATACTTGGCAAAGGCCCGAAAAGTCACGTGAGAGGGCGGAAGGGGATAAAGGAAAGGAAGAAAATTAACATTTTAAAAAGAAAATTGTAATAGATTTGTGGGGGTAATAATGCCAAAAAAATGTGGTCACTCAATCCACGACTATTTGTGGGATGCTGCTGTGTGCAATTGGCTACCGCATTTGGCCCACAAAATACACTTTACAGTGTATTCTGTGAAACACTTTGAGATGTCTCGAAGACGTGATAAGGCACTATAACAAATGGAAGAATTATTAGTAGTCAAAGAGGAAGGTCTTGAGGTGGACCTTGAAGACGAAGGAAGAGACAAGGCTATGGAATTCTAGGAGTTGCTCCCCTCAAACCACACACACAAATACTCTGAACTAGGTCCATGCTGTGTAGTGTCCCGAAATGCTCTATAAAAGCAAGTTGTTGTTGTTGTTGAGGTGCCTCTGCACCTCAGGCTCTGGCAGCATCAACCTCCATGGTTGCACACTTCAGCTCACCAAGCCAGTCAGGAACCTAGGTGTCTTGTTCGACCCTCAACTGTCTTTTCTTCCCCACATCCAAGCCATGAGCTGCTCTGTCTTCCCTCACCTCTGTAACATTGCCCGACACTACCACTACCTCACCCCTCAGGCCGCTGAAACTCTTGTCCATACCTTCATCACCTCCAGGCTCGACTATGCAAATGCCCTGCTTGTCGGCCTTCCCAACTCCTCCCTCCACAGGCTGCAGATAATCCAGAACTCTGCAGCCTGTGTCCTCTCCCGCACCAAACTCCATGTCCTCATCTCCCCCATTCTCGCCTGACTCCATTGGCTCCCTATCCTTCAGAGGATCCAGTTCAAGATCCTGGTCCTCACCTACAAAACCCTCCATGGCCTTGTCCCACCCTACCTCTGTGACCTCCTAATCTCCTACCAACACGCCCGTTCCCTCCGCTCAGCCGGCTCTGGCCTGTTCTACGTCCTGCGACCCACTTGCCCCACCATTGGCGTGAGAGCCTTCAGCCACTCTGCCCCTAACCTCTGGAATCCTTCCCCCATTCACTTCCCCTCATCCCCTTCTTAGCCTCCTTCAAGTCCCGCCTCAAAACCCTCCTCTTCGACCATGCCATCGGCCACCCCCCTTCCCCTCCCCTCCCTTCTGCCTCCCAGAAGGGTCTGAAATCTGTACACTGTCCAGTGCCTTGGGACGTCCTCCCGACGTGAAAGGCTCTATATAAATGTAATCTTGTTATTGTTGTTGTAGGTTCTCAGTAAAAAAAATGCGAATGATGCTTGCGGTTAAAAGGTCTTTGTGTGGCTGCAGTGATAGTGTTTGACTGGTGCCTGTGGAAGATTGGAAACAATTTCCATTAAGTTATCACTGGGAACACTCAGCAAGTCAGGCAGCTGCATCTGCATTAATTTTATCTTTTGTCCATTAAATTGTATTAATTTTGTTTTTCCATTCCCTCTTAGGGTTACCAGGGCATGGTGGATGGTGGAGATAATATTGTAGAAGCAACATGGGAGAAAGTCTCCAGTATCTTGCAAATGGTAAGCAAATAAAGAGCATTGCCCACAGATGTCAATATGCGGGTTATCATTGACCTTTGTAAGTTATGGACAATCGTGAATGTGTGCAGGGGTGCACATCCAATTTAAGTGTTAAAGTGACCTTGTAAATTGTAGGAATCGCCTGTGAGTGTTGTTTGAGGTCAGATTAAAACCTTGGGAACGCTGCCCTCATCAGTTTATTCTGTTTGTTTTGGAGAATTTTGATTTGTTACATTTGTGACTTTTATTCTGATTGTATGGGTTCATAGAGTTTTATTTAAGATTGAAAATACATGATTTATTGCAATGAATTTCATCATGTCATTATTATTATGTCAGAACCCCCTGAAAGCAGTTCACATCACTGAGGAGGTTATATACCTAAGGGACACAAAAGGGAATTGCAAAAAATGAGAGGAGATAGTAAATCTATTAAATTACGAACCATATTACTATCAACCAAAAGCATTCAGACCAAGCAATCAAGGTCTTTAAAGCGAGCTAGACATGGTCAGGAGTTGAGCTTATCACTGGCAGAGGAAGTTTAACGTGAAAATGCACATATTGCATATAGGAAGGCACAATAGAAGTATGGATGAAGAAGGCCTTTGTTCCATTTGATCACATCTCTCCAGAATAACCTCTCCCCACCCCACTATCTTCCCATTTGCATCTACAATCCTTCCTCGTCAACTGCACTTACAGTCACCTCCCTCCTCTCCCCCTTTCCTTCTTCCTTCACTGGGCGTATGACTTCTCGTGAGGTGCTCTGAATGTTATTGTATGTGAAGGCTGCGATATAAATGTTATTAAGTTATTGACACACGTGAAGCTGAGTCCAGGATTACTCTATTACCCCTTTCTTGTATTCCGTTTTCAGTGTTAATTACCTGAATTATCCTGAAATTGCGCAGGTTTCCCATGACTGGAAATGGAGAAATATCAAAGCCATTTTCAATAGAGTGAACGATGTTCAGACTGTTGTGTTTGCCAATGAAACCTGAAAATGAAGTGAAAGCAGGTGCCACATGGTTTGTTACTCAACCATATGTTCAAACAGTGGGGAAATCCAGAAATCGTGAGGTAGCTCCGTGACCTCATCACTCCTACTCTCGCCCGACTCCACTGGCTCCCCATCCCCCAGAGGATCGAGTTCAAGATCCTCGTCCTCACCTTCAAGGCCATCCGTGGCCTTGCCCCCTCCTGCCTCTCTGACCTGCTGACTCCCTACCAACCTGCCCACTCCCTCCGTTCATCAGGCTCCGGCCTGCTCCATGTCTCCCGCCAGTCCCGCCCTACCATCGGTGGCCGGGCTTTCAGCCTCTCTGCCCCCACACTCTGGAACTCTATCCCATGGTCCCGTCGCCTTGCTTCCTCCTTTGCCTCCTTCAATGCCGGTCTCAAGACCCTTCTGTTCGACCATGCCTTTGGTCTCCCTCCCACCTCTCAGCCTTCCCTCACCCCTACACCACCCCTCCCCCACGCTCGGGCCTCGACATCTGACTGTTCAGCACTTTGAGACGTCCTCCCGACGTGAAAGGCGCTCTATAAATGTAATTTTGTTGTTGTTGTAGTATCTAGTAATTCATTTGTACAGAAGGTAATCCTTCAAAGGGTAAGCTGGAATGGGTTGTTAGGAGCGGAGGTTGATGTGAGAACATCAGATTCATACAAGAAAAAATATTTGTGCTGGCTGCAGTAGAATTTTGCAGTGGTAGTTCCAGGAGTTGAACAATTGTTGGTTATACTATTAGTCCTAGTTATGGCATAGAACTTTCAAATAATGTAGCAAAAGAGATGTCGCTGCATTCGATTTATGGGCTAAAACATTCTCAACAGGAATGAAGTACATCTTTGTTACAAGGCTTTCCAAACCCACTACCCCCACTCTCCAAACATTGGTTCTTGTTCTTATTCTAGAAGGGGTTGTTTCTAGGAGTTGGCGCTGGAGTCCTGTAGTTCCGTGGTTAGAGCGCTCGCCTTGCAAACGAGACACCTGGGTTCAATTCCAGGCAGGGCGAAACCTTGGGCAAGTTTCCTTACTCCACATGCCTGATAGTAATCCCTCCAAAACAAAAACAATAATAAACTGATCATTTTCAATCCACGACTGTTTGTGAGACACTGCTGAGCGCAATTGGCTGCTGCGTTTCGCCCACAAATATACAGTTAATTCACTTTACAGTATATTCAGTGAAGAGCTTTGAGACGTCTAGAAGACATGAAAAGTGCTATATCAAATGCAAGGATTATTATTATTATAAAGCAGAATGTTTTTCAGTCTCCACTGGCCCGCAAAAGATCAATTTTCAAGGTTCTCACCCTCACCTATAAATCCCTTTGTAGCCTATAACATCTGTGATATCCTACCCCACTTTCCAATGTGCTAACTTGGGCCTGCCTAAAGCCCCCCACTCCACCATGCCTTCAACTAACTATGCCCTCACCGTTTAGAACTCTCTCTCCACCCCTCCGTCTCCCCCCTTTCTCTCTCTCTCTCTCTCTCTCTCTCTCTCTCTCTCTCTCTGTCTTTAGATAACAACAGCTTGCATTTATATACTACCTTTCACGCTGGGTAGAATCTCAGAGTGCTTAAATCTGCCTTAAAGACTTTAACCTCTCCGACTTCACCTATGGTCATTCCCCCCTGCACCCATCTCACTTCCTGAGTATCCGATACCATCTCTGAAGCTCTCCCAAGACGTTATCCTAAATGAAATAGATATATAAATGCAACTTGTTGTTTTTCATTTCACCCATGACTTTCCAGTTCTCTTGATTGAATGTATTTCTTTCACCTTGTTTTCAGGGTGGCACAGTTATTGGGAGCGCACGTTGTAAGGCATTCCGTAATCGTGAGGGCCGATTGAAAGCTGCCCTCCACCTCGTCCAACTTGGGATTACAAACCTCTGCGTGATTGGTGGAGATGGTAGTTTGACTGGCGCCAATCTCTTCCGTGAAGAGTGGAAGGGACTTTTGGATGAACTCGTTGAGAAAGGCAAGTCTGACTCACTAGAGCACCAGAGAACATTAGAATTGCTAGACGAAAGAAGAACAAGGTCCATCCAGTTCACCTTCCACCATTCTGGCAGTCGCATACACATGGCATGTCCTAAACTATGTACAGTACTGTACCCTATGATATTATTTCCTGAAAGAAATCTTATCTAATTTGCTTTTGAAAGAATCAACACTTTCTGCTTCCATCAACTCCCTTGGGAGCCTATTCCATATATTCACTACAAGCTCATTGAAATAGCGTTCCGGGGATTTGTTTTGAATTTACTCCCCTTTAATCGCAGACCATGTCCTCTGTTTTGTACAAGATGAAACAGCATATCATCATAGAATCATAGAATTATACAGCATAGGCTATTATACAGCATAGGCTATTCGGCCAATCGTGTCTGTGCTGGCTCTTTGAAAAGAGAATGTCCAAATCAATCCCACTCCCCTGTGTTCTTCCCGTAGCCCTGCAAGTGTGTCCTCCCCAAATAATTATCTATGCTCCCCAAATAATTATCCTTGTCTATATTAGCTAGTCCCTTCAGAATCTTAAAGACTGCAATCATATCGCCCCTCAACCTTCTCGTCTACAGCGTGAATGTGCCTAGTTTACTTAATCGTGAAATAGGTTTAGAGGAGACGTGGTAGAGATGTTCAAAGTTCTGATTGGGTTTGATAAAATAAATAGGGAGAAGCTTTTTCCTCTGGTCAATGCATTGTTTTTGACCTTCCTGAATTCCCTGGATTCTGGAACGATTCCTGTTGATTGGAAGATCACAACCGTAACACCGCTATTTAAGAAGGGTGGGAGAGAAAAAATGGGGATCTAAGACCAATTAGCCTGACATTGGTGGTAGCAAAAATTCTAGAGTCTATAATTAGGGGTGCCGTGGGGCACTTAGAAAGTGATTGGTGATAATATGACTAGGCAGAGTCAACACGGTTTTCTGAAAGGAAAATCATGTTTAACAAATCTTTTAGAGTTTTTTGAAGATGTTACTAGCAGGTTAGATAGGGCGGAACCAGTGGATATAGTATACTTAGACTTTCAGAAGGCATTTGATAAGGTACCACATAAAAGGTTGTTACATAAGATTAGGGTTCATGGGATTCAGGGTAATATATTAACATGGATCGAAGAATGGTTAACAGGCAAAAAACAGAGATTAGAGATAATCGGGCTCTTCTCAGATTGGCAGGTTAGGTTATTGGCAGGTTGAGTGCCGCAAGGATCAGTGCTTGGTCCTCAACTGTTTACAGTCTACATCAGCGACTTAGATGAGGAAATAGAGCTTAATGTATCTAAATTTGTGGATGATACAAAGCTAGGTGGAAAAGAAAGCTGTGAGGAGGACACTAGGAGGATGCAAATGGATATAGACAGGTTAAGTGAGTCAAGAAGGTGGCAGATGGAGTATAATGTGGGCAAGTGTGAAGTTATTCACCTAAATAGAAGAAAAATAGAAAAGCAGATTATTTTCTAGCAGGGTAGAGACTAGATAGTGTTAGTATTCAGAGGGATTTAGATGTTCTTGTACACCAATCACAGAAGGTTAGTATGCAGGTACAGCAAGCAATTAGGAAGGCTAATAGCATGTTAGCCCTTATTGCAAAGGGGTTAGTGTACAAGAGTAGGGAAGTCTTACTGCAATTGTATAGGGCCTTGGTGAGACCAAACCAGAAAGTTTTGTGCAGTTTTGGTCTCCTTATCTAAGAAAGGATATACTCGCCTTAGAGGGGGTGCAACGTAGGTTCACTAGGTTGGTTCCTGGGATGAGGTGTTTCACGTACGAGGAGAGGTTGAGTAGACTAGGTCTATATTCTCTTGAATATAGAAGAATTAGAGGTGACCTAAAAGATTCTTAAGGGTCTTGATAGGCTATATAGTTGTGAGACTGTTTCCCCGGTTAGAGAATCTAAAACTAGGGGTCATAGTCTCAGGATTAAAGGTCAGCCCTTTAGAACTGAGTTGAGAAAACATTTCTTCACTCAGAGGGCAGTGAATTAATGGAATTCTCTACCCCAGAAGGCTGTGGATGCTCAGTCCTTGAACATATTCAAGACTGAGATTTTTAAAAACTAAAGGGATTAAAGGATATGGGGATGGGGCAGGTAAATGGAATTAGGTTAGAAGATCAGCCATGATCTTATTAAATGTTGGGGCATGCTCGAGGGGCCGAATGGCCTACTCCTGCTCCTTATGTTTTTATACTCTAATTCATAGCTAGAAGACATATAAGATATCTATCTTAAATTATCTATTTCTGCTGGGTTTATAAAAAAAGACGTTTTTTAATGGCACTGCCTGAAGTCTGTGTTGATACATATACAGTGTGCCCTGATATAAAGTGCTTCTGTAGTTTGATTATAACTTGCACACAGCGAGTGTACCAGCCGGAAATACTGTTGTTGAAGCCATTAGTCCGTGTCTCAACGCTCCTGTGACCTGAAATTCGTTATGCTGTTAGCCTCACGAGCATCATCTTAAAATTCAACCTTAATTGGGAATCAGTCTTCTGCAGTTTTTAAAAAATAAAGGCAAAATTTCTTAAAGCGAAACTCCATGTAGAGATTATGATTCTGTTCCTGATTGTTATGGTCATGGTTGCAAGACTTTTTCTTTGGTTCTCATTTTTTAGGTGAAATCCAATCAGAAGAAGCTATGAAGTACAGCCACTTGAATGTTGTGGGCATGGTTGGATCTATTGATAATGACTTCTGTGGGACAGATATGACGATAGGTACAGACTCTGCCTTACATCGCATTATTGAAGTTGTCGATGCCATCGTGACCACAGCCCAGAGGTAAAGCTCGTCATTTACCCTTCCTTCCTCCACATGCAACACAAAATCTACAGTGAGAATTGGTGATTTCTTATATGAGATTATACAGTAGCAGAATGTTCAAACATTTATGTAGGTTGCATTACAATTCACAATTCAGTTTACATCGATATAACACTTTTCATGGCGGGAAAATGTCTCAAACTGCTTAATCCAGCAACAACAAATTACATATCATAGAATTGTAGAATTATACAGCACAGAAAGAGGCCATTTGGTGCATCCTGTCGGTGCCGGCTCTTTGAAAAGAGCTATCCAAATCAATCCCACTCCCCCGCTCTCTTCCCATAGTCCTGCAAACTTCTCTGTTTCTTTTAACAACTATTTTAAATTGGTTTCCTTGGGTTACTGACCCACCCACCAGTGGAAATAGTTTCTTCTTGTTCACCCTATCGAATCCCCTTATAATTTTGAAAATTTCAATTAGTCTCCTCTTAAACTTCCTTGCTCCAAGGATAATAATCCTAGCTTCTCTAGCCTCTCCTCATAACTGAAGTCCCTCATTCCTGGTTCACAGTTCAGCTGATGCCTAACCAGTACTTTACTTCATCATAACTTCCTGACTTTTGTATTCCATACCCCAGCTATAAAGCCTAGAAAAGAGCTATCCAAATCAATCCCACTCCCCCCGCTCTCTTCCCATAGTACTGCAAACTTGTCTTCCCCAAATAATTATCTACTTCTCTCTTAAAATTTGGCTTCCAATTCACCTTTTTGCTATTTATTTTGCTTTTTGCTATTTATTGCGCCTTTCTTGTCGGGGGGACGTCCCAAGGTGTTGGGCAGTCCAGGGTTTGACTTTGGCTTAATAATGCTAGATGGATATCAGAGCTTGGGGTGGGAGACGAGCAGGATGGGGGAGAGAAGAATGACTGGAAGTGAGTCCAAAGAGGTATGCTTTGAGAAGGAGGGAGTGAGTTGGAGGGACTCTGGGAAGGAGTTCCAGAAAGTGGGAGCAGAATGGCTGAAGACCTACCCACCAATTACCACGTGCTTACATGAATGTTACTTGACGAGTGGGGCAGGAGTGGGGATCTGATCTGCCAGATCTGGGCAGGGGAGTGGGTGGGGTGGGTGGTGGGAATGGTATTCAGGTGAGTTTTTGAAGGTAAGGAGGGAGGGGAAGAGGGAGTCTGGAGGATGGAGTTCCAGACAACGGCAACATAGAAGAAATGGCTTTTACTATATTAACCCCCAACCACTAAATTGGAGATTTCAATTTAAAAAACACACGCTCACCCTATCACCTCATCTTCCCCTTTGACTCTATTCATTCATTTTTCAAACTTTTTTTTCTTAAAAAGTAACAATCATCCTCTCTACCTGCTGTCCACTTTTGGGACTGAATAGAAGTTTGCTTGATTGAGAAAGCACTTTATAGACTGTTTTTTTCAATCAATTGAAACTCGTGAGTTTTGACAGGTGATGCTGATTTAAATGCTGACATCTTAAAAATTCATCAAGCCAGCAACAGACCTGCCAGCAGTACCCATAAACTAACAGGACCTGAAGAATAAACATGTGCATGTCAAAAGGTTAAATGTTTTTCGAGCTATCTCTTGCAACCAGTTTCCTCTGCTGTGTTTCCTGATTTCCATTTTCATTTTTTACTCTGTTAGTTAGCTCGGGGCTTTCAGATTTCCACTGTTGTGACATTGTTGTTTTGGTTAAAGCTAATTTAACCACGGCATCAGGAGGAATTCCCTTCTCTTTTCCGAAGTGTCTCACAATCTTTTACATGCATCTTGAGAGCAGGCAGAAGTATAGGCCTTAGGAAGTAAAATAAAGGCAGCAGTGGACTATAGCAGAATGGATAATTGGAGCTTCAAATCTTTGGCTGAATCGTCAATTGGGGCACTACAACTGGTCCCAGCACCCTGGTGAATAGTGGCCAATTTGATGAGGGTTACAGAAGGGCAACTGCCACCTGTGCTGTTTCCCAGCAGAAAATTATAAAAAAAAGTTGGAATGTGTTTAGGAGAGGAGAAGAATGGGGGGTGGATATTATGGGTATCGCTACTCATAATAACGATTTTTGCATTTGATATAGCACCTTATCACATCCTCAAGACGTTTCAAAGCGCTTCACAGGATACACTGTAGAGTGTGTGTATTTTGTGGGCGAAATATGCATAAAACCTGTATAATTCTAACCGGGCACAATCTTCATAGTCTCTGCAATTGAATGTAATTGAACATTTATTTAAAAAATGGTACTGAGCACAGGTTATAACTTTGGTGCTTGAACAGTGAGATGAGCAACATAACCCAAGCCCTATGGATGTCTGTACAAGCACTTTTTTTTCAATTCTATAATATTACTAGTATTATTGTATAAAGATTATTATTTGACCCATTAATCTCATTCTTCCAAAATACCAACATTACCATCCTCCCATTACAACATTATTTTTTTACTAGTGCTGGAAGTAGTTTTGAAGATAAATCTTGAGATTTTGACATTCTCTTTTGCAGTCACCAGAGGACATTTGTGCTGGAGGTAATGGGAAGACATTGTGGGTAAGCAAATGTTATACTTGTAATGATTTTTTCAGCATAAATATAACAATCGTAAATTTAATCATAGCAGATTTATTACCAAAGTCAATTCTTTTAATTGTTTTGAAATGTACGTATTTGTAACCTTCTAGGTATTTAGCTCTTGTAAGTGCCTTGGCTTGTGGTGCCGACTGGGTATTCATTCCTGAATCTCCTCCGGAAGATGGCTGGGAGGATCAGATGTGTGAAAAACTTTCAGAGGTAAAAATGTAGCATGATGTGCAGCTCCAGATTCATTTGAAAGACTTATCACTTCCTAAGCATTATAGAATACTTTGGTAATTGCAGGAACGGTGCATTTGAGTTTGGGCTGAACACTAATAATTTTATAATAATATTTGCAGGTTATATGTCGTAAAACCCCTGTTGTAGTGTGCTTCATTATTACCCTGATTTGTGGCTGATCTTTTAAAATTGCCAGTGCAAAATATTTCATGATCATGGCCGCCGTGGATTAAACGTGTGCTAAATTATTTCTCTATGCTTCTAGAAAACAAATCTTTTTCTTTTGCTCTTCTATATCCTCAAAACGTTCACTACACAAGGAAACTTTATGCACGTTGTGTCTGTGTCATGCTGGCTCCCTCCCTCACTCCATAAAAGGAAATTCCATATCCTTGCTCTTTCCACATAACCTTTTATATGTTCATTTTACAAATGCCTGATTTCCTTTAAAGGTCAGTATTGTTGCTGATGCTCCAACCAGTGGAAATATATTCACCATTAATTCTTTCTACATCATTTCACAATTCAAACTTTTTCTATTAAAAATACTTCATCTTCTCTTTACTGGTGAATACGGACTCTTTATTAAGCTTTTACCAGATCTTCTCATCTGTAGTATTTTCCTACTACATTGGTCTTTCATATCATTCTAATATTTTTATTGGACAGGTGGGACATACATGGAAACCCCTTGCTGTGTGCTTTAGTCTCTAGTTTACCACTTGTCTTTACCTAGAAAACATGGGTAAAGGCAGAATCCAAGGCATTGAAGGCATTAAAGTGAGGTTTGACATACTGCTGGAATTGAACCAGCTTAAAACACCATCTTATCAATGTGAGGCATTGATAAGCTTCACATGATCTGTGCAGCTATGACCACCATTCTATCGTTGTGTTCACTCACATGGTTTATCATAAGCAAAGGAGAAGAACTTCCCCTGTGATTGATCTACCCTTTCAAAGTCCTGTGGATCAGCTAGCAGGCTGATCAATCAATAAAAATGCCCTGGAGTACTGCCTGGCTCAGGTATTGGATGAGTACTACAGATGGTTACTTTGGTCCACTCCCCCTTTCACTAGGCATTCTGTCAAGAAGCCTGATCGATCAGCATTTCCTCTCCAACTCCGTCCCTCTATGGTTGTATTCCATTCCAACAATCTATCTCTGGAATTTCCATGTGTAGGTGGGATGCATGAAATTTTCAGCTTGATTTGGATACTCTTAAGCATAGTGATGGGTTTCTGCATGTGTCAAACACCCGACTGACCNAAAAAATTCTCATTTTTCTTCCACCCATTTTATGTGCAACAGGAACTGGCTGTAGTTTGACAAGAAAAACAATAATAAATTATGCAACTAGATGCTTTGCTGCTTTTGCATTTTTGCAAGTTTTCTTTATATAGAATGAACAGCTATCTCCTCCCTCTTTAAAGCAACTATCCTCAGCCAGCCTACTCAGTGTTCATTGTTCCAGTATTTCTTTGCATTCTTCAGAGCCGCTCCAGGGGTTCCAGGTTGAACATTATCATAGTTGCAGAAGGAGCTAATGATCGACATGGAAAACAAATTTCCTCTGATTTTGTTAAGGATGTGAGTACTTTAAGAAAGCACACGTCTAGTGACGGAGTGCACAGTCTGCTAATAGTTTCACTCATGGTGCAGTCTTCAATTTCGATCACTTTTTTCATGTACAGCATATTTGGAAAGACTATTCTAAAGCCATTGTGGGAATTACTAGTGTTTAGATGATTCAGTAGGTTGCACAGCCAAGAGGAGACTCCCAGAGAGTGAAACTATTGAGCACAGAATGTACTTCCTGTGTCTGAATCTTTATGAAGAGTTTCAGTTTGGTTTTGTTTTCCTCTCAGAACCGTGCAAACAAGAAAAGGCTGAATATCATAATTATATCAGAAGGAGCGATTAATAGGCATAACGTCCCTATAACTTCTGACATAATAAAGGACGTAAGTACAAGCCTCATGGTACAACTCCTGCTCTGACCAGTTCCTGTGGTTGCCTCTGTGCCCCTGGTCCCACTGGCTTTGGAGCACACCTGCATGTGGTGGTAAGACTGCTATCACACATACTAACAGTCAACAACAGCACTCTAATTCGTATCTTGGTTCAGTTTGTTCTCTTTTTCGTTTGCAATTTAATAACTCATTGATCCACTCAGCTTTGAGGACATGACAAAGAGGGGCACAGGGGTGGGAGGGTGAGGGTGTCTGGTGGGGGGAATGTAATGCACCCTTGGTCCTGTTCAGCAGATCATTCAAAAGTGGCCGGTTATCAGTCATTTGTGTATCAGTTACTGTGATTGGAAAAAAAATGTCCCATTTTTTTAAAAAAAAACCAACATAATGACTATAATTGGAATCCTGCACAGTATGACTTCGGACCAAAAGCAACATTCAAAGAATCAATTAGTGATTCATGTCCAGTAGTGATTTCCTATTCAGTTTTGCCCTTGAGCTTGAGATGCTGACCCCCTTATTGTAAACTTCATAAGTATTTTGACATGCTGCAAAGAAATGTGCATATTTTGTGCCTCTCTTCCATTTCCCACAGTCTCATTTTTTGTGTATGTATTTTGAAGGAGGGAGAAGAAATTGACAATCTGACATTGATAAATTATTTTTATTAACTGGAGGTGGAGGGAATGAGCGACTGCCTGTGTTTTCTGTTCCATTCTATTCCTTTGCATATTTGTTAACTCGTGTATCAAAAATATAATTTTTTAAAATAAGAATAAAATCTTGTAATTCACTTAGGTTAATTATTCAAGAATTTTCTATAGAAATTATATATTTTCCATGTGTTGGGGATGAAATCATAACAGGATTTGTGATAAATGGTACATGGGTATTCCCTCCCAGTGTTGTTTGGGGTTATCAAGGTTATGAAAACATTGTAACTGACTAATACAAGTGAACATCACATGGTCTTGCAGGAGTTGAACTCCAGAGATGTGTACTTTTGTCCTATTTGGCCACTTCCTATGGTAGTTCTAATCGTGCATGCCACCACTTGAGGTGTTTTTTTAACTGAGTTTTAACCTGCATGTTTTAAATTTTTCCGTAGAACATTTTTTTCATTTTCTATGTAACATCTGTTACAGTGACTAATGTAGTGAGTCTGATTTGTTTAATCCTTACAGCAAAAGCTATTTTGAAGCTAACCAAGCTGTTTCTCTTTGGGGAAAGATAAGCTTTTATTAACGTTTGAACAGACAAATCATCTACACTATATCCCATATACAGTTATACCAGGCAACGGACAGAATCAAAATCATATCACTCACTACTCTGTCACTTTTAATGGTCACTTTCTTACTGGAAGTAAATTCCCTCACTCCTGTACATATATGTAGGTACAGTAGAATCGATATTGATTCCACTGGGAAGTGCGCTGACCCTCTACACAACTCACAACTATTCCAAAGTTACGTCTTTTATGTGTTTCTAACTCTGCCTCCCCTTGTCACAGAGATAGCCCCCACCCTTCACAGGCTGCTTTGCACAGAGAGAGATATGGACAACTCCTGGGCAGCTTTCCACAGCCTGCTTGTTTCTCAGCCTTGAGAGAGGCAGGTATCTGAGGCTGCAACCTTTTCTTTCTGTGGTCCATTGTTCTTACAGTTATGCTCAAAGACCCGATTGCTCATTATCTCAGAGGAGTGAACAGCTTCCCAGGAAAATATGAAATGTAATCAAAAGCTAACGTCAACCCATCCAGCAAAGCTATTTTTAACCCTTCAATTCTTCTGGAACATTCGGTTGCTGCTATCAATATACCATTGTATCCCGAGGTGATAGTCAGTATATTTCAACAGGGGTATCACATTAGAATTTTAGTTGTAATACAATGTGTTAATGCCTAGCTTTACATTTCAATAATAATAATCCTTGTATTTGATATAGAACATTATCACATCTTTGAGATGTCTCAAATGCTTCACAGAATATACTGTAAAATGAATTGATTGTATCTTTTGTGAGCAAAATATTTTGGCAGAAAATGCAATAGAGCTATTGCATACATTACTGTATCTTGATAACAACTGCAGACTTTTACATGGTCACAGTTTTTATTGACAGCAGAAAGCTGTGCCCATTTTCAAGCCTGCCTGATAGTTTTGTTCTGTTTCATGTAGTGCAATTACAATCAGGTGCACTATGATGCATGACTTTTCTAAGCTCCATTGCAGCTTACTCATTTTGGTAATTTTAGTGCATGCAAAACTAAGTGATTCCGGCAGCTGAAAGGAGAGTGTTCAAAAGAAAGAGCCTTTGATGCTTTTTATTTGGGAGATGAATGAACATATGGACTTTTTGATGTTTTATTGTAAATGAGGGTTTGTTTTGTCCCCATTTTACACTGAACAAATAGATCAAGGTAACCATTGCAGACATAGTAGGTCCATCTACCTTAGCTATCCAATTTCCCAAGAGTCCTTTATTTAATGTCGTAAAACTTGTCAGGATCATAACATTTAATATAACTTGCGCAAAGTGAGAATTTCAGGAATTGGCACAGAAATTAGAATTATTTTGGACCAAGAAACTGTTACAATTTAGCCATTTATCTGATTTATAAGATTACAGGAAATTGGCACAGAAATTAGGATTATTTTGGACTAGTGCAAAGGACCTAAGCGTTTTTTGGTAGGAAACTGAATGGGACTCAGGTACATGTACGACTTAGGCGATTGTACCATTTTGTAAAGAGACGATTTGTAGAATTTTTACCGTATATCTTATATTTTCCTTTAATTATCTTATCTTTAATTCTAAAACTCTAAACCTTTTCAGTTTCAGTCACACAGGGCATCATCTATGACCTTGATCCTTGACCTGTCTTCTTGAGAAGGCCTGGTGGCTAATTGGTGGTGGTTGTGGGCAGGGGAGAAAGAAACAACAAATTAAGCCACAGGGATTGTACGATAGACATTGTTATTAAATTGTTAAATTTTCTATTCTTTAAGTTGCCTCTTGGTAAACACATTGGTCGCCATTGAATAGCCGGGCAACTTTCACACATGAACAAGTGGGCAACTTATGCAAAGCATCAGAGGGTATTCCATATCTATGAACACTGTAGAATCATCCAAGCAAATTGGATATTATGTTTTTTGTGGGACATAAAACATTCTTTTTCAAAAAAGTAATAATAAAAATAAGAAAAATAAAACCGTATGGACTACACATTATTTGACTGCAAAATGCAAACATACAAGTTGGCTTCAAGTCTGCAGTTCCCCTTTTGTGCTGTAATAACTCTCCTTTTCGTAGCTGTAGTCACAGTTTCATCTCCCAAGTACATTTATTATAACTTTGCGTTGCAATGTTCTTTTGACAGCTTGTGGTTTCGCGGCTGGGTTTTGACACGCGCATAACTATCTTGGGTCACGTCCAAAGAGGAGGTACACCATCTGCGTTTGATCGAATCCTGGTAAGAAAATCAAATTACCTTCTACGTGCATTCAAGTCATGGTGGTGGTGAGGGGGGTGGGGGGTGAGTGGGTGGAAGGGGATACAGAAGAATTGAAAACAGTTGGGGATGAGAAACAATACTTGGCCCAAAGTATACAAAAGTATTTAATTAAAAAAAAGTAAGGCAATACAGAAAAAAGGCACTGACATTATAATCATCTTTGCATTTGCTGTAGTGTCTTGGAAGGACGTCTCAAGCGTTTTTCGGGAATTACTATGAAATGGAGCGAATGCAGCAGCACTGTTGCCCACAGCAATATCTGACAATCAGCCATGAAATGAATGACCAATTTTATTTGGGGGATTGTTGGCTAGGACACCGGGTGAAACCTTCTCTTTTTTAATTGTGCCATGGGATCTTTTAATGCCCACCTGAACAGGCATCTGATGCCTCAGTTTAGCTTCTCATCCGAAGGACGGCACCTCCGACAATGCATCGTGCCCCTAGAATCATAGAATCATACAGATCAGAAAGAGGCCATTCGGCCCATTGTGTCTGCGCCGGCTCCTGAAAGAGCAATCCAACTCAATACCAGTGGCCCCCTTTCTCTCCATAGCCCTGCATTCCTGTCCTCCCCAAATATCCACCTACTTCTCTCTTAAAAGTTGTTATTGAATCGGCTTCCACTACATTTTCAGGTAATGCATTCCAGATCTGAACAACTTGCTGGCTGAAATTTTTTTTCCTAACCTCCCCTCTGTTTCTTTTACCAACTATCTTAAATCGGTGTCCTCGGGTTACTGACCCACATGCCAGTGGAAACATTTTTTCCCGGTTCAACCTATTAAATCCTCTCATGATCTTGAAAACCTCTATTATATCCCCTCTTAATCTTCTCTGCTCTAGGGAGAATAATCCTAGTTTCGCTAACCTCTCCTCATAACTAAGGTCCTTAATTCCTGGTACCATCCTGGTAAGCAGCAACAACAACAACAACAAGATTCCATTTATAGAGCGCCTTTCACGTCGGGAGGATGTCCCAAGGCGCTGTACAGTTGGGTCAGGACCCAAGCAAGGGGGAAATGGTCAGGGTGAGGGGAGGGAAGGGAGGGAGCGAGGAGGGGGTAGAGAGTCGAGAGGGGAGCTGAAGGCATGGTCAAAGAGAAAGGTCTTGAGACCGGCCTTGAAGGAGGAAAGGGAGGAGGCAAGGCGAAGGCACTGAGGGATAGAGTTCCAGAGCCTAGGGACTGAGAGGCTGAAGGCCCGGCCACCGATGGTAGGGCGGTTGGGGTGGGGGATGTGGAGCAGACCGGAGCCAGAGGAACGGACAGTACGGGCAGGTAGGTAGGGGGATAGTAGACCTCCTTTGCACCCTCTCCAATGCCCTAACATCTTTCCTAAAGTGTGGTGACCAGAACTGAACGCAGTCTCCAACTGAGGCCTAACCAGCATTTTATAAATATTCAACATAACCTCCTGACTTTTGAATTCTATGCCCCTATTTATAAAACCTAGTATCCCGTATGCTTTTTTAACAGCTTTATCTACCTGTCCTGCCACCTTCAGAGATTTGCTTATGTGGACCCCCAGGTCTCTCTGTTCATTTGCCCCCTTTAAGATTGTACCATCTAGCCTATATAGCCTCTCCTCATTCTTCCTACCAAAATGCAACACTTCGCATTTCTCCACATTAAACCTCATCTGCCACGTTTCTGCCCATTTTACCAATCTGTCTTAAGTCCTCTTGGAGTCTGGTGCTATCCTCCTCACCATGGACTACTTTTCCTACCTTAGTATTGTCTGCAAATTTGGAAATTGTGCTCCCTATATCCAGATCCAGATCATTAATATAGATCAGAAAGAGCAGTGGTCCTAATACCGACCCCTGAGGGACACCACTACACACCTCCCTCCAGTCAGAAAAGCAACCGTTTGCTACCACTCTCTGCTTTCTGTCTCCTAGCTAGTTCTGGATCCATGTTGCCACAGTCCCTTTAATACCGTGGGCTTCTATTTTGTTTATAAATCTCTTATGTGGCACTTTGTCAAATGCCTTTTGAAAATCTAGATAAACTACACTACCTTCATCCACCCTCTCAGTCACTTCATCAAAAAATTCTTATTAAGTTTGTCAGACACCATCTGCCTTTAAGAAATCCGTATTGACTGTTCTTTATTCAACCATATTTTTCTAAGTGAGAATTTATATTGACCCAGATTATAGTCTCCAGAAGTTTCCCTACTTGATGTTAGGCTGATTTGCCTGTAGTTCTCAGGTTTATCATTCTGCCCCTTTTTGTACAGGGGAGTAACATTTGTAACCTTCGAGTCCTCTGGCACCACTCCAGTGTCCAAAGAGGATTGAAAGATTGTGGCCAGAGCCTCCGCTATTTCCACGCTTGCTTCCCTCAGTAACCCAGGATGCATCTCATCCGGACCAGGTGACTTATCTATGTTGAGCACCGACAGCCTTTTTAGTACGTTCTTTCTGTTGGTTTTTATCATATCCAATTTCTGTTCACACGCCTGCGATATTGTGGCATTGGTTGCATCGTCTTCTTTTGTTCAGACAGTTGCAAAGTACTTATTCAGTACATTATCTATGTCTCAACAAGAAGATTTCCACTTGGGTCTCTAATTGGACCCACCCTACCTTTAACTAACCTTTTACTCTTGATATGCTTACAAAATATCTTCAGGTTCCCTTTTATGTTTCCTGCTAATCTTTTCTCGTACAATCACCTCTTCCTTCTTATTTCCCTTTTCACTTCTCCTCTGTACTTCCTATATTCTCTTTGATAATCCTGTGTGTTTTGGACCTGACATTTGCCATAAGCGTCTTTTTTCTGTTATATTTTAATCCCAATTTCCTTAATCATCCAGGGAGGTTTGACTGTCCTACCTTTCCCCTTTGTGGGAATGTATTTGCTGTGTTTCCGATCTATCTCCTCTTTGAAGGCTTCCCATTGTTTGTTTGCTGTCTTCCCTGCCAATCTTTCTTTGCAATCTATCTTGCTAGGTCCCTTTTTAGCTCACTGAAATTAGCCCACTTCCAGTTGAAGGTCTTTACCTTTGATTGATTGTTGTCCTTTTCCATAACTATTCTAAACCTAATGATATTGTAATCACTGTTATGCAGATGCTCTCCTACTGAAACCTGCTTCACTTGCCCTACCTCATTTCCCAGAACTAAATCCAGTACTGCTTCCTTCCTCGTTGGGCTGGAAACATACTGATCCAGAAAGTTCTCCTGCACATTTCAGGAATTCCTCCCCTTCCTTGCCCTCTACACTGTGTGTTTCCCAATGTATGTTAGGATAATTGACATCCCCCATTATCACTACTCTATTGGTTTTGCATCTCTCCAAAATCTGCTTACAGATTTGCTTATCTATTTCCTTCCCACTATTTGGAGGTCTATAGTAAATACCTAACAGAGTAACAGCTCCTTTTCTGCTCCGTAACTAACCAAATAGATTCAGTTTTTGGACACTCTAACACATCGTCCTTTTCCAGGACTTTGACCGTGTCCCTAATGAGTATTGCCACCCCTCCTCCTTTTTTCCCTTCCCTATCCCTCCTGTAAAGGTAACCAGGAATATTCAGCTCCCATTCCTGTCCTTGCTTGAGCCAAGTCTCCGTAATTGCCATTACATCGTAGCCCCATGTGGCAACTTGAGCCGCCGCTCACCAAGCTTATTGGTCACGCTCCGTGCATTTACACACATGCACTCCAATACCGGCTTAATCCGCTCTATATTTCTCCCCCGTCTCTTTTCACTTTTTGCTGGACTATTCCTTGTTTCATTTCTATTTGTCTCCCCTCGTCCACTTTGTAACTTGTTTCCCCTCCCTGATGCTACATTCTGATCCCCATCCCCCCTCGAAATCAGGTTAAACGCTGATTTGTTTAAACACAGCACTTTTTATCCTTGTTGCAATGACATTGGTCCCAGGCCTGCTCAGGTGTACCCATCCCTTGTGTGCAGGTCCCATCTGCCTCAGAAGTGATCCCAGTGGTTTAGAAACCTGAAGCCCTCCTTCATGCACCATTTCTCCAGCCAGGCATTCAGGTGTTTGATCCTCCCGGTTTGGTATTCACTTGCATAAGGCATTGGAAGTAATCCTGAGATCACCACCATTGAGGTCCTGCTCTTTAGCTTCTTCCCAAGCTTCCGATATTCTCCCTGTAGCGTCTCAGCCCTTTTATCACCTACATCATGGATCCCGACATGGACCACAACTTCCGGATTTTCCCCTTCCCCCTGTAGGATATTTTGCTCCTGTTCCGTGACGTCATGCGCCCTGGACCCAGGGAGGAAGCATACCATGGGTATGCGCGAGTCCCATCTTTTACGGCAGAAAGGCCTGTCTATCCCTTTAACCTTTGTATCTCCAATGACAACAGCATTGGCATTTTCCCCCTTATCTCCCTGAACATCCATTACCTTTTGACTCTTCTCGCCAGAGGTGTCCTCACCGGTATCTAGTACCGAGAACCGGTTTGTGAGTGCCACACTCTTAGGGGATTTCTGTACTGCCTGTTCTTTTTTTGCTCCACGTCGGATGGTCACCCCCTCACCCTTCTTCTGAGCCCTCTGTGTAGCTAGGGTGACCACCTCAACTCTCTGTGGCTGTGGGGTGACCACCTCCTGAACTCTCTGTGGCTGTGGGGTGACCACCTCCTGAAAAGTTTGATTCATAAATTCTTCAGCCTCCCGTATCCTATGTAGTGACTGTAGCCTCTCTTCAAGCTCAGCGACCCTGAGTTCAAACTTAAGCAGCCAGAAGCACTTCCTACATGAACCATCCTGGAGTTCCCACACAATGTGCATTGAAGGGGTCTCAGCTGCCCTGCCAGGTTTTCAGACATGTTTTGTCTCAACAGTTTCGGGGTAAATAGGTAAAAACAAGTAATTTCACACCTTTTATTCCCTTGCTCACACTCCTTATATACTAAATGCCTACTCAACACCTACCGCCACAGGAATGTGACCTTTTGTGCAGACTCTTGGGGGGTTTGTTTCTCCTTTACAAGTTCTCACCTCCACCGAATTTCCCCCTCTGCACCGAATTCCCACTCTCACCTAATTCCCAAACAGAATTCTCACTCTGTTCCTTCTCAAGCTCCTGGGCTCTCTGCATTGGAGTGTCAGCTCAGTTTGTGTGTGTTCAAGTCCTGACGTGGGATTTGAACCCATAACCGTCTGATTCACTGAGCCAAGCTGACACACATCATAATGACATTTGATCTGACATCTGAGATGCCGTCCGCCATGGAGGGCGCTATATAAATCCAAGTTGTTGTTGTTGTATCTTATAATAATAATTGTAATAATAATAATAATAATAATCCTTGCATTTGATATAGCACTTTCCACATCTTCTAGATGTCTCAAAGCGCTTCACAGAATATGCTGTAAAGTGAATTGACCGTATATTTGTGGCCGAAACCAGGCAGCCAATTGTGCACAGCAGTGTTCCACAAACAGCTGTGGATTGGAAATGACCAATTTATTACTGTTTTGTTTTGGAGGGATTATTATTAGGCGTGTGGAATAAGGAAACTTGCCCAAGGGTTCGCCCTGCCTGGAATTGAACCCAGGTGTCTCGCTTGCAAGGCGAGGGCTCTAACCGCTGAGCTATAGGACTCCACAGTCCTGTAATAATCCTTGTATTTGATATAATGCCTTATCAAGTCTTTGAGATGTCTCCAAGTGCATCACAGAATATGCTGTAAAGTGAATTGACTATAGTTTTTTGGGGGGATTGGTACACAAATCCACATACACTGAGCTAAATGGTTGTTACCCTACTAGACTTAAGCTTGTTTTTGTTCTGCGCCCCAGGGCAGCAGGATTGGAGTAGAGGCCGTGATAGCTTTGTTGGAGGCATCACCAGACACTCCAGCTTGTGTTGTATCACTGTCGGGGAATCAAGCTATTCGCGTTCCCTTAATGGAGTGCGTGCAGATGGTAAGTAATAGACATGAACGAACCAATGTGATCGTCCATCTCTTGTTGGCAGTCCTGCAGCATGCACAAAAACCTTGATTGGCACTTTTGCAAGTTCTAGTTTGAATAAACAATTGTTTTGCATAGAGAAGGATGAATTAAGTTGTTATTTCGGCAATGGTTGTTCAATTCTTTGAACTTGGTCAACTGAAGTGATGCACTCTTAATCTCACCAAGCCAGTACAAACCTTGGCGTCTTGGTCGACCATCAACTGTCCTTTAAATCCTACATCCGTGCCATAAACCATTCTGCCTTTCCTCACTTCTGCAACATTGCCCGCCTCCGCAACTACCTCTTCCCTCAGCCCGCCAAGACCCTCATCCACGCTTTCCTCACATCCAGGCTTGAATATGCTAACTCCCTGTTTGCTTGACTTCCCAACTCTTCCGTTCACCAGTTGCCGATTACTCAGAACTTTGCAGCTCATGTCCTCTCCCGCACCAGGCTCAGTGAACCAATCAACCTCATTCTTGCCCAGCTTTATTGGCTCCCTATCCCCCAGAAAATCAAGTTTGAGATCCTTGTTTTATGATGCAGACACTGCCTCAAGCCCAGCTGTGTATGTCCTATGCTGTTTGGTTACCAAATTGAAGTTGACCTCATAAATTTACTGCAGAAAATTACACCAATTATAGTATTTTGTTTGGCTTACATTTGAGTGTTGAAACCACATAGAAAAAATTGGATCAATTTTTCATTAAGGAAGCATGCTCAATTTATACAGGTTAAAACTACATTTTAAAAGGTATAATCTAAGATCATAACCTTTTATTCTGTTTGGTTCTGAAATATGTTTAGACTCAGGAAGTGCAGAAGGCCATGGATGAAAAAAGATTTGACGACGCTGTGAAACTCCGGGGCAGGTAAAGAAACTGTACACTATATGCCTTGAATCCCATTTGACTTGAGGTTGTACAGATCTTGTTTAGTTGAATTCCGATTCCCAAACACAAATGCAGCTAAGCTTCCTCAAAGTTTTGGTTTTACAGTGAACTACAAAGAGCAAACAATTCCAATCTTTGCTGAGTGACTGATTAGGTTGGACAAGAGTTGATGCACTAAGATAGATCTGAGTGCTCTAAACCAGGGAAGGGAAAAATCAGCCATTTTTTCCTACTTCTGATTTCTTATCTAGGAAGTGTGCACGTGGACCCCAGAGGCCCCAAAATTCCTTTAGGCTTAAGTAACTATTGTAAAGGACAAAAATGTAGATTTCTTTTTGCGTGATATTTCTGCTGTTAAGAGATCTACCAATGGAGTGAGTGCAAGACTTTAGAAGGCTTTGAACGCTCAGTGTCTTTACATAACAATATTGCTAAGGATTTTGGATGGAAGGCATTACCAGTGTAATTTGTTGGTTACAGCTGAGCTGTCTGACATGTATTCAACAGCAACAACAACAAAATTACATTTGTATAGCACCTTTCACATTGGGAGGATGTCCCAAGGGGTTGGACAATCAGTGTTTTGGACCTCAGCTGCAGGTAATGATCAGGAGGGTGGAGGGCAGGAAGGGAAGGAGGGTGATCGAAGGCACTATTCGAAGAGGAGGGTCTTAAGATGGATCTTGAAAGAGGCAAGGGAGGGGGTAAGGCAGAGGGACTGCAGGTTGGGGTTCCAGAGGGTGGAGGCGGAGTGGTTGAAGGCCTGCCCGCCAGTGGTGTGGTGGGCGAGGCGCAGGACGTGAAGCAGGCTGGAGCTTGCTGAGCGGAGGAAGTGTGTATGTTGGTAGGGTTAGGAGGTTGCAGAGGTGGGGGGAGCAAGGCCATGGAGGGCTTTGAAGGTGAGGAACAGGTTCTTGAACTGTATCCTCTGTGTGATGGGAAGCCAGTGGAGATGGGCGAGGATGGGGATGATAGGGTCACAGAGACTGGTGCGGGAGAGGTCATAGGTTGCAGAGTTCTGGATGATCTGATCTGCAGCCTATGTAGGGAGGAGTTGGTGAGGTGACAAGCAGGGAGTTTGGATAGTCCAGCCTCATGTTATGAATGCGTGTATGAGGGTTTTGGCAGCCTGCGGTGTGAGACAGTGGTGGAGCTGGGTGATGCTGTGGAGGTGGGGGAACGCAGAGCGGGTCATGGCATGGATGTGGGGTAGAAAGGATAGTTGAGGGTCAAACAAGATGCCAAGGTTCCGGAGTGGCTTAGTAAAGTGGAGTGTGCATCCTTGGATGGTGATACTGTCAGCGCCCGAGGTGTGGTTCCTAATTAAATTTGGAGCAGCAAATGCTTTCTATCACAAACATGGCAGTACAGTTATCTAGGCCTTACAGCAGGTCTCTGGAATGCATACTTTTAAATGTACCTTTCACATCAACACAAAAGATACTGTGGAAAGCAAATTAAAGGCAAAAGGCATTTTCATAGCAAGTCATTGTGGAAAGACAATGACTTGCAATGAAGTGACTTGATATTATTATATTAAGTCATTTCATTGCAATAAGACATAGACATGTCCTGTAGCTCAGTGGTTAGAGCACTCGCTTTGCAAGTGGGAGACCTGAGTTCAATTCCAGGCAGGGCGAAACCTTGGGCAAGTTTCCTTACTCCACACGCCTAATAATAATCCCTCCAAAAACAAAAACAATAATAAATTGGTCATTTTCAATCTACAACTGTTTGTGGGACATTGCTGTGCGCAATTGGCTGCCGCGTTCGTCCACAAATATACAGTCAATTCACTTTACAGTGTGTTTTGTGAAGCGCTTTGGGACGTCCTCCCGACGTGAAAAGCGCTATATCAAATGCAAGGATTATTATTATTTTATTATTATGTGAAAGTATTCAGAAGGCATTTTAATGGTTTCAGTTTGAGTTCAGTAGTTAGTATTCTTACCTTTTGAATCGAAAGGCTTGACGTCCTCCCGACGTGAAAGGTGCTCTATAAATGGAATCTTGTTGTTGTTGTACATTAACATTCCCAATGCAAGGAGAGTGCTGCAATGTTGGAAGTATTCTTTTCGATGAGATGGTAAACTGGTTTGGGGAGAGCATTACACAGTGCATCGATTTTTGATCCTTCAATGTTGGCTCTTTCTATCATTGTGAAGCAGAATCATCAAGCGTTGGAATGTTCACCCACTGATAGACAACATGAGTTGGGTTTACATTGTCGTGAGACGGGTTACTTTTACGCAACTAGTGATGTGTTGTTCTAATAGTAATCCTGAGGTCTGCCTGTTCTAGTAAACTGAGGTCTGCCTGTTCAGGTGCTAACTGATTCACCCACTGTTTTGGCCAGCAAGTTCCACATTCTCACTGCCCTTTGCTTGAATAATAATAATAATAATAATCCTTGAAGTAGTTCCTCTAAAAGGTTTAGGCGATGCATGTACGGATCTTGCGAACCAAGGCTGTTGGAACTGCTGCACTAGGTACATTTGTGACCTTAGCACTATTTGCAAGAAAAACATGGTATATGTTATTTATGTTCCTAAAGTCAATAAAAAAAATGTTTTTATTATTTATTTTAATAAATCATTGTTTCTTTGCAAGAAGTACTACGATCCTGGCTATACATGGTGTGACTATACTTGGCTCTACCTTCCACGGCCTTGCACCTTCCTATCTCTGCGACCTGCTAACCCCATATTAACCTGTCCGCTCCCTCTCTGGCCTCATGCATATCCCCCGCCTGTTACGCCCCACAATCGGCGGTTGGGCCTTCAGCCTCTCTGACTCCATCCTTTGGAACTCCATCCCACATTCCCTTCGCCTCACTCCCTTCCTTGCCTCCTTCAAGGCACCTCCCCTTCAACCTTGCCTTCGGCCACCTTGCCAACCCTGCCACCTTTCCTGATCCCAACCCCCGTGGTTCGGGTCCAAATGCCTGACTGTACATTGCCTTCAGTCTTCCTCCCGATGAGAAAAGCGCTATACAAATGTAATTTTGTATTATATGACCATTCCAAAGCTTAAATCTTTTTGGTATGAAACTATCCACCTGCTCCCTCGACCTCATCCCTATTACTCTCCTTACCACCCAACTCTACCTCCTTACCCCTCTACTCACAGAAATCATAAACCTCTCTCTGTCCACAGACACCGTTCCCACCCCTTTAAAAACAACCGTCATCACTTCTAGCCTTAAAAACCCTCTCTGGACCCATCCCTACTCTCAAATTACTGCCCCATCTCCAACCTGCCTTTCCTTTCCAAGGTCCTGGAATGAGTCGTTGCTTTCCAGCTTCACCCCTTCCTCTCCCGCCACTCTCTTCACAAACCCCTCCAATCGGGTTTCCGTGCCGCCCACAGCACAGAAACAGCTTTAGTCAAAGTGACAAATGACATTTTGTTCATCTGCGACCAGGGCTCCCTTTGCCTCCTCAACCTCCTCGACCTCTCTGCTGCCTTTGATGCCGTTGACCACTCTATTCTCCTCCATCGCTCTCCTCTCACTTCAACCTTCATGGTTCTTCTGTCCTTGAATGGTTCAGATTCTACCTCTCACATGGTCTCCACTTCATCTCCACAAACGGTTTCTCCTCTAGCCCCTATACTGTCTCGTGCGGCGTCTGTCAGGGGTCTGTCCTTGGTTTCCCCCTCCTCTTTATATGAGCATCTATACACTCCCTCTTGGTGAATTCGACATGTATGTGGATGACACCCAACTCTATATCTCTATATCTATATATATATCTATATCTCTATAGATATAGAGATATATCTATATATATATATCTATATCTCTGCCTCAACCCTCGACTCCAGAACAACTGATGTCCTGACAGACTGCTGACATCAACAACAACAACAAGATTACATTTGTATAGCGCCTTTCACATCAGGAGGACGTCCAAAGGCGCTGGACAGAATACAGCATTTCAGACCTGACCAAGCCCTGGATGAGAGCTAACTTTCTACTGTTGAATGTCAACAAGACTGAGGCTCTCCTGGTTGGCTCCTGTCAGCGCCTCCACACCTCAGGTGCTGACAGCATCACCAACCAAGGATGCACACTCCACCTTACTAAGCCAGTCCGGAACCTTGGTTTCGTGTTTGACCCTCAACTATCCTTTCTATCCACATCTGTGCCGTGACTCGCTATGCCTTCCCCCACCTCTGAAACATTGCCCGGCTCCACCACTGTCTCACAGTACAGGCTGCTGAGGTCCTCAAACATGCATTCATAACATCCAGGCTTGACTATGCAAACTCCCTGATTTTCGGCCTCCCCAACTCATCCCTCCATAGGCTGCAGATCATCCAGAACTCTGCAGCCCATGTCCTCTCCTGCACCTGGCTCCGTGACCCTATCACCCCTATCCTCACCCGACTCCACTGGCCTTCCACACACACAGAGGATACAGTTATCTCACAGAGTTCAAGATCCTGGTCCTCACCTTCAAAGCCCTCCATGACCTTGCTCCCCCCTAACCACAGTCCCTCCGCCTCAGCCCCTCTCTTGCCTCCTTTAAGACCCATCTCAAGCCCCTCCTCTTCGACTGTACGTTCGATCACCATCCTTCCCTCCCTGTCCTCCACCCTCCCCGATCCCGATCCCCAGCGTGGGTCTGAAACACTGATTCTGCAGGGCTTTGGGTTGTCCTATAGTGACGTGAAAGGTGCTATACACATGTAATTTTGTTGTTGTTTCTTGTGTATACCAAAAAATGCCATCAAATTGTCATCATCTCTTTTGGGGTTAGACTTGGGGTTAGATGGATTTTTGACACTCAAGAATTTTTTAAATATTGCATTTGTTGTGCAAGCTACACTTGGAGCGTCAAGTGTAGTGGCACTTCACATAAATTATATTATCGAGGTATTTCTGACTCCATCTGGTAATAATTTACCACTGTGACTGTTCTTATGACCTTTCAATGAAATGTGATTGAAATTATTTAAATATGCTACATTAACCTACAGAGGTGAGCCTCTTACTGTTAATAATTATCTGAATTCTGTATGCAGATTGGAAACAACAATGTGATAAGTTATTCATTAAATAGCTATAATTTTATCATTTCTGTGTACTGGGCCATCTCTTTTTTGCCAATCCTTTTTTTGTGCTGATTTTCCATTAGATCAGAAATTAGTTTAGAAATTGTGATGTAATTCATGCGAAATGTTGCATATTGCCAGATCAAAAAATAAAAATGTTTCAAATTTTTTTAAAATAAAAGTTACATTTTATAAAATAATAAAAGTTTTGTTTGAATCAGCACAAAATATAATTATGGCATATAATTGGATCAGCCCCACAGTAATGTCTATATCTGGTTTTAGTCTAGTGCTTTCTGCTGAGTGAAACCATATTGGAAATACTGACTTGATGTTAACACTGCTTTAATGAACATTTTTTTAAATTTTCCAGTTGATGTTGAGATAGCGAAAAATAAACAAATGTAGCGGCATGGTGGGGAGAGAAATAGACCCATTCATTTTCAATATCCAGTCAACCTAAATGTTTGAATTATTCAAATAGAAATATGGGAATATTCAGGACAGGAAAAGACCAACTGTCTTATCCCAACATTGTAACTTTACACTGCATGGTTTATAGTTTACAGTTATAAATAATGTGTATTCCAGTCTGTGTATTCATGTGCTTATTTGCTTTTTTAAAATTATATTCTTTAGGAGCTTCGTGAACAACCTAAACACATATAAGTTGTTGGCACATAAGACAAAAGATGTAGAGCCTCCACAAGTAAGTCAATCCTATACTGAAACTTGTTTGTGAAAACTGTGCAGTTATATAGTAAATTAGAGCAATACTCAGCAGTACAGAGAAATAACTTATTCACCTTTGACTTGTCAGTAATGTTTTGTGAATTGTGGTGCTAACTGAATCGGTATGCTTCTCTTTCATTGCTGTCTAACAGGATGGCCTGGATGAAGTATGTCACTATAACCTGATTAGATACACAGTGCTTAGTTTGAATGTGGTGGTGGGAGGTTGGGCTTTACACACGCTCGCCTGGCACTGTTTATTGTAACTGCTCTTTTGCTTTTAGAACTTGAAGCTCCCATTACACAAAGTATCCCTGTAACTGTTGTACGTTTCAACTCACCCAATGTAGATAGACATTGCTATGTGAGCATTGACATGGTGTACACATTTGCAATGGAAGGCTTTTCTGCTGCAGCACTCCAGGAAACAAACACTGATCATTGTGATCTTTTACAAAGCTTTTCAAATGTCGGAGAAGTTTTGTTTTAAAACAGTTTAAATTTGTAAATGCAAAGCTTCTGCTGCGTTAAGCACGAGCGTGTTTGAAAACATATTTAGATAAAATATTCTTCACCTGCTGTATATGCTTCAACAGGTGAGAACGAGTAAGGAACTAAGGGAGCAGGTTAGGGCAAGACTCGATTGGGTTATTAGAAAGGAAGAAGCACAGGAAGAAAAATTTAATGAATTCCTTCAAAGTACACTATTGAGAGTGCAAAGTATTGAGAAATAGGTGTTGTGAAGAAGAGGAAATACAACAACAACAAAATTACATTTATTTCACGTCTGGAGGACGTCCCAAGGCGCTGGACCCGAGCATGGGGGAGAGGTGAGAGAAGGCAGAGAGGTGGGAGGGTGACCGAAGGCACGATCAAAGAGGAGGGTCTTGAGACCGGCCTTGAAGGAGGCAAGGGAGGAAGTGAGGCGAAGGGACTGTGGGATGGAGTTCCAGAGTGTGGGGGGAGAGAGGCTGAAAGCTCGGCCACCGATGGTAGGGCCGGTCGGGTGGGAAATATGGAGTAGGAAGTCAGCAGGTCATAGAGGTAGGAGGGGCAAGGCCATGGATGGCCTTGAAAGTGAGGACGAGGATCTTGAATTGATCCTCTGAGGGATGGGGAGCCAGTGGAGTCGGGCGAGGGTGAGAGCGATGGGGTCATGGCAATGGGCAACAGAGATGAATCGGGTAGGATAAATAATGCATCCCCAAAATCGACGTCATAGGAGCAAGGGGAGGCTGTGAAGGCTGTCTATGTTCTGCCAATTTATTCAATTATGGTAAATCTTTCCATTTCCTTGCTTTTTTCTACTTACATACCTTTCCCAGTGATCCATTTTATCTCCCTTTTAAATATTCGAATTGATTCTCCATGTATAATCTTCTGAAGTAGTGCATTCCACATTTTAACAATGTTTCTGAGTGAAGAAATGGTTCCGGATCACATTCTAACATTCCTGGCACTCATTTGACGATAATACCCCCTTGCTTATTAATAAGTCTACCAGAGTCACCCACTGACTAGTTTATCAGTTTCATTAATTGTCTTAAACAGCTGAACCAGCTCACTACCTTACCTCCGCAGCAGCAAAGTTTATAACCCAAACATCCAGTCTCCCATTATAGCTAAATCCTGATTCATCTGCCACGCCCCTTCTTTAGATTGAATGCCCAAACCAAACACAATACTCCAAGTAAATGTAGCACTCTGTATAACTGGAGCAGCACTTCCACACTTTTATTCAAGGCTGCTCGAGTGACCTTAGGGATATCTTAAATAATTTTTTGGAGGACACAGTCTAGCTTCCGAATGTGGACAGAATTTTTAAGACAAGGAGATTATAATAATATAATAATCCTTGCATTTGATATAGCGCTTTTCACGTCAGGAGGACGTCCCAAAGCGCTTCACAGAACACACTGTAAAGTGAATTGACTGTATATTTGTGGGCGAACCAGCAGCCAATTGCGCACAGCAATGTCCCACAAACAGTCGTAGATTGAAAATGACCAATTTATTATTCTTTTTGTTTTTGGAGGGATTATTATTAGGCGTGTGGAGTAAGGAAACTTGCCCAAGGTTTCGCCCTGTGCCTGGAATTGAACTCAGGTCTCTCGCTTGCAAAGCGAGTGCTCTAACCACTGAGCTACAGGACTCCAATTATAAGAACAATAGATAAGTTGAATGGAAGAATGAATGTCTGACTGGCTAAAACAGATTGCCGGAAGCCCAGGCCTGAATTGAGTACTTAAGGTTCTTAAGAACTTTTGTTTGAAGTGGTTGTTTGAAGTGGCTGATGAAATTGATTATTTCTGGCTAGTTATTTTTTAGGGATTCATTTAGTGAAAACATTGAAGGAGGCATTGACTGTGCAGAGGGGAGATAGTGGCTGATTATGTCAGCAAAGGCAGAGGGAAATGAGAACAATTGGTGTTGATTTTGATGGAGCGATATGAGAATGAGTGTGCGATTTTTTTATTTCTTTGCGACAGGCTGAATCTTTATAGTTAATAATGATCTCTCTGGTACTGTATATGTTGCTAAATCATCAGTGTGACATTTATGATACAATATTGATCACTTCCCATGAGTTAGTATCATGTTGGTATTACAAAACCTTGCAATTCTTTCAGTTCTCAAAAGGTTAAATTCCCAGGAATTTGAGACGTTTTCAATGTTAATGCTGTGGACTGTGAAGTGAAACAATAAGAAGTACGAAAATGCTCAAGAACTAGTTGTATTCTAGCTGTTCAATGTATATGAAACTGAACGCTTTTTACTACCTGTCCTCCGGTAGATACAAAATAATAATCTACAGGATGGTTCAAATGGCGGCCCATGGGCTGATTTCATCCAGCACCCCCCTCCCCCACCACCATCCCTCCATTTCATCTGGTCCACCCGTGCTCTCCATAACCCTTATGTTATGTTTCTGGAAGTGAAACATAAAATATTGCTTATGTGGGCCACAAACGTTTCTCAAATAGGGCATCTGGTCCTCAGCAGCCAAAAGATTGGATCACCCTGATCTCGACTAATGGTCTGATCAATTTCTTTATATTTTATAATTTTGACAGGTAATAAGTTACATTTCTAGAATGTATATTTTGATAGCTACATTTTAAAATTGAAACCTCCCAACTGTCCGAGGTTTCCACTTTGCTGACTTGATTGATTGTGTGATAATCTCGCAAGTGGTAGCACCTAACAGACTAAATGATTAAAAGGTCTGGAAGCTCTTCGTAACAATTGCATGAAGGCTTGCAGTAGCCAATTCCACCCGTGGTCACTGTTCATTTTGCCATGCTCTTTTTCTGTTTAGAAACTGTCCCAGAGTCTAAAAAAATATAGTTTCACAGCAAAAACGAGAAACCAATTGAAAGACCACTTGCGTGTACAGAAAATAAATGAGTAACTTTACTCAACCCAGCATGAAATGGGGATTTTTTAATAGCAGTGATGCAACAATCAGAACTAGTGCTTGAGTAAAATGATCAGTAGCAGGAGTCTCACAGTGCTTGTCCAGTTAGGCTAGTGGTCAGGCTTTGCTAACGGGGATGAGCATTTGACTACGCCTCCAAGTTTCATTGTTGATCTCCACAGACTGTGCAACCAACAACTATACCTTGGATTATTGACCTTGCCAATAAAAAGCCTAAGGAGACCCACGGGGAGCCTCTTATTGACCCCATAGTGATATTTTTTGTGTGTGGAAGGGAAAATGTATCAATCTTGAAAATGCTTTTACCCTCCAAAATGTCAAGGATCCTGCATTGTGGAAACTCAAATTTACACCTGAAGCCCATAATTCAACCTAGTCTTAACCTATAAGTTTGTTTTGTCTTTAAATTTGGGATCGTGCAAAGTTGAGGAAAATTCTTCTATTTTAATTTGGAAGCTGGCTTTCCACGATTCTATTTTATTTTTTTACCAAAAAAGATTCAAAAATAAGGCTCAGTGTAAGTATTTATCCACAGCTCCGGTCAGTGTTAAATAACACTAGATCACAAGATTGGTTTGTACGAAGAAGTCTCTTTTGCCCATCCAATCTCATCCTTCCAGAACACCCACCCTATTATCAGGACGTGGAGTCCTGTAGCTCAGTGGTTAGAGCACTCGCTTTGCAAGTGAGAGACCTGAGTTCAATTCCAGACAGGGTGAAACCTTGGGCAAGTTTCCTTACTCCACACGCCTAATAATGATCCCTCCAAAACCCAAAACAATAATAAATTGGTCATTTTAAATCTACCACTGTTTGTGGGACATTGCTGTGCGCAATTGGCTGCCGCGTTCGCCCACAGATATACAGTCAATTCACTTTGCAGTGTGTTCTGTGAAGCGCTTTGGGACGTCCTCCCGACGTGAAAAGCGCAATATCAAATGCACGGATTATTATTATTATTATTATCACACCCCATTCCCCCATCAAAGCATCAAGTTGCTTTTTAACTGAGTGCAGTGGTTTGGCCTCTAATGCCTTTTTGGCAAACTGTGGTTAATTACCCTCTGAGTAATTCGAAACCAATGTCCTCTACTGTCTTGTTGCATCCTAAAGTATTGATCTGGGTTTACTTTTTCAATTTGATTTTAAATTTTATATACTTCTATGAGGCATAAACAGATTTAAAGCTGTCAATTGATGCCAGTTAATGACCAGATATGAATTTAAGATGCATACTTCAAGAAAGTGAGGCCCGAGAACATATTGGATATTGATGCATTGGGAATAGGTAACAGAAAACTTCTTTTTACTAAATGTTTGAACTAATTTACCTAAGTAAGATACTAGAAGCAAACGAAAACCCTCCTGGGGTTATTCTAAGTATAATGAGCTTTAGTGGGCATAGGAGTGATGCTATGCTTGGCTTTCTTATGCTATGCTTGGCCTTTTCTTATACGTGGACAGTCGAACACAAGGCGGAGATATTGTCCAGAAAAGAAAAAAAAGGAGCAGGTAAGAGTTGATACTTAGTGAAATAATAAGTCAGGAAGAGAAAGAACGGTAAAGTGGGCAATATATATGTATATATATTTTAAAAACCCACAAAATAGGTGTATTGAACACTGTGACAAATGCTGATAACCGGCTCAAAATGCTCTTGTTAAAAATTTAATCCTGTTTATGACATTCTAGTGAGCAGGCTAGTCTGAATTCAAATATTTATTAAGCATAAGGTGCAGTATAAATAAAAATAGTTTTGGGGGGACGGGGTATATTTGTGTTGTCTGTGACTTTTCACGGAAATTTCCCATTATTTTTGGCACTTCTTTGTGATTACTGAGCCTCTGATGGAGCAAATGTAGGTGAAGCGTTGAATGGGGTTGAGAGCATGGCCAGGGAAATGTAGGGAGTCTAATGTGCATTTGATCATTTAACTGTGAATTCCATTTACTTGCTGCCCAATACTCGCAAACTGCAAATTCCAAACTGGGAAAGGCCCAGAAGTGACTGGTGAGAGGAATGAAAATCACATGTAAGGGAACAAATTTGATTTGCAAGTACAGTGGAAGCTGCTTTAGCTGGACAAAATGCTGTCATTGGCACTCCACTGTATTCCATTTTAGACCTTGTAAACCTCAGTGGTTTTCCCATCAATTTGTTGCATCTGTTTTTTCTTGTCACTCCCGAAGGAGTTTGAATTATTTTTATCCTATTCCTTAGGAGTCATTCCACTGTTGACCCTGTGCGAGTATATTATTCATATGCAAGCCTATTTCACTCCGGAGCCATCACAGCCAAGCCTCCAATACAGTTCTCATGAAATATGCACACACTGCATTCATTCCCTCAGGCATCTCTGAACAGTAATCAGGAGTAGGAACCTTGGCTGCTTTTTCTTTCCTTAACCACGGGGGCTCTTAAGTGTGGTGATGAGTTTTCGTGTGCATCAGGCTGATCATTTTTTTTAATTAAAACAAAGGAATAGTTAAGTAAACCTAGGTGTGGTTGGTTTATTGCGTAAACAATGAATAAAATGCACCATATTTGGAATATAAAATAAATGTACCATAATTTAATCAGTCAGCTGTAGTGCTGAGTGGGTCAGGTATGAGAAAGCACATTAAATTAATTTTGTAGATATGGAAGAGGCGGGGGTAAAAATGTACTTGTGTTAAATTTCCAAATTTAAATAATTTCAGGACAGACATACCTCACAGAAAAGATTAGAATAAGAAAAGGCCATTTCACCCATTGAACTTGCATCTTTTACAGATCACACGCAACCTATGATAATAAAATAATAAAAATCTTAGATTTGTATAACACCATTCATATCGGGAGGACGCCCTAAGGCTCTGCTAACACAGCGTTTGCTAGCCTTAATGAAATGGCCTTCAAAGAATGTACTTTTTGCCTACAAAATATACAGTCAATTCACTTTACAGTATATTCTGTGAAGTGCTTTGAGATGTCTCGAAGACGTGATAAGGCGCTATATCAAATCCAAGAATTATTCTTATGTACTGTAAAGTACAGTGACTGTGTTTTGTACATGAGCTCCCACATCTTACTTTATCATTGAATCCATATCACCCACTCCGTTTCTGGAAAAGGGAAAGGTGCAGATGGAGAAGGGAAATATCTACATACTTATTCCCGGATCCCTAATTGAAATTTAGTAAAACTGTCCTTAATCTTCAATCTGAGTCAGTACCTTTTGATGCGTCTTCCCATAGTATTGATTCCTTTTGTTAGGTTTTGTTCTACACTCATGGTCTATATCTATAAGGCTGTTTACATCCACTTTGTTGTGTTTTAATCCCCTTTACAAATCTGAAAGCGTTCAAATCTCTTTTTTTCCTCTCGAAGGGGAATGAGTTCAACCTGTGTGCTCCTCTTCAGTGTTTCTCTTTTTTCTTCATTATCTTTTTTAAAGATAAGCTGCGCACAATTTTATAATGTACCTTGAACTGGATCCTCTGAAGGATAGGGAGCCAGTGGAGTCGGGCGAGAATGGGGGAGATGGGGTCACGGAGTTTGGTGCGGGAGCGGACACGGGCTACAGATTATCTGCAGCCTGTGGAGGGAGGAATTGGGAAGGCCGACAAGCAGGGCATTGCAAACATAGTCGAGTCTGGACGTAATGAACAAGAGTTTCAGCGGCCTGAGGGGTGAGGTAGTGACGGAGTCGGGAGATGCTACGGAGGTGAGGGAAGGCAGAGCGGGTCATGGCTTGGATGTGGGGAAGAAAAGACAGTTGAGGGTCGAACAAGATACCTAGGTTCCTGACTGGCTTGGTGAGTTGTAGTGTGCAACCATGGAGGTTGATGCTGCCAGAGCCTGAGGTGCTGAGGTGCTGGTGCGAGCCAATCAGGAGGGCCTCAGTCTTGTTCACATTCAACTGTAGGAAATTTGCTCTCATCCAGGACTTGAGTCTGTCAGGACAGCAGTGGTCCTGGCGTTGAGGGTGGAGGCAGAAAGATAAGAGTTGGGAGTCATCCGCATACATATGGAAGTTGACCCCATGTCTGTGGATGATGTCACCAAGGGGGAGCATGTAGATATTAAAGAGGAGGGGGCCAAGGGCAGAGCCCTGGGGGCCGCCAGACGTGACAGTGTGGGGCCTGGAGGAGAAACCGTTCGAGGCAACAAAGTGGAGGCGGTGAGAGAGATAGAATTTGATCCAGGCAAGGGCAAATCTGCGAAGATTAAGTAAAGAGGAGAGTTGGTGTATGAGGATGGAGTGGTCGACAGTGTCGAAGGCGGCAGAGAGATCGAGGAGGACAAAGAAGCAGAGGGAGCCCTGATCACAGATGGCCAGAATGTCATTAGTGACTTTGACCACAACAACAATCAACAATTTACATTGATATGGCACCTTTCACATCTCAAGCGCTTAGCACAAATGCCTGTTCTGTGTACTGGAGGGATGGAGAGCATGGATGTAGAGAAAGGTTTTGAGGGAGGGGAAAGAGGGTGCAACACAGAGAGGGACTCCGGGATTGATTAGACTGAATATGTAAAGGATTAAACGCCCTCTGATGGTGGAGCAGAACAGGCATGGAAACAAGGAAGCAGATCACTGTTAGCTGAGTGGGGGCAGAAGCATGGGCTGAGGAAGGACGTAGAGGAATGGGGGAGGAGAGGCCATGGAGCCATTTGAAAGTGAGGATGACCGCTGGGGTAAGACGAACCAGTGGAGCTGAGCAAGGACAGGCTGGGGTTCTTGCAATTGGCATGCACTGATCAGGGCTTCTTTCCTTGTTTGCCTCAATGGGTATTGTTTTTGTCTTAAACGAACAGTAACTCCTTTTATGATCAATTTACGTGGAGTGGAATTTATATAAAGTATCCAGAAGCAAAGATAGACAGTCTTTCTTACATATTCCAACTTTCAGAAAAAGGGTGAAACCATTTTAAAACCTACAATGCCCATATTTTCAAAATATAATTAAATTTCATAAAAATACCAATTCACTACTTTACCCCCCCCCAAAAAAATTCAAAAATCCATTTTTAAAGTCTTTGGATTTTGAGGTGTTAGATTTGCAAACGATCAGGATTACAAGAAGTATCAAATTTGAAATTATGGTAGTGAAAATTGAAACTGTACAAAAGAAATATGGGTTCCGATTAAATTTACTTAGTAAAATGGAAAATTAATTTCTTAGTAGTGCAATCAGTATTTAACAAAGAATTGCTGCTTCAGTCTTACAAACTGATTACTGACCTTCATAATCATGGCATCGCTGCTTAAATAGCTGTTAATATTTGTTTTTGAGTTGCATCTAGAAATGCTTAATTATGTAACCATTTTAATAAAAGCAGTATGATTTTTCCTGTGTTATTTTCGCCACTTGAGTACTGACTGCATGAAATATTGCAAGAGAGGAATAAATGATTGGTCTTTTACAAAGCAGGGTAAAATTTCCTATGGCAATGTCTGAATATGAAATGGTGCTTGATTTATTGTTGAGGAACTTAAAAATGCTTGGCTTCTGTGGATAAGTGGGCATTGTGTAAAAAAAATTTTTTAATGCCAAGTCCAGCCAACTTCAGCTTTGACGTCTGATCTTTTCTTTTCCTCTGTCCACCTTCCTTCCTGTTACCCAAACAGAGCAGCTTCAATGTGGCGGTGCTTAATGTAGGTGCCCCAGCCGCTGGAATGAACGCGGCTGTTCGTTCCGCAGTGAGAATCGGCATCACTGAAGGTCACAGAATGTTTGCCGTGGCTGATGGGTTTGAAGGATTTTCCAAGGGGCAGGTGAGTGGCAGTGTCTCATTGCCATCGTAAGTTTTGCCTTCAGTGATATTCTGTGGAATTTAAAACTTCAGCAAATACACAAAATCGTGATAATATTTGCATTTGATATAGCGCCTTTCAGATCAGGAGGATGACTCAAAGTGCTTCACAGGAATTACTGTATTTTGTAGGTGACAGTTTTGGCAGACAGTTTTCACACAACAATCTTCCACAAACAGCCATGAAATGAATGACCAATTTTATATGGCTGATCATTGACCAGGACACCAGGAGAAACTTTTGAAATCGTGCTATGGGATCTTTAATGTTCACCTACACATCCAGATGGGAACTTGGTGTAATGTTTCATCTGAAAGATGGCACCTCCGATAATGCAGCACACCCCCATCACTGAAATGTCAGCCAACACTGTGAGCTGAAAGGCCTAATTATGGTGCCGGATGTTCACCCAGACTGGGGGTGGGAAATGAAGGGGTGGAGAAGGAGCTGGAGGGGAAGATGACCGAAAGCAGGGGCAAAAATGGTACATTTTGAGACATACCTTGAAAGAGGGAGGGTACGAGTCAGAGGAACTCTGGGATGGAGTTCCAGATAGTGGAGGAATAATGACTGAAAGCCTGCCTGCCAATGGTGGACAGATAGGGTGGAGGACATGAAGCAGGCCAGTGCTCACTGAGCGAAGGAAGTGGCTGGGTTGTTAGAGTCACAGAAGTCAAAGAAGTAAGTGGGGTGATACTGTCAAGGTTGTTGAACAAGGATCGAGAGGTTTTCTCTTTCGCTTATCTCCTTGAAGGTCCATCTCAAGACCTACCTCATTGACTGTTTTTGGTCACCCTCCCCATCCACTCTGCTCCACCCCCAGCTCCCATGCCACGCCAGGATTGTTAATAATAATATAATAATAATCCTTGCATTTGATATAGCGCTTTTCACGTCGGGAGGACGTCCCAAAGCGCTTCACAGAACACACTGTAAAGTGAATTGACTGTATATTTGTGGGCGAATGCGGCAGCCAATTGCGCACAGCAATGTCCCACAAACAGTCGTAGATTGAAAATGACCAATTTATTATTGTTTTTGGTTTTGGAGGGATTATTATTAGGCTCTGTGTGGAGTAAGGAAACTTGCCCAAGGTTTCGCCCTCTGCCTGGAATTGAACTCAGGTCTCTCACTTGCAAAGCGAGTGCTCTAACCACTGAGCTACAGGACTCTGCCTTGGGATAGCACTATGTAAATTTGTATTGTAAGGTTTATGGTTATAGTTAAGACGTTTACAATGGTGGGACTCAATTGCGCTGGTTGAAATTGAAATCTACCGCCGTATCATAACAACAGTTTATGCAAAATAAAAATCAACATCATCTTGCTCAAAAATGTCTTATTTCATAGCACAATCTGACTTGGATTGGCATTGTCTACATCCTGATGTGGTTGTACACAACAGTAGCAGTGCAGCCCTGTTGCAAAGCATTTCATTTTAGCACAAATTTACTTATCATGTAACTGTACTGTGGATCCTGTTCACTGCTCTCTTCTACTTTTCACACTAAATGGCGATTAGGTCACTTCCTGCTTTGCTGTTAACTGGGCAAGACATGGAAATAATGTTGGAAAGGACCTGTTGAGGCTTTACTATATTTGCTATTTTTAGAGTGCTTGGTAGAAACATCTGTGTAACGTGATTCATTTCAGCCACCGGAGCTACTGATTTGTAGAGAGGGGAATTCTAAACCTTTTATCAGCACATCACAGGTTACTGATCTGAATCACTTCTCTTTCTACTAGGGTAATGAGCTGGGCCAATAGAAACGTGCGGACATTATTGCAAAAAAATTGCAGAGAGCTTTGCAAGTCTTGCGGGGGATTTCAGAGGGCTTTGCTGAATCTTGCAGGCCCATTGCGGGGTTTGATTGGTGCTATTGAGCTACATTTTACTTTTACATTTTTTCACTTTATTGATGAAAGATAAAAATAAGGAAATAACACATATCAGATTGTTACAAAAAAAATTGCTTCTTTAACAAAAACTGGGTGGCCATATTTTTGCTGGGGGAACACCAGCAAGGCTACAGGAGCTCACCATCTCCTGCCTCTCAGGGCCGGCACTACACACAGAAAGAGAGAAACACACACTCAGAGACTTAAAGAGAGATACACAGATTCAGAGACCCAGAGAGACACACACACATACACTCAGAGACAAAGAGAGAGACACACACTCACAGACACAGAGAGACACATTCTCAAGAGAGACACACTCATAGACACAAAGAGACATACAAACACAGACAGAGAGACACACATTCACACAGAGACGCTCATAAATACACACACATAGAGAAGAGATATAGACGCACTCACATAGAGACACTCTCACAGACAATCATAAAAGCAGAGCCTCTGAGTGTAGCCCATTTGCCAGAGTCCGGAGTCACTCAACAACAACAACAAGATTACATTTGTATAGCACCTTTCACGTCGGGAGGACGTCCAAAGGGGCTGGACGGTGTACAGCATTTCAGACCTGAGCTGGGGTCAGGGCGGGAGAAGGGAGCGGAGGGGAAAGGGGGTGACTGATGGCATAATCGAAGAGGAGGGTTTTCAGGCGGGACTTGAGTGATTGGGGGATGGAATTCCAGAGGTTGAGAGCAGAGTGGCTGAAGGCTCTCCCGCCAATGGTGGGCGGTTAAGTCGAGGGACGTAGAGCAAGCCGGAGCCAACTGAGCGGAGGGAGCGGGCGGGTTGGTAGGGGTTTAGGAGGTCACAGAGGTAGGGTGGGGCGAGGCCATGGAGGGTTTTGTAGGTGAGGACCAGGATCTTGAACTGGATCCTCTGAAGGATAGGGAGCCAATGGAGTCGAGGGAGAATGGGGGAGATGGGGTCACAGAGTTTGGTGCGGGAGAGGACACGGGCTGCAGAGTTCTGGATTATCTGCAGCCTCTGGAGGGAGGAGTTGGGAAGCCTGACACGCAGGGCGTTTGCACAGTCGAGTCTGGAGGTGATGAACAATCTGCGGCCTGAGGGGTGAAGTAGTGGCGGAGTCGGGCGATGTTACGGAGGTGAGGGAAGCAGGTCATGGCTTGGATGTGGGGAATGAAAGACAGTTGAGGGTTGAACAAGACACTTAGGTTCCTGACTGGCTTGGTGAGTTGTAGTGTGCAACCATGGAGGTTGATGTTGCCAGAGCCTGAGGTTCAGAGGCGCTGGTGCGAGCCAATCAGGAGGGCCTCAGTCTGGTTCACATTTAACTGTTGGAAATTTGCCCTCATCCAGGACTTGATGTCTGACAGGCAGTCTGTCAGGACAGCAGTAGTCCTGGAGTTGAGGTTGGAGGCAGAAAGATAGAGTTCGGTGTCATCTGCATACATATGGAAGTTGACCCCATGTCTGCGGATTATCTCACCAAGGGGGAGGATGTAGATACCAAAGATGAGAGGGCCAAGGACAGAGCCCTGGGGGAAGCCAGATGTGACAGTGCAGGGGCTGGAGGAGAAACCGTTAGAGGCAACAAAGTGGAGACGGTGAGAGAGATAGAAATCAAACCAGGCAAGGGCAGGTCCGTGAAGATTAAGTAAAGAGGAGAGTTGGTTTATGAAGATGGAGTGGTCGACGGTGTCGAAGGCGGCAGAGAGATCGAGGAGGACAAGGAGGCAGAGGGAGCCCTGATCACAGATGTTCAGAATGTCATTAGTGACTTTGACGAGGGCTGTTTCCGTGCTGTGGGCAGCGCGGAAGCCAGATTGGAGGGGTTCAAAGAGGGAATGGCGAGAAAGAAAGAAGCGGAGCTGGGACGTGATGACTCGTTTCTGGACTTTGGAGAGGAATGGGAGGTTAGAGATGGGGCGGTAGCCGAAGAGGAGGGATGGTCCAGGGAAGATTTTTTCAGGATGGGGGTGATGACTGCTGTTTTTAGGGTGGTGGGAACTGAACCTGTGGACAAGGAGAGGTTGATGACGTCGGACAGGAGAGGGGCCAAACGTTGGAGCTGGGAGATGAGGAGAGAGGTGGGGATGGGATCGAGGGAGCAGGTGGTGGGTTTGAGTTTGCGAACGATGGTGGTGAGGGAGGAGGGAGAGAGGGTAGAAGGAGTATAGGGGGGGATGGGTGGGTGGTGGGTCATGAGGGAGAGGTGATGTGGGGATGGCAGTGGATGGGGCAGAGGTGGCTGAATGTATCCCCTCGATTTTGGATTCGAGGAAGTCCAGCATCTCCTCACAGTTGGAGTTTGGGAAGGTGGCGTGGGGAGGTGGATGGAGGAGACGGTTTGTGGTGGAAACCCTTGGCATGTGACAATCATGCAATTACCGATCGATGTACAGACATGATTTATACCCCATAGGAAAGGTCTTGTATCCGGCAGTGTCATGGGCATATTTTTTTGGGGAGGCATCTCCTAACGTCCACCCGCACCTTAAAGAAACCTTCCCTTCACCCATCAAGCTATCTAGCTACTGGCCCATCTCAAACCTCCCTTTCCTATCCAAGGTCCTTGAGAGAGCCGTCGCCTCCCAGCTTCTCTCGTTCCTCTCCTCCCACTCCCTCCATGAGCCCCTCCAATTGGGTTTCTGTGCTGCCCACAGCACGGAAACTGCTTTGGTCAAGGTCACGAATGACATCCTGACCATGTGTGACCAGGGCTCCCTCTGCCTCCTCGTCCTCCATGACCTCTCCGCTGCCTTTGACACCGTGGACCACTCAATGCTCCTCCACCGCCTCTCCTCCCACCTCAACCTTCAAGGTTCTGTCCTTGACTGGTTCAGGTCCAACCTTTCACACTGCCTCCACGTCGTCGCAGCTAACGGCTTCTCCTCCAGCCCCCTCACTTGTGTTCCTCAGGGCTCTGTTCTTGCTCCCCTCCTCTTCACCCTCTACATGATCCCCCTTGGTGACATCATCCCTAGATATGGGGGAAATTTCCACATGTATGCGGATGACACCCAACTCCATCTCTCTGCCTCCACCCTCAACTCCAGGACTACTGGCATCCTGACCGACTGCCTGTCCTACATCAAGTCCTGGACGAGGGACAACTTTTTCCAACTCAATGTCAGCAAAACCGAGGTCCTCCTGATTGGCTCACGCCAGCGTCTCCGCACCTCAAGCGCTGGTAACATCAGCCTCCACGGCTGCACACTCACCCTCACTAAGCCAGTCAGGAACCTGGGGGGGTCTTGTTCGACCCTGAACTGTGCTTTCTCCCCCACATCCATTCCATGACCAGCACTGCCTACCACCACCTCCGCAACATTGCCAGACTCCTTTACTGCCTCACCCCTCAGGCTGCCGAAACCCTCACCCACGCATTCGTCACATCATGTCTCGACTACGGGAACTTCCTCCTCATCGGCCTTCCGATCATCCAAAACTCTGCAGCTCGTGTACTCTCACGCAGCAGGCTCCACGACCCCATCACTCCCACCCTCACCCGACTCCACTGGCTCCCCATCCCCCAGGGGATTAAGTTCAAGATCCGCTTCCTCACTTTCAAGGCCATCCATGGCCTTGCCCCCTCCTACCTCTCTGACTTGTTGAGTCCCTACCAACCTGCCCGCTCCCTCTGCTCAGCGGGCTCCAGTCTGCTCCATGTCTCCCGCCCGACACACCCTACCATCGGTGGTCGGGCTTTCAACCTCTCTGCCCCCACACTCTAGAACTCCATCCCACGGTCCCTTCGCCTCACTTCCTCCCTTGCCTCCTTCAAGGCCGGTCTCAAGACCCTTGTCTTCGATCGTGCCTTTGGTCGCCCTCCCACCTCTCTGCCTTCCCTCACCCCTACACCACCCCTCCCCCATGCTCAGATCCTGACATCTGACTGTTCAGCGCTTTGGGACGTCCTCCAGATGTTAAAGGCGATCTATAAATGTAATTTTTTTTGTTGTTGTTGTCCATGAGCTATATCAAAAAATGCTTTAATTAAGCCCCAAATATGAGGTATGCACAGTATTCTGCAACTATGTAGCGACAGAGGATAGCACACACTATTCAGAAAGATACATCTATATTCTGCAACAAATGTATGGCACTTTTTTCTGCTTGTCACAGGAACTGGAGTCCTTCCATGTGGGACAGACAGAGAAAGAGAGTCTGAGAGAGCCAGGGAAAGAGACTGGGAGAGAGAGAGAGACTGAGAGAGAGAATATATTATAAAATGTAATGACTGTTTTGTGGGAGAGACAGAGACAGACTGAGGGAGAGAGAGAGAGACTGAGAGAGAGAGGGAGACTGAGAAAGAGAGACTGAGGGACAGATAGACTGAGAGGGAGACTGTGAGAGTAAATATATTAAAGGAGTCCTCCCACTGAGTCCTCCCAAAAGGAAGCTTCCAGCTGAGTATAATGTCTAAATGGAATGTCTGTTTGTCAGTCTACATGCCATATTGGATCCTTTGGTTGCAAGCAAAGCTGCTACAGCTAGTGCTAAATAATGTAAGGAAATATTCCAAAGGCTCATGTATTTAAAATAAAGTCTTTCATGTGGTTACTGTATAACCAATTAATAATCAATTATCAACCCTAAAGATGGTAACCTTTGGCACAACAGATTGGAACATTATGTGCCATTGTATTTTGAATTGTATTATTGAAAATAAGATTGTATTTTCAGCTACTGACTTCTACTACATAAGCTGAGCTGGTCATTTGAAACCAGCCTCTTTTTGGGAAACTTTGGCTGGGTCAAGATCTTTGTCTCCCCCCACCAATACATACATACATGCACACACACACACATACATACACACATACATACATATAGAGATCTTTAAATTTATGAGGGGTTTTGATAGAGTAAATGAGGTTTATTATGATCAATATGTCTCTGAATTTATGTAATTAGCTACAGTAATTACATTTTTTGGGGGAAACCCATAACTGTACTTTACATTTGCACAGGAGCAGCCAGTCAGCCAGGGACTAAGTTTTCAATACAGAAAACTCCCTCAGGAATATATTCAACATACCTTCAAACTCTCTTGCAAAAACTTTGGGATACACATTGTCCCTGTTTAAACCTTTTATTTGGTTAAACATATCTTTACCCGAGTAGAATCAGGTTTAAACTATCCAGGCCAGAAGATGCAGCTTAATTTTCAACTCAGAAATGCTCTGTGGTGAGGAAGGCTTTCCTGCATGTGTCAAACATGCTTGCCTGGCATGGTCACTTGGTTTAATTTAGATGTTTGGGTCAGTGAATTAATAGTTTTACCAGGAGCTGTCTAGTCTAGATCAGTTCACTATATTGGTTACCACAACTGCAACACTATAAAAAACGTGTGTTTACAAAATCACAGGGTTAGTTTGAATGAAGAAGGCCCTCTGGTACATTCATTTGCATCTTTCCAGAACACTCACCACAGCAGTAAATGATTGAGGCTTGGTAGGTAATCAACAATTGGAACCAACATTCCAATTGTTGATTAGCTAATTATAGTTGTGTGGCTTTTCCTTTATTAAAAAAAATCTGTGTACCATTCAGAGAGAGTGGAAGGGGTTGCCATGACACTTCCGTTCTCAACACACAAGTGGAGTACATAACGTAAATGTGATCTTGGAGCTAGGGTCTTCTGTTTTGAAAACAGACATCTCCAGGGTAGCAATTGCAGAGGTACCGTTCTTCGGACTAGACGTTAAAGTGAGGTCTGATCTGCTTGTTCAGGTGGACTTTAAAGATCCCGTGGCACTATTTGAAAAAAGAAGGGCGTTTCTACTTGCTGGCCAAAAGTCCCCCAAATACAATTGGTCACTCATTTCATGGCTGTTTGTGGGACATTGCTGTGTACAAATTGCCATATTTGCTAACAAATACACTAGACTCAATAGATAAATCAGTAAATCTTGTGAAGTGCTATGGAACCTCCTTCCGATGTGAAGGTCACTATTTCACATGCAAACATTATTATTAACATTGTGGAGCAGCGCTGCCAGATTCACTGCAAGCATGTTCCACACATTTTGAGGGAAATGTATGTGTTAGGTGCGAGTGAGTTCCTTTGCTAATTCTTCATAGAGCCTCAGAGTGGCAGAATGTAAGCACCCAAAACTCCCCACAAGACACAGCAAGTTTCTTGTCTTAAAGTAATAATAATAATAATCCTTGTATGTGATATAGTGCTTTTCATGTCTTCTAGATGTCCCAAAGCGCTTCACAGTATACTGTAAAGTGAATTGACTATATTTGTGAGCAAAGTGAATCCATAAATTTGGTATTGTCCCTTTCACTTCAGGAGGATGCATCAAAATGCTTTATAGGATATACTGTGAAGTGCAATGTCTGTGTATGTTTTGTAGGCAAATACGTTTTACCATATGTTTTATGCATTAAATGGGGTAAATCTGCTTTGGTAGTTTTATGCAACTTCTACAAGTGGCTTACAAAGCAGCATAGGTATGCTCAGGAGTAGGCCATCCTGAACATGTTGCTGTTCTGTTCCTCTCAGCTGGGAAATGACCTCTGATTCAGAAGAATTTAAAGAAGGGGAAAACCAAAATAAAAATTCTAAATGTATAAACTATTATTTTTTTAAAAATAACTCACCATGACTTTTTTCCTCCCCCACCAGATCAAAGAGATTAAATGGGGAGGTGTCGGAGGCTGGACTGGCCAAGGTGGATCCTTGTTGGGCACTAAGCGGTAAATGAAATGTACTAAATATAACCAGTTTTGGCACAACCGGGGAGCACCCTTCGCCTCATGAAAGCTTGAGGGGGTGGGAGTAAGTTTGCTTGCACACTCACCCTCGGGTATAAAGCATCTGCCACATTGCTGATGGCAAGGATGGACTTATCAAAGGTGTTTTTCACCCTGAAATTCTTGTCCAGGCCGTAGGCAATGGGGGCTGCTGCTGGCTTGTTAATACGGAGGCCGTTAAGCCCGGCATTACTCCGGGGTCTTTGCTCGATTGGTGCTGGCAGTTATTGACTTAAGGCTTGCACTGATTTCGCCCAGAGCCGATCTCTAGCATGACCCTTCCGTCGTAAAAACCTCTCTGCCACTAATGAATATAATGGAACTGGAAGAAAGTTTGGTGGAAATAATTGACTTTGGGAACAGGTAATTTTGAAGAATGTTCTCACTGCGTTGGTTGTCATACACAATATATAAAACTTAAAGACTATCTTAAAGGCAGAGTGAATAAGGCAATGACAGAAGATTAGCTAAACTATTATTAGAATGGATCCAAGAGGAGTGTGTTATGGGTTATAAGCAAGAATAATTTCTTTCAAGAACAAATTAGATTTCTGTTAGATAATATTTCGGGATACAGGATATAGTTTGGGACATAACATGTGCATGTGACTGCCAGGATGTTGGAAGGCAAACTGGATGGACCTTGGTCTTCTTTCATCATAGAACCATAGAATTATACAGCACAGAAGGAGGACATTTGGCCCATCGTGTCTGTGCCGGCTCTTTGAAAAGGGCTATCCAAATCAATCCTACTCCCCCGCTCTCTCTCCCCATAGCCCTGCAAACGTGTCCTCCCCAAATAATTATCTACTTCTCTCTTAAAGGTTGTTATCGAATCAGCTTCCACCACCCTTTCAGGGAATACGTTCCAGATCCGAACAACTCCCTCTGTGAAAAAATTTCTCCTCACTTCCCCTCTGCTTCTTTTAACAACTATTTTAAATCAGTGTTCTCAGGTTACTGATCCACCCGCCAGTGGAAATAGTTTCTCCTTTTTCAGCCTATTGAATCCCCTTATACTATTTAAAATTTCTATTGAGTCTCCTCTTAACCTTAAATGCTCCAAGGAGAATGATCCTAGCTTCTCTAGCCTCTCCTCATAACTGAAGTCCCTTGGTAAATCTCCTTTGCACCCTCTCCAATGCCTTCACATACTTTAGGTATGATGCCCAGAACTGAGCACAGTACTGAGGCCTAACCAGTGTTTTATAAAGGTTCATCATAACTTCCTGACTGTTGTATTCTATGCCCTTATTTATAAAGCCTAGTATCCCGCATGCTTTTTTAACTGCTCTATCTACTGGCCTGCCACCTTCAAAGATTTGTTTATATGAACCCCCAGACCTCTCTGTTCGTTCACCGCCTTTAAGATTCTACCATCAGCTGATATTGCCTCTCCTCATTCTTCCTCTCAAAATGCATCACTTTGCATTTCTCAACATTAAACTTCATCTGCCACGTGTCTGCCCATTTTACCAGTCTGTCTATGTCTACTTCCACTCTGCTACTATCATCCTCACCGTTTACTACTTTTCCTAGTTTAGTATTTACAATTGTGCTCCCTATATTTATATAGATCAAAAAGAGAAGTGGTCCCAATACTGATCCCTAGGGGACACCACTGCACACTTCCTTCCAGTCAGAAAAACAACCATTCACCACCACTCTCTGCTTTCTTTCACCTGGCCAGTTCTGTATCCATGCTGCCACTGTCCCTTTAATACCGTGGGCTTCTATTTTGCTTACAAGTCTCTTATGTGACACTTTATCAAACGTCTTTTGAAAATCCATATAAACTACATCAACTGCACAACCTTCATCCATCCTCTCCATTACTTCATCAAAAAACTCTTATCAGATATGATTTGCCTTTAACAAACCCATGTTGGCTATCCTTTATTAACCCATATTTTAGTAAGTGGAATTTTATTTTGTCCCGAATTATAGTGTCTAGAAGTTTCCTCACTACTGACATTAGGCTGACTGGCCTGTATTCTTGGGTTTATCCTTCTGCCCTTTTTTGTACAGGAGATTAATATTTGCAACCCTCCAGTCCTCTTGCACCATCCGCGTGTCCAAGGAGGATTGAAAGATTGAGGCCAGAGTCTCTGTTATTTCCACCCTTCCCTCAGTAACCTAGGATGTATACCATCTGGACCGAGCGACTTATCTACCTTGAGCACCATCAACCTTCTTAGTACCTCCTCTCTGTTTATTCTTATTCTATCCAATTTCTCTACCCTCTCCTCTGATACTGTGGCATTGGCAGCATCCTCTTCTTTTGTGAAGAGAGATGCAAATGACTCATTCAGTACGTCAGCCACAAGAAGATTTCCTCTTTGGTCCCTAATTGGCCCCACCCTACCTTTGACTAACCTTTTATTCTTTATATGCTATAAAATAGCTTAGGGTTCCCTTTTATGTTGCCCGCTAATCTTTTCTCATACAATCTCTTTGCCCCTCTTATTTCCTTTTTCAGTATTTTCTATATTCTATTTGATTATCTTCTGTATTTTGGACCTGACATTTATCATAAAGCTCCTTTTTGTGTTTTATTTTAATCCCAATTTCCTTATTCATCCAGGGAGGTTTGGATGCCCTACCTTTCCCCTTTGTGGGAATGCATTGTTCTGTGCCCGAACTACCTTCTCCTTGAAGGCTTCCCATTTTTTGTTAGCTGTTTTACCTGTCAATCTTTCTTCCCAGTCCACCTTGGTTAGGTCCCTTTTTAACTCACTGAAATTAGTCCTCTTCCAGCTGAGTATCTTCACCTTTGTTCCTTGTCTCTTTCCATAAGTACTCTAAACCTAGTGATGTTGCGCTCACTGTTCTCCAGATGCTCTCCTACTGAAACCTGCTCCACTTGCCCCACTTAATTCCCCAGAACTAGATTCAGTTCTGCTTCCTTCCTCATTGGGCTGGAAACATACTGATCCAGAAAGTTATCCTGCACACATTCAGGAATCCCCTCCTTGCCCTTTATATTGTTATTTTGCCAGTCTATGTAAGGATAATTGAAGTCACCCATTATCACTACTCTATTGGTTTTGCATCTTTCTGAAATCTGCTTGCAGATTTGCTCATCTATCTCCTTCCCACTATTTGGTGGTCTATAGTATACACCTAACAGAATAACAGCTCCTTTTCTGCTCCTTAACTCTAACCAGATAGATTCTACTTTTGGACCCTCTACCACACCGTCCCTTTCCAGGGCCAAAACCATGTCTTTAATTAATATAGCCATCCCCTCCCCTCCTCTTTTTCCTTCCCTATCCCTCCTGAATACACCCAGGAATACAGTCAGGAATATTCAGCTCCCATTCCTGCCCTTGTTTGAGCCAGTACATCATCACTCCATGTGGCATTATTGCCACTACATCATAACCTTGAGCCTGCAGTTCACCAATCTTATTTGTCACACTCCGTGCATTTACGCACATGCACTCCAAGACCAATTAAGTCTGCTCTGCATTTCTCCCCCATCTAATCCCTCTTTTTTCTGGACTACTCCTTATTGTGTTGCTATTAATTTCTCCCAGCCCTCTATGTAACTTGTTTCTCCTCCCTGATGCTACATCCTGATTCCCTTCCCTCCTCAAAATTAGTTTAAACCCTTCCCCACAGCACTAATTAATCTCCCTGCAAGGACATTGGACCCAACCCTGTTCAGATGTAACCCATCCACCTTGTATGGGTCCCACTTGCCCCAGAACTGGTCCCAATGTTCCAGGAACCTGAAGCCCTTCTTTCTGCACCATTTCTCTATCCATGTGTTTGATCCTGCTGTTCTGATACTCACTTACATAGTAACATAGGAATTAGGAGCAGGTGTAGGCCATTCGGACCCTCGAGCCTGCCCCGCCATTCAATAAGATCATGGCTGATCTTCTAACCTAACTCTATCTGCCCGCCTTAGCCCCATATCCTTTAATCCCTTTATCCTTTAGAAATCTATCAATCTCAGTCTTGAATACATTCAAGAACTGAGCATCTACAGCCTTCTGGGGGAGAGAATTCCATAAATTCACTACCCTTTGAGTGAAGAAGTGTTTCCTCAACTTTGTTTGAAAGGGCTGACCCTTAATCTTAAGACTGTGACCCCTAGTTATAAATTCTCCTACCAGGGGAAACAGTCTCACACTGTCTACTCTGTCAAGCCCTATAAGAATCTTATATGTTTCTATAAGATCACCTTAATTCTTCTATATTCTAGAGAATATAAGCCTAGTTTACTCAACCTCTCCTCATAGGTCAACCCCCTCATCCCAGGAACTAATCTAGTGAATCTACTCTGCACCCCCTCTAAGATGAGTATGTCCTTTCTTAGATAAGGAGACCAAAACTGCACACAATATTCTAGGTGCGGTCTCACCAAGGTCCTATATAGTTGAGGTAAGACTCTTGTATTCTAACCCCTTTTCCCGTGGTATTTTTATTCCTCAAGGGAATATGTGATCGCTGGGAATTATGTACTATAGCTTTAAAGGTTTGCCATTGCTGATCTACTGTCATATCCTTTAATCTAATTCCCCAGTCTATTTTAGCTAAATCCTCTCTCATACCTGCAACGTTGGCTCTATTTAAATTTAAGACCTACGAATAATAATAATAATCCTTGCATTTGATATTATATTATTTTAATATAATATATATTTTATAATTATGCAGCTCTTTCCCCCTCTGCTCCGAATTCCCATTCTCACAAAATTCTTGCACCGAATTCCCATTCTGTTCCGTCCTCGCTCTGCTGGGCTCTCTGCTCATCTAGCAATTCTTTTGTTCTTGTTTTCTTAAGAAACTAGAGAAACTGGGCCTATTGGAGTCCTGCAGTTAGAGCATTCCAGTGGTTAGAGCACTCGCCTCGTAAGCGAGAGACCTGGGTTCGATTCCCGGCAGGGTGAAATGTTGGGCAAGTTTCCTTGCTTCACACACCTCTGTTTACCTAGCAATAAGTAGGAACCCGTTTGTCAGTCGATTGGCAGATAATAATAATAATCCTTGCATTTGATATAGCGCTTTTCACGTCTTCTAGATGTCCCAAAGCGCTTCACAGAATATACTGTAAAGTGAATTGATCGCTTTTCTGGGGATAATAATTTGTTCAAAAAAAAAATAATTTGCTCACTCAATCCATGTCTGTATGTGGGGCACTGCTGTGCGCAATTGGCTGTCGCGTTTCACCCACAAATATACAGACAATTCACTTTTCAGTATATTCTGTGAAGTACTTTGAGAAGTCTAGAAGACGTGAAAAGCGCTATATCAAATGCAAGGATTATTATTATATTATATTTATCATTATGTTATATTATATTGCACTGGAACAGAGAAGATTGAGGAGATATTGATTATTATGGGGATTATTATGAGAAGTTTGATAGAGAAGCTAGAGATAAATTGTTTCTACAGTTGGTAAGTCAGTGACTACATGGCATCAATGTAAAATAATTGATAGTTAAATAACTGTTAGATTCATAATTAGTGTATTGTTTGCAGATATGATCACCTCATGTTAGGAAAAAGATCAGGATCATAGAGAGACTGCAGAAGAGATTTACTACATTAATACCAGCAATGAGTGGTTTGACTTATTAGCAGAGGCTGGATGCATTTACGTCCTTATTTCCGATGCCAAATGTAAAGAGGTCTGGTATACTTTCTGGTATTCAAAATTTAAACAATCCACTTGCCTCCTTTACTTCGAGCTCTGCTCACTCTTTCTCCCATCTCCAAATATGCAAACCTACAGCCTTATCTCTCCCTCATCTCGCTCCTTCCTCATCACTCTCCACCATCACCTGACACATGAAACACACTTCCTGCTTCCTATTTCACTGGCTCTTCAGTTAAGTAGAGCTACTCAACTACCCATTCTTGGGCAGATTCGAGCTGACATCATCAACTTTTTCCTACCTTCCAGCACTGTATTCCCCCTTTAAAAACTGCCATCATCAACCCCCTCCCCTTCAAAAACTCACCCTCCAAATTCTCTAACCCCTGCCTCACTCCAATATAACTTTTCTCTCCGAAGTACCGGAATATGTGATAAGCCATTTGTTGCCATTGGGGCATACAGTAATGAAACCAGGAAAGTATCACAGAGGTTCAGGTGGGACGAAATTGATAAAGGTGTGTTTCCTCTCCAAAGTACTGGATCATGTCATTTTCTCCCAGTTGCACTCCCACCTCTTTTACCATTTTTTGTTCAAGACATTCCAGGCTGATTTTGTTCTGTACGCAGTCCCAGTCAAAATTATCAATAACATTCCTCCTGCTGTGCGCAATTGGCTGCCGCTTTCTCCCACAAATTACAATCAATTCACTTTACAGTCTTCTGTGAAGCGCTTTGAGATGTTGAGAAGACGTGAAAAGCGCCATATCAAATGCAAGGATTATTATTATTCAGTATACAATCAAGCCTCCTTGTCCTTCTAGACTTCACTTCTCAAATGCTGTCCCCTCCAGCCTGGCTAATTCTGCCTGCAGCCCATATCCTCTCTTGCACTAGAAATATCCCTGTCCTCAAGTGGATCTATTTTAATATCCTTATTCTGACTTTCAAATCCCTCCATATTCTTGTTCCACCCTATCTGCAATCTCCTCTAGCCCCACTCCCCCACTCACTTCCTCCATCCTGCTAATTCAAGTTTGCTACACATCTGTCTTCCCTTCCACCAAAGCTACTTGCCCTATTATCTGGAACTCCCTCCAAAACTCCCTCCATCTTGCTCCATCCTTCCATGTCCTCCAAACGCCTTCTAATTATCTATCTCTTCAACTGTACTGTCAGGATCTTCCCACCTACTTTCCCCACCTTACTCTGGTTTCCATAGTGTCCCTGTAAAATGCATTGGGACTTTATGTGTCCCGATTCATGGAGTCCTGTAGCTTCATGGTTAGAGTACTTGCCTGGCAAGCGAGAGGACCTGGGTTCAATTCTCGGCAGGGCGAAACTTTAGGCAATTTTCCTTACTCCACACACTTCTGTTCACCTGGCAATAAGTAATAACCCGGTTGTTAGTCGATTAGCGGATCGCTTTTCCGGGTTAATAATCCTTTCCATGAAGAAAAAATAATAATAATGATAATTTGGTCACTCAATACGTGGGACACTGCTCTGCGCAATTGGCTGCCATGTTTCACCCACAAAGTATCCAGTCAATTCACTTTACAGTATATACTGTGAAGCGCTTTGAGACGTATCGAAGATGTGATGCAAGGATTATTATTTTATGTGAAAGACACTACAGTACATAAGTGCAAGTTTGTGCTTGGATTGAGCTTTTGGCCCAGTTTATGACCTTTTTATTCATACTTTGTAGGACTCTCCCTGGGAAGAACCTGCAGGCCATCGCTGATCAAATACGTACACATAATATCAGTGCATTCATGGTTATTGGTGGCTTTGAGGTATGTATTATGTTCATTCTGTTTGAAAAGTATCAGACTGTAAATCTTGCCTGACCAACCCTGTGTTTATCTTTTGAGGAAATGACATTGAGTAATTGACAATGAGAAAAGCCAAATGATTTAGTATACCTAGACTATCAACAAGCCTTTGATTCTTTCACAAACCAGTAATGGGCATCAGGGGTAAGAAATGCTTATGGGCTGGTAACTGATGAAGAGATGGCAACCAAGGGTAGGTCATAAGGGGAGCTAGGTTGAAATTGGTATTTAGTGAAATATTTTACTGGTCCATATCAGTGTCCTTCCTATTCCTAGAGCAGATACGTGAACTGGAATTCCAGTCTCGGTACAGGATAGTTATGAATTTAGACTAAAGCCTACAAGATAACTACAAGATAGTTATGACACTGAGGGAACTGTGGAATCAGAGGCGATAGCTAAAATCTTACAAAGAGAACTCAACAGGTTAAGCACCTGGGCTGGTACTGGCAAATGAAGATCAAGATGAATAAATTTAAGGAATTGCAAATAAAAAGCAGGACTAGGAATTAAACATTCCATGGATAGGCTAGTAATAATAATAATAATCCTTGCATTTGACATAGCACTTTTCACGTCTTCTAGACGTCTCAAAAGCGCTTCACAGAATACACTGTAAAGTGAATTGACTTTATGAAGTAAAGTGAAGTGAATTTGTGGGCAAAAGGAATACTTGCCAAGGAGTATGTTGAAGGCAACCAAGAGTTGCTAATTGACTCTTTGTTCACCATATGACTCACTGTAGACTTGCAATAAACAAGTGAACAAAATAATGGGGGAGTGGGAGGGGAGAGGGATGGAAGGGACTGAGGTAAAATAAAGCCATCCAGAACTCAGCTGTAGTGCAAATAGAAACAAAAAGAGTGAAATGATCCCCAGAGTGGTGAGCAATGAAGAACGACTAGATAACCCAAGCCTGACAGAACTGAACAGGACTGACACTAGCTGCAACCCAGTCTTAAGTGAGCTTCAAGTCAGATCAGGTATAATGTCAGGCAAGCTGTTGAATGCACCAAATACACTGATGTAATTCAACCTCACTAACTAGTATTTTTGCATAAATGTAATTTCTGGCATAGCCATTGATGCAGATTGCCAACTAATATCTGATGTTTGCAGTGAAACCTCTAAATGTTTTGTAAAATCTAGAATTTTAGATAATAATAAATGGATTCTGAGACATCAGCTGGTTAAAATTCAAGGACTTATCTATGGATTCTATGCAGGGGGTTATTTTGTAAAGAAAACTATCGAATTTTTCTGAACAGTTTATATACCATGAACGTGCTTACTAATTCTGCTTGCCATTTTGACAGGTTAATTCGCTTAGGATATGTAATACATGCCTCATACATCATTACATCGAGGCTCGACTATGCAAACTCACTGCTTGTCAGCCTCCCCAGCTCCTCCCTCCACAGGCTGCAGATCATCCAGAACTCTGCAGCCTGTGTCCTCTCCTGCACTAGGCTCCGTGACCCTATAACTCCCATCCTTGCCCAACTCCACTGGCTTCCCATCACACAGAGGATATAGTTTAAGAACCTGGTCCTCATCTTCAAAGCCCTCCATGGTCTTGCTTCCCCCTACCTCTCCGACCTCCTAACCCCCTACCATCCTGTTCGCTCCCTCCGTTCAGCAGGCTCTGGCCTGCTTGCTTGCCCCACTATCGGCAGGCGGGCTATCCGTCACTTTGCGTCCACCCTCTGGAACTCCATCCCGCAGTCCCACCGTCTTGTCCCCTCCCTCGCCACCTTCAAAACTCACCTCAAGACCCTTCTCTTTGACCGTGCTTTCGATCTCACTGCTTGCCCCCCTGCCCTCCGCTCTCCTCCACCCCAACCCTCAGCTCAGGTCCGTAACTGTCTGTCCAGCGCCTTGGGATGTCCTCCCGACGTGAAAGGCGCTATATAAATCTAATTTTGTTGTTGTTGTTATGTTATATGAAAGCACATAAACTTTATTAAGCAATATTAAAATCGGAAGCAAGGTGTTTGACACAATAGTTCCTTCTCATTAGACCTAGAACGTTATATATATTGCAATGATTCTAAAGTTGATTAGAACTTGGTGTATTTGCAGAGTCATTTGTGCAATCCCTTCCCCTTTTCCCTGTCCACCCATGCCTAAAATTGCTAACTCATTCAGGAAGTTTTGGGAAAACTTTATTCCGTACAATGAGATAACTGCGGTGAGGAACTTGACAGTGTATTAAATAACCTTATGTATCCAAGGCATTTTTCTGATATTCAAGAGGGATGAAAAGTTATTATAGAATCAACATCTAGAATAACGTACGTTTGAAAGTTAATAACAAGGCAATAATTGAATGTAGGCTTCAGATGATTTTGTAAAGTGCCTCAAGTAATCTGTGTATGGGACCTGGAGCCCAGGAATGCTTTATTTTCTTTTCCTTCATTAATATTTTGTTGTAATATTTGCATTTGCAGTAATGGGCTTTTATTAGTTGTGTCTTGCTACACTATAACTACTGCTGAAGGTAGATGACATCTTCACTGTAGTCTTAAGTATTGTGACATCCCTCCTCCCCATTCCTTCCCTTGACTGTAGAGTGTTGATGTCATGTGAGAGTTTCACTAATATACTTATTTTGAGGTTAATAAGTGAAATGACTGAGCAGTTGAGTATATGGATTGATTTTTTAAAAATAAAATATATATATTTATTGATATATATTTACGCTTGTCTCGGACAGTATCAAACCCATTACAGAAAAGAAAAAACATATTATCCTGTTACAGGTGGCCACAGACCCGGCCCCTTGTGGTGGCCTCTGCGCACTCCACTTTGGTGAAAGAACCAAGGCTTCCCTGCCTCAGGGTTCTGCTGCCCTTTGTTACAAATGGGGTTGTGTACACCCCTCCCTATCCTTCCCCTCTTAGTGGGCAGCATGGACAGCTTCACAGCACAAAGGTTGTGCACACATTGTTTGGGGATGCTCCCTTTAAGACAGTCGGGAATCGCCTCTGTGTGCACTGCATCCATGTGCTGATAAGGCGCGCTTGCCGCTTTTGGATGGTGCTCGTTTGTGCACTGTACGCACACATGTTTACCCAAACACATGCCCAGAAACCTCGCAAACACAAACCCAAATATTATATACCTGGCCAATCCCACCCCTGTCATTGTGGTGTCCCTGCCGGGGTTCTGTGCCCCTGTTCTATAGGGCGCAGTTACATGGGCTAGTCCCGGCTCTGCTGTCATTTTACAGTACGGTGAGTTACCTCACTCCCTGCCGCTCCCCCTTTTATACATTTTCAGGACGCTCTTTTTTTCACATCTTGAGCATCCCTCTGTATATTTACATGGTTACACACATGTATAGTTTTGGGTGTGTTCGTGGGTTACCAGGTGAGCGCGCCCTGATGCCTCCCTCTCACTGGATGATGTTCTGGAAGCACTAACAGTGACCTTGGACTGGAATTCCAGTGTCAATCTTGACTGGCTTCTTATCTTGTCAGCCCCCCTCCTCACATTTCCCTCCCACAGGATCGTGTGCCCGATTGAGTTGAGTGGTGGAGAAATCTGCACTGGCCTCCTGATTTGCATTGCAGTTGATGGGTGGCTGGACTGGGAATGAAAGGATTGCACAAATATTGCTTTAACTGTGTAGCAAAAAGTTATTTTAGTTAGCAATGTAGTACCAGTGATAGGTGGCTCTCCCCTTGGCTTTACCATGTCTCCTAATTTACATATTTGAATATAAACTAATCTGGCTGTGCCTTGTAGGCATACCTGGGACTTTTGGAACTGTTAGCTGCGCGTGCCAAGTATGACGAGTTCTGTATCCCCATGGTTATGGTTCCTGCCACTGTCTCCAACAATGTGCCTGGTTCAGACTTCAGCATTGGTGCAGATACAGCCCTGAACGCTATTACTGATGTAAGTCTGTTGAGGAAAATGTGATTTCAATACTAACACGATGACTCCAAAGAGACTTGGGATTCCTTCAGCTATATGGCTTACCTACCAGCACCAACTGATAACCATAGACCTGAACCCTCTATAAGTGTCGGGCGGGTCATTTCCATTTCAGTTGGATTAAATGTATTACAGTAGGACTGATAAAGTCTAGCTCAAACTCAAAGCTGAAGCTGCAGTTTATTGTCCATGAGTTCTTTGAATCGACTCCTGGTCTGAAAGGAGTTTGCAGGTTTCAGCCGGGGTCTCATGGGGAGACTGAATTGGCCCTAGCTTCCCCAGGGTTAAGATGGGTAATATCAGACAGAGTTCCTGCTCCTCATCCCTCTTGCAACCCTCTACTAGGTCTATATGTGTGTGGCAGCTGAGTGGGGAGAGGTCAATAGGAATTAGGAGCAGGAGAAGGCCATTCGGCCCCTCGAGCCTGCCCTGCCATTGAATAAGATCATGGCTGATCTTCTAACCTAATTCCATCTGCCCGCCTTATCCCCATATCCCTTAATCCCCCTATCCTTTAGAAATCTATCCATCTCGTTCTTGAATATGTTCAAGGACTGAGCATTTACAGCCTTCTGGGGTAGGGAATTCCATAAATTCACTACCCTCTGAGTGAAGAAGTGTTTCCTCAACTCTGTTTGAAAAGGACAATTTTGGTTATGCCGGTCTCAGCAGTCAAGTGGCCTCCCAAAGCTCACTGCCAAGGCTCACACGTGAAGAGTGACCACTGGCAAGGGGAGACTGGGGTCAAGGAACATATGTAAATGGGGAGAAAATTAGAATAATAATTGGATACATTACATTAAAAAAAACATTTTGGAGCTCAGATCAAAAATTATTCAAAAACTGAAGAAGGAAAAAGTAAAACTTTTGTTGCCTATAGTTTGGTGGTTTGTGCTGGTATATAATGGTGTAGCTAATATTGATCTGAGGTAAGTAAATTCATGCATGTTGTAAAGCATGAACATGTTTGCTGTGTCTGTCACTGCTTTGCCTTGGGCAGCCTGATCTATTAATTGAGTTTTGCGGTTTAAAATAATAACTGCATCTAGTTTGCGTACTAATAGGAAACTATTAACCTGGCAACATTTTTGTCAATTTCCTAAAACTGTGAAAACATTTCATCTCAAAGTCATACGTATTCATATTTTGCAATCAATTTCTGGAAAATACCTTTGTACAAAATTAATTTCTCTAAAGGCTTGTAAATAAATTGGTAATAAGAGATCAGGGTTGTCACTGGAATAGTAAAAAGAGGGTGGGGAAGATGAAGAAATATTTTCATGCAAGAGAGGTATTAGAATCACCCCAACCCCCCAAAAAACAACCTTCCCTGGACCCATCCCTGCTCATTAACTACCGCCCCATCTCCAGCCTCCCTTTCCTTTCCAAGATCCTTGAAAGAGTTGTAGCTTCCCAGCTTCACTCCTTCCTCTCCTGCTGCTCCTTTTCTCCATGTCCTCCTCGACCTCTCTGCTGCCTTTGACACTGTGGACCTCTCTTCACTGCCTCTCCTCTCACCTCCTATCCTATCTCTCACACCGGCTGCACTTTGGTTTCTCCTCCAGCCCCCGCACTGTCTCGTGTGGTTCTTCTCAGGGTTCTGTCCTCAGTCCTCTCTTCTTCAACCTCTTCAACCCTCTTGGTGACGTCTTCTGCTGACGTGGGGTCAAATTCCACATATACACGAATGACACCCAATCCTACCTCTCTGCCTCCACCCTCAATCCCAGGTCAGACAAAAAGTCCTGGATGAGAGCCACCTTTCTACAGTTGAATGAGGCTCTCTTGATTGGCTCGCGCCAGCGCCTCCGCACCTCAGGCACTGGCAGCATCAGCATCCACGTATGCACACTTCACTTCACCAGGCACTAGGGAACCTAGGGATCTTGTTCGACCTTCAACTGTCCTTTCGCCCCAACATCCGTTCCGTGACCCGCTTTGACTTCCAGGCTCGACTATGCTTGTTGATCTTCCCAACTTTTCCCTCCACAAGCTGCAGATCATCCAAAACTCTGCAGCTTGTGTCCTCTCCCGCACCAGACTCTATGACCCCATCACACCCACCCTTGTCCAGCTCCACTGGCTCCCCATCCCTCAGAGGATTGAGTTCAAAATTCTTATGGCTTGCATTTAGGTGAAAAACGGGATTAATATTACTGAGCAGGATTGCTATTGCAACAACACATCAACAGTAGCGTCAAACTAACCTGACTCACAATTGTTTAAACCCAGCTCATATCCTCTGTTAATGGGTGAACAATCCAATGCTTGGTGATTTCTGCTTCACAATGGTAGGAAGAGCTGACATTGAAGGATCAAACTTCATCGTTCCATTCCAATGATGCATTTCATTTCCAGTTAGCAGTTTGAGGATTGTAATGAAATGTTGCCTGACAAACTAACATGCCAAACCTTTTTGTCACTAACTGTTCCTTTCCTGTTCAGACTTCACTGGTAGTCCCAATATCGTTCAAACTTGCTTCAGGCTGAACCTCCCAATGTGAACTTTCCAGCTGCAAATTCATTGGTTTTAACCACCTTTGTGCACTTGAATGCATTTTTATATTCAATAGCTGTGGCATTTCAGTGTTTGCCAATGGGAAGCCAAACCTCATCACAACTAAAGTGATATGATATAAGTCACACTCATCTGTGTGTCTGTAGGTCACCAAACACTAATTGCTTTTGTACTGAAAGTCCAGGCTTTTGAAGGTTTGCTGCAATTACGTGAAGCACGTGAAAAATACGATGAGTTTTGCATCCCAGTCTGTATGGTGCCTGTTACCATAAGTAATAATGTGCCAGGCACCGATTTGTGCATTGGTTGTGATACAGCTCTCAATGTCATAGTGGAGGTAAGTCCTGTCTCTTTCAATTTCATTTGTTACAGATGCTAAACCCAGTTACACTTTAAGATGAAAAATGCATACGCATGATTGCAAAAATGGTTGCCTAATGCTTTATGTAATCACATTGCATGCATGATTCATAGCTACAACTGCTTTTAGATTTTCTTTCAGCTTTGCTTAAAAACATTGTCCATATAAATATATGATGAATCTTGATGAAGTGCAACAGATTAATAAATGTCATAGTTTTTTTTTAATGCCATTTTCCAGGAAGAATATCTGTTATTAACTGTACTGATCCCTATTGTGGAGTAAGTTGCATGAAAAAGAATTTCAGATTAATTTTTACCTGCACCAAACACATGTTATATTTTTTTTAGTACAGCTCCTATCTATCTACATTTGGAAATTTTAAAATATTCTGTTAATCAAGAACATTACTAAGAAATTTGTATACCTTAAAAACAGTCAGCCGGGTGTGGATGCAGAAACGTGTTTCTCAGGCTTAAGGGTTTCAAGTCCCAGCTGCCAGGAATGCAGAGAAGCAGAGTTGCCAGATATGAAAGGTGCAATCACTTCCTTTTCCACCCCTCGCCCCACTCACACACAAACACACACACCTGTTCCTGGAAAACATAGGTGGCAGATGCCAACCATCATAGATCTCAAAGTCTGCAATGGGCTACTGCAGGAATTTAAGAACAACAACTTGCATTTACATAGCGCCCTTCACACAGGTAACGTCCCAGAGAGCTTGAAAGGTAAAACTGAGCAAGTCACTAGTACGAGGCACGCAGTGAGCTTTCTGCTGATTGTCCATCTAACAGGCGCTACCGATTAGGTCACTGTGTTGCAAGGCTGTTGGGAGTTGAGGGAGAAGATTCCTGTGCCAAATGCCAAACTTACTGGATACCAACTGCCTTCTATGATAAGCTTAGGGAAAAAGCTGAAGCAAACTCTTGTTTTAAGAGTGAGGATCATATAACTTTGGTATCAACACCAAACCCTTTTCACTGCAAATTCACATTAGTACTTGGTCCAGGATTTTACACAAGGGCTGGAGGAAAGCTTTCCACTAAATCACCGATCCATGAAAGGGACAGAGAAAGATTTGAGCTCATGGCTGTTTTATTGTAGACCACGTCTTGTTACGTATTTTTGGAGGGGGCAGCCAGGTGTCTGACACATTACCATGCTTAAGAATATCCAAACCAAGCTGAGAATTCCTTGCATCCCACCTACACATGGAAATTCCAGAGATATTTATTGGAACAGAATGCACATTCCCTGGAGGGACTCATCCTGTTTACCTAATTCTGGAAAATATTCAGCTCAGGTTGGCAAGAGGCAAAGCCAGAATGTGCATTGGGGTAACTGCTGGAGTCTAACCAGCTAAAACTGCATAGCTTGCCATTGACATTGCTGTTCGGCAAGCTCTCCCACTGCTTGTCCAGCTAGTATCACCCTACCCAATAGGGCTTTGGTTTGCAGGGTTAACAGGAGCTGAGTGGGACGACTGCCCTTCCAAATCCTGTCAGTGTGTTGTCATTAGCAGTGTCCTGGAATACTGCGGATCCACCTGGCTCAGGAATTGGACTACCAAGACCGCCACGGAGGGCTGGCTTGATTTTCACATTCTGTTGCCAAGCATAACAAATCATAATCCTTGCATTTGATAAAGCACTTTTCACGTCTTCTAGACGTCTCAAAGCGCTTCACAGAATATACAAGTGAATTGACTGTATATTTGTGGGCAAAACGTGGCAGCCAATTGCGCACAGCAGTGTCCCACAAACAGTCGTGGATTGAAAATGACCAATTTATTATTGTTTTGTTTTTTGGAGGGATTATTATTAGGCATGTGGATTAAGTATATTCTTCCTGTAAACTTGCCCAAGGTTTTGCCCTGTCTGGTATTGAACCCAGGTATCTCGCTTGCAAGTCAAGTGCTCTAACCACTGAGCTACAGGACTCCAGCATGTCACATTGGAGACAGTTCAGCTTACCTCCCCCACTCCCTCCTCCTCACCACCCAAGGATGATAATTAGTCATTTGAAATCTGACAAGCACCAGTTTGTGTGGTAAGTACCAGGGACTCCTTGTGAGCTTCCTGGTGGGCAAAATAGCTCAGGATGAAATGTATGAGAATTGCCAACATCAACAACAACAACAACAACAAGATTCCATTTATAGAGCGCCTTTCACGTCAGGAGGACGTCCCAAGGCGCTGCACAGTTGGGTCATGACCCGAGCAGGGGGGAAATGGTCAGGGTGAGGGGAGGGAAGGGAGGGAGCGAGGAGGAGGAAGAGAGTCGAGAGGGGAGCTGAAGGCACGGTCAAAGAGAAAGGTTTTGAGACCGGCCTTGAAGGAGGAAAGGGAGGAAGCAAGGCGAAGGCACTGGGGGATGGAGTTCCAGAGCCTGGGGGCTGAGAGGCTGAAGGCCCGACCACCGATAGTAGGGCGGTTGGGGCGGGGGATGTGGAGCAGACCGGAGCCAGAGGAACGGAGGGTACGGGCAGGTAGGTAGGGGGATAGTAGGTTGGAGAGGTAGGAGGGAGCAAGGCCGTGAATGGCCTTGTAGGTGAGGATGAGGATCTTGAAATCAAACATCTTCCTGTCCGCAGCTCAGGCCCATTGTGCATTGGTTCCACCAGTTGGAAGTGCAGTGTTTAGGCAGCAGCTTACCTCTCTGCAGGCCAATCAAGGTGGATTCCAGTTGCTGGATTTACGAATGTGTGTTCACGAACTTGAACTCCAGGTAACACCTTCCAGCAGCTGTCGACCCAAGCTTCAGAGTTTCCTCATTAGCTGTCTGGGGGGGTATCTGCCTTTAGCGTGGTGGGAGGACCTTTAAATCACAGTGTTTGTCCCATGTTGTCTTTTATTTTTACTTCACCAATTAAGATAAAAATATGCCATAGTTAAGTGCAATAAGTGAGAGTCATATAATGGATGTCACATTCAGGAAAACATTTGTCAGGCAAATTATTAACCCCTTAGAAACAATAACCCATGTAGATATTGCATGTAAGGTCAGTTGCAGAATGCTATAGTTGAGTATTTTTTTCTAAAACTTCTGGGATCAGACAACAAACGGTGAGCGGAAATGAAAATTTCATCAATTGTTAGGATGTGCTGAATCCGATTTGGTCTGTGATTCCTGAGCTGACTTGGTGTTTCCCTGTTAGACATGTGACCGTATCAAACAGTCAGCAAGTGGAACAAAGCGCCGTGTTTTCATTATTGAGACCATGGGCGGATACTGTGGGTACCTGGCGAGTATGGGAGGACTCGCTGCTGGGGCAGATGCTGCTTACATCTTCGAGGATCCAATTGACATTCGTGAATTGCAGGTAGATTGGAGCATTGATTCCCCCAGCATTGATAATAATAATAATATTCATCCTTGCATTCATCCGTGCCTTATCACGTCTTTGAGACGTCTTAAAGCGCTTCACAGAATATACTGTAAAGTGAATTGAATGTATATTTTGTGGGCAATTGAACATTGATGTTCTGCACCATTTCACAGATTTAATTCTCTCTTTTTTTAAAACATTGTTATGTTGTAAAAATGTGAAATGTCACGTTTCTGATCTTCATTGGACCTGCGATTTTTTTGGGGGGGTGTATGTTGGGGGAAGTATAGGAAAATGTCTGACTGATTGAACTGTATAGAGAATATGTTAGCTGGAATTCTCTCCCCGTTCTGGGTTTTCTCTTAATAATAATCCTTACATTTGATATAACATCTTTCATGTTGTGAGTACATGCTAAAGCATATATACACACATATACAGGATATACCATAAAGTGCAGTGATTGTGTGTATTGTGGGGGTCTTGCTCTGATGTACACAAGTGTATGCATTCCCATTAGATCTATTCCCGTGACGTGTGTCCCCATTCACCTCTGTACTTCCCCCCAGCCCCCGCCCCAAGCACATTACATTCTTGTGGACACATGGGATATTTTTAACTTGCCGTTGTCTTCACTTCAGAGTATCTCAAACATGATTGAAAGAGGTTTCTATTTATGCCCCAAATGGAGATCACATTTCCAAATAAAGTATTTGATACGCTCTGGTGTAACTTCTTTTATTTCCCCCTGCAGTCAGAGTCGCTAGGCAGAGGAACATTTAGATTGTAACCAATTCCCAGAAAGAAAAGCTAATGCAATACAGTATTTGCAAAAAAATCATTAATATTTTAGAGTCACAAACAAATTTTGATTGCCCCAGTGTGGTGCAGGCTACAAATTCCACAAATCGTGTATTCTTTAATTGGAATTCCATTACTTAACAAAGGACCAGGATTGTACTTTAAATGCTTGTAACATCATAACATATGGAACGGGAATCCTCACGGAACCCATTTCTCCTTGGCAGATGAAGTGCAATTTTTATTATTGTGGACTTTCTTAAACTTTTATTTCACATGGCACTATTCAAAAACAGAAGGGAGTTTCTCCTGGTATCTTGAACAGTGGTGCCTTATCATAGAATCATAGAATGTTACGGCACAGAAGGAGGCCATTCGGCCCATCGAGTCTGTGCCGGCTCTTTGACAGAGCAACTGACTTTTATTAACCCCACTCACCAGCTTTCTCCCCATAACCCTGCAAACCTGTCTTCTCCAGATACCTATCCAGTTCTCTCTTAAAAGCTGTTATCTGCCCTTTTGGGCAGATCATTCCAAATTCTAACAACTCGCTGAGTGAAAAAAATTCTTCTAATCTCCCCTCTGCTTCTTTTGGTAGATATCTTAAGACTGTGACCACGAGTCACAGACTCCGCTACCAGCGGAAACAGCTTTTCCCTATCTAGCCTGTCGAAACCTTTCATGATCTTGAAGACCTCTATCAGGTCCCCGCGTAACCTTCTGTTAAGTTAACCACTCACTCCATGGCCTTTAAATGGTCTTCTGCTGTGCCCTAAATTTCTATTAAGACAAAGTCTATGGCTGTTTGTGGGATATTGTTGTGTGCAAAATTGTCTGCCACCTGCACCCACACAATACACAGTCACACCACTTTTAACCACCATTGTTATCAAAGGGCTGGTTGTGTGACTTTGAAAAGTCTTGACGACTTAATAATATGCTATATCAAATGCAAGGATTATTATATTCTTTACCATTATTATTTCATCTTCTCTGCAGGTAAACACTTGGGCAGGTACAATTGAAGCTTGTTTGTGCAAAGAATCTTGCTATCATCAATATAATTTTCAGCCCTGACTGAGTACATTCCACAGAGGGTATTTTGTGGACCCCAGATTATTTCTTCTTTAGATTCTCTGAGCAGCTTGCCCTGTATAACCTTCGCTTCCTGTTGTTTACTGGATCTTGATCCAGCTCATTTTAAAGGGCTTAACAGGCCTATTCAAAATAGTGAAAATAAGTTGTATTCATCAGTCTTTATTAACCTGCTGCTCGCTTCATCTAGTTCTTCAAACAGTGAAAATCTGCTGATTTTACATCTCCATTATCCATACCTTGCTACATTTTAATATCCACCATTTGCAATTCAGTCTTCTTCACTCCACTGAAAGTTCTATTCTACAAGGTCTCTTGGTTTTAAGTACAGTATTTTGAGTTGTCTTTATCAATATTTCACATTCTAGTTCATTTTTAGTACAAGAGCAACATTTTAGTATAATTTAACACACTTGCTGTGGAAGGTCAAAGATTGAAAAGTACTGTGGCTAAATGGTTTAAAGACTGACACATAACTAGTTCAATTTGCGTTAATCATATGTTATCCCGTGATAGCTCAAAGGCTCCAATTTCCTTTAGTGTGCGTGGAAAGTAATGTTTTATCCTTGCATTTGCATTTAGTTTATAAAAGTGAGGATGTGATGGTGTTTTTAACCAGCATTGTTATTAAAGGGCTGGTTGTGTAAATTATTTAGTACAAAATTGGGTGAGATATCTAAAGAAATAAAAGCACCACGTGAAACAGTTGATATGGTTGATATGGTAAACTGTTGGCATGGTAAGCATTTCCCTCCCCCACCCCACCCACCCACAACTTTGCCATTCACAAAATATTTGCCTCAATGGTCTGAGTTGTATTAAACGAAAAAATAATTCCGATGGGTATGTGTTGAACCCAGCATCTTAAGCAATCATTGTTATTCTGCTTTTATGCATCTCATATCAAATTTCTGAATGTTTACGTAACCAGCCAACCAACAATACTGACATACAGGATCACTTGTGTGCAATAAGTACCACAGAGGCTTCATACAAAGACCTCTAAAAGCACAGAACCAGTTGAGGAAGTCTTATTACCATTCTCATTAATTATGTTTGTTGATTTATATGGTGACACTGCCTCAAGTGTGAAAAGTAAATGGGATACCACAAACTTCATTTTTGTTAAGGGTGTTAACGGTATGCAAGTAAGAAGTCTAACTGACAGTCATCAGTAGTAATTTCACATCATTATACAAGTCGAGCTGCACAGTGAATGTTAAGCTTGCCTAACATCCTTTTTTTCCCTGGAAACGGCCAATTATAAAAATTAGCTTTTATATAGATTAGGGGCTATAATAAATTTTTTAAATAATTATAAATTACAAAGAATGCAATTAAGCTTAACAACAACAACAAATTATATTTATATATCACCCTCAGGGCTTTGTTTGTTGTTCAGTTAAATTTTCAGGATCAAAGATAATTAGTTCCAGTTAGGAACAATTCCCATTACTTCCCCAAACTAACACCATCCAAAAATACCTTTGCAGGAGGAACTATTCATTTGGGAGCAAAGGGGAATATTTGCTTTTCCTTTATAAGGTAAATGAAAGGTGACTAGCTATGAAACGCATGATTTATTGATCAAACTCTCAAAATTGATTATTAAAGGCAGTAACACTTTGATAAAAGAGCAGTCAGGAAACGGGAGCTTTGATTCTTTTTTGTGTGGGTGGGGGGGAGTTTTGTAAACCGTCAATATGGGTCATACTGTATTGTATTTTTATTTTCTTCAGGCCAATGTGATACACTTGACAGAGAAGATGAAAACCTCTATCCAGCGGGGTCTAGTGCTCAGGTGAGAAATGTGTCAGTGTTGTGGGTTCGAATTTTATGTCAGGACTCAAAGTGTAGTCTGACACTCCAGTGCCATGTTGGGGAAGTGCTAGGTAATTTTTCGGGTAAGATGTTATACCTAGGTCCAGTCTACCTGTTCAGGTGGGTGTAGTTCCCGGGGACTACTCAAAAAGTGAAAGGAGTTTCTCATGATGTCCTGGTCAATAATCTACCACATAAAATTGTTCATTTGCTTCTTGGCTGTTTGTAGGACATTGCAGTGTGCAACTACAGTTGCTATACTTTACATTAAGAAAACATTATGTAACTCTTTGAGTTGTTTGTGACATTATAGGCCAGGGATCTTTAATATTAACCTTAGGATGTGAGACCATTGGATCTATTATAGTTCAATGGCAACAATTTCCTTATTCCGGGAAAGCTTTGACACTTGAAAGCTACTGTATAAATGTGAAAGGCGCTATACAAATGTAATCTTGTATATATGCTGTTTGAATGACATTACAGTGCGCAAATTGGCTGCAGGATTCATCCACAAAATTCACACAAACACACCACTTTAAGTATATCCTGTGAAGTGCATTGAGACGTCTCAACAACATGATAAGGCGCCATTTCAAATGCAAGAATTAAAGTGTATATACAGATACGCTTGCAGGTAAAGAATCCAATATGGAATGTTGGATTCCATATTGGATTCAGTCAGACACACACACACACACAGACATTTCATCTTTATCTATACTCATCTTGGAAGACTCATGTGAGAGGACTCATTTTGGCCGTGCTGTTGTAGTCCTTTCAGCATTGAAGTGAGCTGTTCTTCAGTTTCATTTAATGGGCCTTCCTCTCTTTTGTCTACCCTTTTTATTTATCTTTGAAAGGGTTGATTTTCACTTAGGCATCTTTAAAATGATAAACATGAATGTATAATTTATAATCACTGGGACATCCTCCCAACGTGAAAGGCACTTTAAAAATGTAATTTTTTCGTTGTTACCGCGGGTTAGCTTAATTCTTTATTTTATTCCTGTCGTCGCTTGGCTACGTGCGTGCTCTGTGACGCAGGATGCAAAAATCTAAAAGTCTAAAATCTCATGGCTCTCACCTCCTCCACCTACCCGACCTCCCCCTAAAATTCTCCGAACCCGTACGCAACCTAGCTGTCAGGTTCGACCCCCAATTATCCTTCCTCCCCCACATTGGTCCCTCACCATCACCGCCTTCTACCACCTCCGACGCATCGCCCATCTCCGCCAATACCTCTTCCCAAAAGCCGTTGAAACCCTGGTCCATGCCTTTATCACCTCTCGGCTGAACTACTCTAATGCCTTCCTCGCCAGTCACCCATCCACTACCATCCATAAAATCCAAATCATTCAGAACTCTGCCGCCCACATTCTCATCCGCACCAAACTCCGCTCCCCGATCACCCCAGTCCCTGCCAGACTGCACTGGCTGCCTATCCCAGAGAGGATCAATTTCAAGATCCTCACCCTCGTATTCAAGTCCCTGCACTCCTCTTCACCCTCTGACCTCCTCTCCTCTCAAAACAGTACCAATTGCCTTCGTTCCTCCAGGTCTGGCCTCCTCCTCGTCCCCCGAGTCCTCCGCTCCACCCTCGGCGGCCATGCCTTCAGCCACTATGCCCCGAGGCTCTGGAACTGCCTTTCTCACTCCCTTCGTCTCGCTTCCTCCCTTCCCATTTTCAGGTCTCTGCTGAAAACCTTTCTTTTCGACTACGCCTTTGGTCACCTTCCTCCCCCTCCCTCTGGCTCGGCCCCAGGATCCGTTACTGTAAAGCGCTCTGAGACGCCGTTTGGCGTGGAGGCCGCTATATAAATCCAAGTTGTTGTTGCCACAGTGCCACGGTCAGCCGGCGCGACAACCGTGTGTAATTGCAGTGAAAAACGCAAAACTGAAATACATTTTAGTCATAACTCATGAACGATAGAAGATACCTGAAAACAAACATGCTCATGTTACTCTCAGGTGCAAGGTTGTTCCGATGAGGTATAAACCATGTCCCTGTGTCAATCAGTTATTGAGATCCTTCTTGAAGCACAGACAGACATTGTCATTTTATTTTATGTAGAAGATAGATATTTATAGAGCCAGGTCATGACACATATACACTCGTATTTATTTATGTTAATGTTGGTAGTTATAAATTGCTGTCACATTGGTTACCTTCTAAAGTGCATTTTCAGCATAATATTAATTTCTGGAGTTCAAATTACACAGGAGAAAACAAGTGTTCATTACCATCATTTAGTTTACATTTCTTTTTCTGTCCTTTGCAGAAATGAAAATTCCAATGATAACTATACAACTGACTTCATCTATCAGCTGTATTCTGAAGAAGGGAAGGGTATATTTGACTGCCGGAAGAACATTCTGGGACATATGCAACAGGTAAAATAAGAATTTTAGCTGTAATGCTTAAAGTGGTGGATGAGGATATTGTTTTTAACTGCATTGTTTATTGGAGCAGTATATTGTGGTGCACGCCTGCATTTTGTGCCATTCTGTGTTGACGTTTTTGGTTGTCTCTTGCACTAATTGGTGTCGCTTACATTTAAACCTCCTCAGGGCGGTGCACCATCTCCATTTGATAGAAACTTTGGAACCAAAATTGCTGCGAAAGCCGTCCAATGGCTCTCAAGGACTCTAAAAGAGAACTACAGAAGAGGTAACATTTATAATATGCCAACTTTTTAATAGCAAGTCTTTAATTAGAGTCTAATGATAAATACAAGATTGTGAAGCACCCAACAGTTCAGAGGAGGCTGCAAAGTAAAGCATGGTCTTTTTGGGGCTCGGTGGACTTCAAGGTGATGTGCTTGGCAGTGGAATATTGGAATTGAGTGGACCTTCTTGGGTAGAGCTCAGCAGTCTAATTCCTGAGCCAGTTTACTGTTTACAAACCAGCTTTCACTGTGTCTGCACTAACAATGTCTCCTAATGTCCTTGCAAGGTCACCTGCAGTAGGGCTTTATGTTTGGTGAGGGCTCTCCTACATGCTATGGTTACATAATCCACATCAATGGATCCACTTCGAATGACACCTAACTCAATCTCTCTTGACTATAGAACTGCTAGCCTGTTAGACATGTTCTGTTGAGTTTCAAATTCCTTCAACTGAATGTTGACCAAAGTAAACCATTCCTATTTCTGGTGCTATATAATTTGTTGTTAACGAGGCATGGCTAACCTTTTGATTCATGTTTCAGTTTGTCTTAACTAGTTTTTGACTAAATATTTCTGAAATTGGTCTCTATGAAATTAATATCGACTTTTGTCTCACATCTTATTTAGGCTACAAATATGTGAATATATTGTTCTGTGGGTTTTTAACGTTAGGTTAGGCTCCTATTGGTTACTGATCTTTGAACAGATACGGCACCAATGCATTCCATTTTGGACCTTATGCTCCACCTGGAGCTATGTGGTATCTCTCGTCCATGTTTTCAGTTGGGTTATCAGGTCTATCACCCAGTTGGTTAGAATTATGCAACAGCTTGCACCTTTCAACAACAACAACAACAACATTCAATTTATAGAGTGCCTTTCACGTCGGGAGGACGTCCCAAGGCGCTGTACAGTTGGGTCAGGACCCGAGCAGGGGGGAAATGGTCAGGGTGAGGGGAGGGAAGGGAGGGAGAGAGGAGGGGTAGAGAGTCGAGAGGGGAGCTGAAGGCACGGTCAAAGAGAAAGGTCTTGAGACCGGCCTTGAAGGAGGAAAGGGAGGAGGCGGCGAAGGCACTGGGGGATAGAGTTCCAGAGCCTAGGGGCTGAGAGACTGAAGGCCCGGCCACCAATGTTAGGGCGGTTGGGGTGGAGGATGTGGAGCAGACCGGAGCCAGAGGAACGGAGGGTACGGGCAGGTAGATAGGGGGATAGTAGGTCGGAGAGGTAGGAGGGAACAAGGCCGTGAATGGCCTTGTAGGTGAGGATGAGGATCTTGAATTCAATCCTCTGGGGAATGGGGAGCCAGTGGAGGTGAGCGAGGGTGGGTGTGATGTGGTCCCGGAGCCTGGTGCGGGACAGTACACGAGCTGCAGAGTTCTGAATGACCTGCAGCTTGTGGAGGGAGTTGCCGGGAACGCCAGCGAGGAGAGAGTTCCCATAGTCCAGCCTTGAGGTAATAAAGGCGTGGACCAGAGTTTCAGCAGCGTGAGGGGTGAGGCAGTGCCGTAGTCTGGCGACATTCCGGAGGTGATGGAAGGCGGTGCCAGTTGTGGCGCGGATATGAGGGAGAAAGGACAGCTCAGGGTCGAACAGAACCCCGAGGTTCTTGACTGGCTTTGAGAGGTTGAGAGTGCAGCCTTGGATGCTGATGCTGTCAGCGCCTTCACATCGAATGAACATCCTGATGCATTGAAAACTCAATCTACTTACAATTTAAGAACAAAAGAATTTGCTAGGCGAAAGAAGACCAAGGTCGATCTAATTTGAGGTCCTTTGGATTGCAGAAAAAAAGGTCTTTGCAAGCAGGATTTTGAGCAGTGAAAATGTTTTTTTACATGTTACTTCCACCAGAAGAATGGACACCAGACGAACAAACAATTAGTTAAGGGCTTAATTTTTTTTAGGCAAATTAGTACATAGGGCAATTCGTTATTTAGCCATTGTGTGAATAACAATGCAGGAATACAGATACATCTGATCTTTGACCAACCTTCGTACTATAATTCCTGGTTCTGTGATCTATTTTGTGAGTTGAAAACATACCAGTGTATTTGACCCCGGGAGACAATACTTCCCTGAGCTATGGCACTCTGTCTGTCCACAGCATTTCAAAGAATATTACTCTTTCTTCCATCCATCTAACTGAGATGAGGTCTGAAATACCCTGGAACCGTAGCTGGATTTGTTACTTGAGTTACTTAAGTTTTTTATGGTCAGCCAATTTTCTGACACACGGGGAAAGCTTGGAAACCCATCACCATGCTGAAAAGTATCCAAACCAGCCTGAGAGTTCCATGCATTGACACCTACATGTGGTAATTCTCTGCTTACCTCATTCTGGAAAGCAATCGGCACAGGATAGCATGAGCCAAGGCTTGTGGTCCCCTAGGTGTGAATTGTGGTGCAATTGGAGTTTAATCAGCAGAGTGCCAACTGATTAGCTAGTAAATCATTAAGGGAAGGTTATTATTTTTTTATTAGGGAGTGAACAATTCAATGCTTAATTAATTCTGCTTCATAATGAAAGAGACACAATGATGAGGACAGAAATTGAGGGCCAGTAGGATCGAAATTCATTATAAACAGGCTATGAGATTCTGTGAGGATGAATGCTGGAAAAATGATCAAAAGTTTGATCTTATGTTGGCATGTTATATTTCAGACCTGAACCAGCCAGCAAGAAGCACAATGATCTGTGTACGTTTTCCTCTTCCTTAGACCCTTCATCTAGAACAATAGAAAGGCTGCTAAAATCATCCATAGAACTAGAGAAATGTATAATTTAGAGTTTCAAGTAGCAATTTCCAGAAAGAAAGTTTTTCTTTACCCAGAGGGTAATTAATGTTGGGAAATGAAGGGACCAAATTGTCAAGTAGAATGATTAAGACCAGGAAGGATGGTTGCATTTAAACCAGTTACCTTCAACTTCACCTCTGATTAAAAGGTTGTGGTTTAAGCCCTCATGACTTTGAGGTGATAGTCTAGGCTGACATTGCAACGTAATACTGAGAGGAGCCCTCCATGTTCAGATATTCTGCCCTTCAGCTGACATGTTAAACCAAGGTCCAAGTTGATATTAAAAATGTCATATGCTATTATTCAAAAAGGAAACAATTTCTCTCATGCACTAGACAATAATTCTCCAGATATTCACTTCATGGTGAATTGTAGAATAATGCTGTGCACACATTTGCATTTATAGCCTGATTTGTCTATAAATGCACAGTCACTGCACTTCACAGCAATTAACTGTGGAGTGCTTTGATATAACAGGTGTTGAATCCAATGAAAGAATTATTATTATTATAACATTAGGTCAAATTGTTTCTGTATAAAACATGTGCTGTTTTCTGAATATCGATGTGTGTCATAAAATAGATTAGTCATATTAACTTCTCTTTGTCCTGTCTTGCTTTTTTTGCCGACTTCATGGGACTCGTAGATGAAGGTAATGGGTTTTATTCTTTGATAAATTAGTGGCAGATTTACTACTTCCTTTCACTGATCGTGTATTTAAATAGATTGCTTCAACAATGTCACCCTAACGTTTTCAGGATTAAGGTTACCATCCGAAGAAAATGTAGGCATAAAAAAATCTCTATTGTGACTCTTTAAGGATACTTTAACAATCTGGTTCTTTTTAACAATCAAAACCCAATTTCATGTTGCCGATACATTAACTAGAATAGGACATATCTGCACTGTTACTTTCAATGTAACCCGCTAATGCAGTGGTGCCCAACCTTTATGGTCAGGCAACAAAATACATTATTATTATTATCGAAATAAATAATAATTTGGTCACTCAAAGCATGCCTCTTTATGGGACATTGCTGTGTGTGTTTTGCCCACAAAATAAACAGTAAATTCACGTTACAATATATTCTATGAAGCGCTTTGAGACACCTCAAAGAAGCGATTAATGCAAAGATTATTATTAATTCAATCAAGAAAAAAACTGAAAACACACTACCGATCCAACTTATCTCTACTCGTGCGAATGTTCGGGAACCGCTTGTTGATGTCCCTGCGTGGTGGGACACAGATTGGCCACCATTACGTAAATTATATTTTACATTTTTAAAACTTCTGACTTGTTCTGTTTGAAACCATGATATTGCCAAGGTGTCTGTCTGCCAGGAAAGGTTGAATACTAGTAGGAATGGCTCAAAGAATTACCTTTGTTGTCTTCTCAATAAATCCAGAGCAACTCTATCAGCCTGTTATCAGAATTTAGCTATTCCTAGCAGAAATTCTCTGATCAAATCCCCTCAGCAACATCTTTCCACTTTACACTTTTCTACTAAACACTTCACAGTCTTTACCTTATTCTTATAACAGTCATAATTGTTGACATTATTTACATGGAATTTAAAAAGGCTTTTGACACAGTACCGCATAAGAAGTTAATAAAAAAACTGGAGGCCCACGGTATTAAGGGGACAGTAGCCGTTTGGATTAAGAACGGGCTGAGTGACAGAATGCAGAGGGTGGTGGTTAATGGGTGTTTCTCACAATGGAAGGAGGTGTGCAGCGGTGTCCCCCAGGGATCGGTATTGGGACCACTGCTCTTTCTAATATATACTAATGATCTGGACTTGGGCATAGAGAGCACTATTTCCAAGTTTGCAGATGATACCAAGTTAGGTAGGGTAGTAAATAGTGAAGAAGATTGTGACGGACTGCAGGCAGACATACACAGAATGGTGGAATGGGCTGACATGTGGCAGATGGATTTCAATGTAGATAAGTGCGAGGTGATACACTTAGGTAGGAAAAATGATAGGAGGCAATATAGACTTGGTAGCTCAATCTTAAGGGGGGTAAACATACAGAGAGATCTGGGCGTTCAAGTAAGTGATTCATTGAAGGTGGCAGAGCAGGTAGATAGGGCAGTAAAAAGGGTATTTCATGTACTTCATTAGTAGGGGCATAGAATATAAGAGTAGGGAGGTTATGCTTAATCTGTACAAAACACTGGTTAGGCCTCAGCTGGAGTACTGCATCCAGTTCTGGGCACCTTACTTCAGGAAGGATATTAAGGCACTGGAATCGGTGCAGAGGAGATTCACGAGAATGATACCAGGAATGGGGAACCTTAGCTATGAGGATAGGCTGGAAAAGTTAGGACTTTTCCCATTAGAGCAGAGAAGGTTACGCGGGGACCTGATAGAGGTCTTCAAGATCATGAAAGGTTTCGACAGGCGAGATAGGGAAAAGCTGTTTCCGCTGGTAGGTGTGTCTGTGACTCGTGGTCACAGTCTTAAGAAGCAGAGGGGAGGTTAGAAGAATTTTTTTCACTCAGCGAGTTGTTAGAATTTGGAATGATCTGCTTGAAAGGGCAGTGAAGTCCGATTCGATAACAGCTTTTAAGAGAGAACTGGGTAGGTATCTGGAGAAGACAGGTTTGCAGGGTTATGGGGAGAAAGCTGGTGAGTGGGGTTAATAAAAGTCAGTTGCTCTATCAAAGAGCTGACACAGACTCGATGGGCGAATGGCCTCCTTCTGTGCCGTAACATTCTATGATTCTATGATAATTGTCAGCCTGGTGAAAGGCGCTATGCGAGTGTAATAATAATAATAATAATCCTTGCATTTGATATAGCGCTTTTCACGTCGGGAGGACGTCCCAAAGCGCTTCACAGAACACACTGTAAAGTGAATTGACTGTATATTTGTGGGCGAACGCGGCAGCCAATTGCGCACAGCAATGTCCCACAAACAGTCGTAGATTGAAAATGACCAATTTATTATTGTTTTTGGTTTTGGAGGGATTATTATTAGGCGTGTGGAGTAAGGAAACTTGCCCAAGGTTTCGCCCTGACCTGCCTGGAATTGAACTCAGGTCTCTTGCTTGCAAAGCGAGTGCTCTAACCACTGAGCTACAGGACTCCACAATTTGTTGTTGTTGTCAGTAGCACTTTAACCTCTGAGTCAGGAGGTTGTGGGTTTAAGTCACAGTTTAGGTGGACATTCCAATGCAATGCTGGCATAACCTTGCATTGTCGGAGGTGCCATCCTTTGGATGCTTTCGTGAAGTGCCCATCCTTTGAGATGTTTTAATACAGCATGATAAAGTGCAAGGATTATTAAAAACTGTTTCTCCCAATGAACAAATCACACGATCATGTCAGAATATATGTATCCCTGCTTCTTCATCACTCTTGCTTGAAATGCTTCAGTTTGTTTTTGTGTCACACACTATTAACTATTGAGGACTGCACACTCTGCAATGAATTTCATACATAGACCCTAATCTGATGTCAGAAACCTTTCAGTGACAGACATCAAATTACATATCTAGAAATAATCCTGGAGCGTTAACATTTTAGTGGAATGGGTCATGTTCTTTGTTTTCCTTCTGCCTTATCTTCAAGGTAGAAGAACTTCATGAAAGATTCACGTGGTTTAGAGTCTCAAAACGTGGAGTAAAGTAGCCCATAGTTGACATTAGGGTTGTATCCTGAAAATGAAATTGTTCAGACCAAGGGAACCATGCACAAAAGGAATCAGATTATTATTTGTTTCCCGCACAATCAATGTGTTCTTTTTTTTTAGTGTGTATTCCGGAAATTCACATTTGCAGGATGCTGCATTGATCCATCACACACTTTGTTTCCATTTAGAGATGATTTTACACATCAATTCTAATTCTGCACTGTAGTTTATATTCTTAAATTATCTATCTTGATTAATCTTAAAAAAACAAAAAGATTGACTTAAAACCTTCTTGTTTATCTTCACGATTGTAATTTTAATTATTACAATTAAAATAATTGTAATTATTATAATTATCATTTTAATTATTCACTATTGTAATCCAAAGTGCCTACTGTCTCCTCCCCTCTTTTGCCATGCTCCGCCACTGTCAAGGCACTCTGGGACATTATCCTGTGTGAGGCTATTCTGTGCAATTTGTAATCATAATGCCTTTTTTTCAAATAACAGGCAAAATATTTACGAATACCGATGATACAATTTGCCTGCTTGGCATGCGTAGACGCACCCTCCTCTTCCAGCCTGTGTCACAGCTGATGTCTGAGACAGATTTAAAGTAAGCATATCTCAACACTGATCTACACGGTGTAAAAACATTTATACTACAGATCTGCTAATTGTGGGATTTTGCCCATGACTGAACTGTTTCAAAGCAGCACACCTTGCACATCATCACTGCTGAAAATTGAGTATTTTTGCTTCACTTTCATATCGTTTCTTAATGATTGGCAGCACCTTAAATAATTGCAGCAGAATGGGAGGAAAGCCTTCTGCTATTCTTGTACAGATCTCCCTCTGCCTCAGTTGCAGCTATTAGGTAGAGCTCAGTCAGAACAATGCAAAATGTTCTACACACGAGTAATGATAATCTGAATACAGCAGGCTTGAGTTATAAAGCTGGGCTGTACTATGATCAACACTGAAGTGTAGGTACCACTAATTGAGCTTTATGTCTGGGTTAGGGTGCACTAACTGTACATTGAGGTACAGAGCATCCTCCTATAGTTACCAAGCTCCATAAATATCAAGCACGGCCTTGAAACAAAGGTTCACCAGTGACCCGATAAGACGTCTTTAAAGCATTCCCAAGCCACTACCCAGCTTAAAGGATGCTATATTAATGTAAGTTGTTCTTAAAATTATGAGATGTAAATAGGAGAAATTATTTCTACTAGTTGTTGAGTCCATGACTAGAGGGCATCAATTTAATTGAAAACAAGCAAATGAGGAGGTTTTCACACACAGAAAAGTTAGGATCTGAATGCCCTGCTAGGAGCGGTGGTTGAGGCAGAATCAATATCAGCTTTCAAAAGGGAACTAAATAGATATCTAGAGGAGTAAACTACAGGAGTGTGAGAAAAAGGCAGGTAATTGGGACTGAGAGGATTACTCTTCAAATCAACCAGTCTTCTATGCTGAAAGTATTTAATATGAAAGTATATAGTTACACGCAGATATCGGCGGTTTTGAACATTATAATCAGAGGTTAACATTTATGTCCTATTTTTAGACATCGAATTCCCAAGGAGCAGTGGTGGGTGAACCTCCGGGCACTGATGAAGATTCTGGCCAAATACAAGATCAGTTACGATGTGTCCGATGCCGGAAAGCTTGAGCACGTTACCCAACGTATGCGTGATACTGATAATGAAACCTTATAAAAGTGGACCAGATAGAACCATCACTTGTAAGCTTCAGTCTCAACTTATTCCTCTGAGGGTAGTGAATCCTGGTTTAATCCGTATTGGTTAAATGTGTCACTCATACGCAACTACTCAAACAAAATAGAATACACATTTGGTTTCTTGTCATTCTGTTGCTTAGTTTTTAACCAGAGTACTTGCATGGAAAAAAGAACACAGCACAAATTTTATTGCTTGTCATTGCACAGCTTCTCAGAGTAGTCCTATTTATTGTGTGGATCACTTATAGTTTTATTGTGTGAAGAAGCGAAATCTATATTAGTGTGAGCAGTGGAATAAATGTGCTGTATTGGAGTGAAAATGTTTTATTTTGCTTTTACAGCTGTGGGGCAGAGCCTTCAATAAAATAGCTAATGGATGTTTCTGAAAGAAAGTGTATTTACAGTAGCTTTGAACCTGCACTCAATTCTTATCCCAGTCTCAAGACACACCGCTGGTACTCTCTTAAAGTTATTAATTTTGGTGAGGGATCCCTTCCCTCCATCATTCATAAATCGTTTGCTATGTTGGGTAGTAATACTTACATTGCATTTCTCAAGTCCAAGCACTTTCTTTCTCTCTGCTCCAGGGAGATTTGGGGGAGGGGGTGGTAAACAGATCTCCTTGGAACTGAACTGACTCCAGGGTGACGATCTTAGCAATCAAATATCAAGAGTCCAGTTGACCCTCTCAGGTAGGCTAATAATTTGCCCACAAGTACACAGTCCACTTTTCCGTATATTCTAAATCCATTTTACAATATATTCTGTGATACACCTTTGAAATGTCTCACCAAAGTGATGAGGCGCTATACCAAATGCAAGGATTTTTATTATATTATGACACACAAACCAGCCTGCTTAATTGGCAAGATTTGAAGGGACAGAACAATCACTGGAAGCAGGGATTCTTCCTACTCAATTCTGTTAACCTTGCAAGCCGAACCCTAACAAGCTGAACAAGCAGTGCTCCCAATGGCCAAACAATACAAGGATACCCAAGTCTTGGCTGTTATCAAACATTGTGCCTAGAATTCTCTGACATTAGATAAATAAGGTACATCCCTCCAGGGAGAAAGTGTCCATTCCAGAAACAGAGAAATATCCATGGGTAGGTAGCAGACGGAATTCTGGTTTGGATACTTTCAAGCATGACAGGTTTCCACACATCAGGCACTTGGCTGTCCAAAACGCCCCAATCTCTCTAATGTATTTCACTCTGATGCTCCTAAGTGTGTCAAACCAACATGACACTCGTACTCAATTACTCCAACAAAATGTAGTTTGAATCACCTCCTGTGCTCCCATTGCACCACCATCAATCTTCAACCACTGGAACTGCCTCCATCAAGCACTGCATTTTCCCCCCTCTCTTATCAGACATTAAATCTCATCTAAAAAAATAAAATTTCAATTGCGCTTTGTTACCTCCATCTTCAGCCTCACTTTGCATCCAACCCTGTCCTTGTTAAGTCCTCCAAGTTATTATCTTATGAGAAGGGCACTACTATATCAATGTACATTGTTGCTGCCTACTTGCATCAAAATGTATCAAGTACTTACCAAGTCCAAGTGCTCGGAAGACAAACAAGTCTGATGAGTCAGTCATGTTTCTTGATCAATTGTTATTTGGGAAAAATGTTGTCTGGGACACAGGAACTGGCTGAATTAGGACCATGAGTTCTTTTCAATAGTCACTTGAATCACCAGAACAGGCAACAGGGAGTAGTTACTTGTATTTACATAGCACTCCTCATGCAGGGTAGCTTCCCAGAGGGCTCGACAGTGGTGGAGCACGATGCCGAGCCGGGTGGAGGTGACCATAAGCATGGTTGAAGAGGGAAGTTTTCAGGCATGACCTTAAGATGAGGAAGGAGGGGTCAACGCAGAGGGAGAGTGTTCCAGAGTTTTGGGGAGTAGTGGCTGAAAGTGTGGATGTTAGAACAGAGCGCATGAGGGGGTGGTAAGCAGGGTCTCCTTGCAACTGAACTGACTCCAGGGTGACAATCTAAGCAATCAAATATCAAGAGTCCAGTTGACCTTCTGTTCTAACATTGGTGACCACGCTTTCAGCCACTACTCCCCAAAACTCTGGAACACTCTCCCTCTGCCTTGGCCCCTCCTTCCCCAACATACAGCACCTGGTACTTGACATTAGTGATGTAGCAGTTCTGGATGGACCAATGAATGATTGGAAATGGATCACCTATACCCTTTAGAAACCAGGGAGGAAATTTGAAGATCTCTGAACCCTAGTGAGGTTCTTTGAAGCAAGCAAATATTCTTCCCATATTTAAGAAATGTGACAAAGTCCTTACCTGGAAACTACTGACCCATTCACCTGTATTCAATAATACAGAAATTAACAGAAGATTAAAACAGAAGTGAAATGTTGTTTGCCTACAGTAAAACATACAGGTCAGCCAGCCCAGCTTCAGAAGACGTAGATGTTATCTGAATTTCATATTTTTATGTGACATCAAATGAACGATGGAGCCATTGGCATACAACATACATAACCTCAATTCCAAAAGACCTTGACAAAGTACCACCTATTATTGATGAATATGAAAGTCAATCCAAAACATGGACTAGGTACTGTGCTACCAAAAAGAAACTAAGGGGAGCTGGGTTAAAATGGGGGTGGTGTAGTGGAAGGGAATATATTCAAGTGTCTTAATAGCCTGTGCTGGGGCCTTTTCTGTTCCTTCTGATTTTCAGCATAAATGGTTGATTGTAGATCCCACGTAACTCTGCAGATGATACCAAGCTGGGGGGTGGGGGCGGGGAGAGACTAAAAGAGGAACTACAATCAGAGGAGGCAAAGTAATGTGGATACCTGATCTAATGATTGCCAAATAAAAGTCAACATATTACTTACAGGAAAGGAAAAATTGTAGTTGCGCTATGGATCGGATTGAACTTGCCAAGAAAGTTGAATCCCATAGCACAATAAACAAGGCATATACAAAATTTTGGGATACATTGCCAGACCATTTGACTTCAGATTCAAGGTAGTTTGATGTGGCTGCACCTGGAGTACTAACAAGTTTTGCTGCCTTTCTATAAAGGGAATTTGTCTGACTCTTGAAGCAGTGAAGGCTGATTTCCAATGGTTAGAAGGATGAGCGCTGAGGAATAACTAGAATAACAAAGAAAACTAGAAAATAGTTTCAAGGCAGGACAAGAAGTCACAGATTCAGATTTGTGATGTTTTAGGATAGATACCAGAAAGTATATCTTGATAAGAGGATAATCAACAGCAGGAATGCCTTACCAGTAACAAGGTGGTAAGACACGAGACCCATCTTAAGAAACATCTGGATGCTCCAATAAGATGCAACAGTAGGTCATAATCAAAAAGGGTGTTTCTCATAGAATTATACAGCACAGAATCTGATCTTGGTTTCTGATTCTCTGCAGTGACTGTTGACATTATCTGTAAATTTCTAACATACTGAAGATTTTCAAACCTGCCTTGGTTCCTTTCTGTACCTATATGTGCCTTGATCCAAGAATCAGCCTAGCCTCAGCCTTAATGGAAGATCTAGCCAACCCCAAGGGAAGAAAATGTTAAATTGGACAGAAGCACACAAAACTCCAGGAATGAAGCAGGCAATGAGCTGAAGCTCAGACTTCAAAAGGTTTGTTCTTCAGATGCAATCACTTTATACAGAAATTGTTGACTGTGAGACGGACTCAGGAAATTGATCCAGCAAACCACTGGAGCAACATTGGGCCAGCAAATTCAAGAAGGAATTTGGTAACTACTGTATTTAGCTAAATTGATTGAGCAGCATAATATAAGAACAGTGAATTAAGTTTTTTACTGTGAGACTACAATTATTTGCTTTGTTCTCTACATTCCTGTTTTCCTAGACACTGCTGTGCATATTATTTTTATTAAACGTGACTAAGTGAGGTAAGGCCATCCAGTTATCCAGAAGACAATTAAAATACCTGGAAGTGAAAACAGTAAATGAGAAGTGTAAATGAAAACAGATTTAAAATCAGGCATGGGGAAGCTTCGTAATCCTTTAATTAATTAAAAACATGAAATGCCTGGGTGGCTGGCTTAAATGTCTTAAATTATCACATTTACAAGGCAATACTTTATCTCCTGTTGAACATATTCCAGGCCGATCATCCTTAGAACATGCCCATCACTGAATATAAGAGATTACATAGAAAACAAAGTCCTCATAAAATGTAACCTCTTGGGAGTCATGAAATAGGGGTACAGACGATATACACTGCACAATGACGACATTTGTTTACAACTCCAGCGAGTTTTTCCTTTTCAAATACCTATCTAATTCCCATTTGAAAGTTGTTATTGAATTCTTTGCCACTCCCTTTCAGGCAGTGCATCCCAGACCATAATCACTCTGTGTAAAAACTTTCTCTTCATCTCCCTTCTGACCATGGAATAAAATATTCTATACAACTCATTGAATATTTGGAACCAACGTTAACTTTTATTAGTTCATCCCAACCAAGAATAACTTTGTCAGTATTAGTTGACATTGGCTAAAACATTGTAGTAAAATCCTTGCTATAAACTAAATATGCATCAAAAAAACAATGCTTTGCATGATTGGCGACTGTGCAAAACAGCTGTGCAATGAGGTGCACATTTCCAGGTTATAATAGTATAGAGGCACAAATAAAATAAAACAGTCTAAATTCTTGATAATTTGGATATTCTATAGAAGTTGAGTTCTGTACAAACTTGGAAAGTTCCAAATTTTGTGGCAACATTGGGGCCACTACTATGACAAATTGTTACTGCATACAGGAATGGGATGTGATTTAATTTGTATACTCATACAAGTGACACATGTTTTAATAGTCAGTAAAAATAAGTATACAGAAACTTTTCTACAATATAAATCTGGTCAATCATCCAATGCAAACATAACCTAGAACATTGTTTTTATTAATTCCTTAATGTAAGATTCTAAGTAAATAGAAACAAGCCTTTGTGGGTTTTCTACATTTCATATTATTGAAAGATCAGGTACAGAATTAGCAATTTTTCACTTAATATTTGTAGATTTATCCTATTCAACATGATTGGCTTTGACCAGTTCACAAGTAGCATGTATTGATACTAGCTAAAGTACTAGCTTGATACATGTTTTCTTCCAATCCAAGAAACCAGTGTTAGTAACGATTTTCTTTTATCAGTTCAGGTCATGAGTAGAGTTGAGCAACTATTAAGACAACAGTCACTAAGATATTATTATAAACTAGTCTCTTTCAGGTTTTCAATGTTAATGTTCTGGTAATTGACTACAAATAATTTTCTTTTGATTGCTGTCCTGTAGTTCCTCCGGAGAATAAATCTTTTTGTCCTTAGTCTTATTTTTCATTTATCTTAGTTATCTTTGTACCCACGATGGATCTCGAGCAATATATTCATTCTCTGGTCCTAAAATTGCAACTCCACAAGTTCTTTGTCCAGTTGTCAAATACCTGAGAGAAAAAAATAAACACCACAGACTTAGCAATAATAACCCTTGCATTTGAAGTGCTTTGAGATGTCTCAACGACGTGATAAAGCCCTGTATCAAAGAAATACATTGTTAAGTGGATTGACTGTATCTTGTGGGCACACATTAGTGTCTCATAAAGAGTCATGGATTGAGTGACCAATTTTTTTTGGAAGGGATTATTATCCCCGGAAAGCAATCCGCCATTTGACTAACAACTGGGTTCCTACTTACTGCTAGATAAACTGAGGCTTGTGAAGTAAGGAGACTTGCCAAAGGTTTCCCCTGCCCAGGTATCAAACTCAGGTCCTCACTTGCGAGGCGAGCACGCTAGCAACTACGGTACAGAACTCTACAATAGCATTGTAAAAGGTTCCTGTTTAGAGATTGCTGCCAAAACTTTTCAACTTTCTTACACGTGAAAAATGCCCTCACAGGGATCTTACTGCAACAGATAATTAAACCCTTGGTTGATGGAATATTCCTAGTTGTATGATTGGTAGATAAAACAAAGAATCCCCGAAGTGTGTGGTTTTTTTTTTACTGCATTAATTACCACTAAAACTTTAAATGTTTAAAATGTATTTTGTTGTGTACATTCATTCTATAGGCTTAATATTTTGCTCATATTATTGTTTAATTCATGTCTCAGTGTGTGAGCTAAAATAATAATCCTTACAATTGATATAGTCTTATGTCTTCGAGACGTCTCAAAGCGCTTCACAGAATATACTGTAAAGTGAATCGACTATATATTTTGTGGGCAAAACGCGGTAGTCATTTGCGGACAACAGTGTCCCACAAACAGTCATGGAATTATTATTTGTTCTGTTGAATTAATCCCCCCGGAAAAGCGATCCACCAATTGACTAAGGTTCCTACTTACTGCTAGGTAAACAGAGTCGTGTAAAGAAACTTGCCTTACGTTTCGTCCTGCTGGGAATCAAACCCAGGTCTCTTGCTTGTGAGGCAAGTGTTTTAACCACTGAGCTACAGGACTCCACATATAAAATATAGCCATATATTGGAGCGAGACATAGAAAATCAATGTAGATTTGGTGAGCCGAATGACCTATATCTGTGCTTTAATGTTCCTTGCGTTCCACCAGCAACGCACAAGAGCTACTTTCAAAGCAGTGACAGGTTCAAAAGACATCACCTGAATCCGCTCAGTGAGAGGGAAAATGCTACTTTGTAAATTAATCCTGGATTTGGCAGCTGGGAGGTATAAGGTATAAGGGATGGAGGGAAAGGCAACCTGGAGAGCTTGCTAGCAGCACTGGGATAATAATGTGCAACTGATATGTTTAGCACTGCCTGAGTATCCATGGTGGATAGAAGCTGGCATTGAAACCCACTCCCCCAACCTCACCCCACGTATCTGCTGGAGAAGAGACAGCAGAGTTATTCATACAAGAAGAAAGCAAAGGCTTAAGACACTTCTCAATCTGATTTATGACTTGCCCTTCAAAACAGCATCTTGCCTTTTGCTGTGTCTTATTAGGTCGAAATAAACAGAATACCATATAAAGTATGTAAAATATTTCCGCGCGTAATAATAGCTGTGGAAATCCCAAAACCACTATTATACCCGCAACAATAAATCATCATGTAATAATTTACTTTAAAGTAAAGAAGAAATTAATGGCTGACCCAGGGAGACTGGAACTTGTTGGCAGTTAAGGAATGAAACAAATTCATTGAACACACAATAGTAACCTGTAGCTTTTTCAGCCTGATATCTACCACAGGCTGACGTGGTTTCAGATTCCCTGTTTTATTGTTATTACAAAAAAAGATACTTACTTGTTAGCTACTTCTATCAAGTTATTACTAGTAACAGCAAACAGCTGCTCCCGATGTATCTGCTTCATTTCATCTGAAATGCTAAACATAAAACGATTCAAGCCTGTTGAAGTAGCACAAAAAAGTCAAATGAAACCATCACATTTTCAACTTGCATTTATTTTGCATCTTTCGTGTAGAAGAACACCTTTTCTGACAGATTGCTGGATAAACAAGAAGCTGGGGAAAAAAAAGGTGACCATAAGCATGGTCAAAGAGGTAGGTTCTTAGATCTATTTCAGGATATAGCGGGATGCAAGTTGGAGGGGTAGAGGGAGGGAAATCATATTAATGTTTAGCTTAAATCTATCTACCCCTCATTCCCTGTAAAACTCCAGTCATTCTCAATAATTGATAAGGTTGGATGAAAATGCAGACATTTTGGACAACTTGCCACAAGTAGTTCAGCAGAACAAACTGATCGGACTTATATTCAAGGTACATCAGTCATCTTTACCTTTGTCGGATGGGGCTATAGGAACATCCACACTTGAAAATACTGATAGTTTGGCTTCATCTATATCGTCTTGTGTGAACTTTCCAGCTTTAGCCCAATCAACACTCTTTTTGAATGCAACCAATGTCTCCAAAGAATTCGGATCCCTAAATGATTTGTTTTAAAAAGATTTAATATTCAAGCATAATAAGTATATTTATCATCAGGGAGCATATTATTTTACTATCCAACTAAGCATCAACATTTATTCTTTGATGATCTGAATCTAAATCTGAACACAAACGTATGGTCAGATGAGGCTTATTGAATAGCTCAATATGCATAATAAAGCAGGATAGACATGATCTCAGACTTTTCAAGACTGAATAATTGAAAAATAGTTCTACTCTAATAACAAAAACCTATTTGTTTCTTTCTGGATTACACATACCCTAATTGGAAGGTTTCAGTGTGTTTATGTTGCACTGTAAAATGCACCTGTAATATACACAGATTATGTTTACTTCAGCATAGTTTGGGTTTTGGTCAAATATGATAATGAAAACTTTTTATGCACTATAAAATTAATCTGTAAATAGCCAACAGGTCCCTTAATATTCCAAGCTCCCAGGTTAAGATTTTTTCCCAGAAAAACTTTTCAAAATTGTACAATCAGAAGAGGAAGGGAGAAAATTGAAAGGTGTGAGAAGAAGCTTTAATAATTATTTCCAATTAACCTGAAATTGGTGACGTTAATTTTACACTTTAAAAAAAACTATTAAATAAATAAGTCAATAGGCAACTTTGGAAAATAACATTTCTTTTAAACAGCTTATAAAGGGGAAAGAGACAATATATTTTATTCTATTATCCATCATAAGACACACTTTGAAATAATTGTATTTCTTATTAATTCACCTGTAAGAATAGAATGAAAATACCCCACTGTAGTTCAGTGTAGCACCCCCTCCATAAGCACCGCCCTTCTCTCGAATTTCCCGGTGCAGGAATTTTGCCGTCAGTAACCGTGCAAGAACATGAAGACTATAAGTAACAGAGTTAACATCATTAAAGTCAACCATATGCAAGCATACCATTACTGGCCTAGTACATTAAAAACACAATTAGGATTGATAATTCTGTGGCCAAAATAATATTTTGCACACATAAGAATTGAAAAGGATAAATTGAACTGGCAACTAATAATAATCTTTACGTTTGATATACCTTTCATGGCAGGAGGTAATCTCAAGGAACTTTACAGGAAAAACTATCGTGACAAGTGTATTTTGTAGAATACAGCAGCCAATTTGCACATAGCAGTGTCTCACAAAAAAAAGTGAATTAAAGTATAAATTTATATAGCGCCTTTCACGTCAGGAGAAGCAATTTTAGTTTGCGAAGGATTGTTGGACAGGTCTGTGGCATACCACTAAGGAATGGTAGAATGTGGCTTCAGATGTGCAGAATCAGAAGTACAATCAAAAGGATTCAATGTGTTCTGATTTAATGTACATTGTGGGAGCACAGCAAGGCTGTGAACTTGTCCAAACTTTATTGTGTGATTCTAACCATTGTTGGGTGGAGCTGAGGAATAGGAAAATAAAAAGGGAAAAATCGTAAAAGTACCGATGTGAAATAATCTTTCATTTTGGGAAAACTGTCTCAAATAAAATTTAACAGTCATCTAAAGTCACTTAGCTCCATGAAATGTGTGCATGCAACTGTCTGAAATTTAACAAAAATATGCACACAATTTTTTGTAACTTGATTTTCTTACAACATACCTGGCAAAATCCTGATTTACGTAGGGAACTGTGCGAATGCACTCACTCACATAATTCACGGGGAAGGGAAATTGGAAATGGGTTTTCATCTGACAAGCTTTGAAGCTTGGATCCTTAAAATGAAAGGGAAGAAAGAGACATGACTGTAATGAAGCTTTCTCTAGTGTGTCGATTTGTTCAACATCTGAACAGAACCTTAATTTCTGAATATTTTGTTATACATATCTACATCAGTCTTATAATGGTGAATCAATGTATAATAAGTCTGAAATTACTTTAGAAAATATTTAAACATTACAATAATAAAAGCATTAAAACATTTACTCTGGAATAGACATTAACCTCAAGATAATTGTGCATTTCAAGCTTCAGTTATTCTTTATTATACACCTAAAAGTAACTTATAATTTAAACCTTTCTGTAGCGAGGACAAAATCACTAGTAATAAGATATGTAAAGTAGACAACAGGTTCCTAGTCAAGCACAAAATACTGGACTAATAATGCTTTTGAAATTATTGCACATCTGACAATATCTATGCTTCCTTGTTATCAAAACCGTTACCTTCCCACATGACACAAAGCACTCTCTGGTGCAGCACGGAGGGTAGAAAGTATGAGTTTAAAAATATAAGTCTCCTCTAACATATTTGTTGATAACAAAAACTTGCATTTATATAGCACCCTTCACTAGGGTAGCATCACAAAACATTAAACAATGGCTGGAAAATGGGGGCTCAGGGGAAGAGAGAGAGGTGACCGAAGCCATGGTTGAAAAGGAAAGTCCTTAGGTACGATTTGAAGATGGGTAAAGAGGGGGCAAGACTGCAGAATTGAAGCAAGGAGGTCCACAGATTCAGGGCATAGTGGCGGAAACCCAGCCACCAATTGTGGAGTGGAGGGGACAAGGAACATGCAGCAGTCCCCTACCAGCTGAATGAAGGCGGGTGGTAGAGGAGTGGGGTGTGAGCAGATCCGAGAGGTAGAGACATACCAGTGAGTGAAGAGATTTGAAAGCAGAGTGAGTATCTTGAAATTGATTTGTTCTTCAGCAGGGATCCAGTGGAGCCCAGCAAGCACTAGGAAGATGGGAATGCGGAGTCTAGTATAGGTGAGGATACCAGCAGCAGTTCAGAATAATTTGAACCCTGTTAATAGGGGAGCTGAGAAGCCGGCGAGAGAAAAAAACGTTTGAAGGGACATGTTGAGACAAGTGCGATGGATTTTATAAATTTGGTAGCAAGACTTCAAATAATTTCCCCCTCAACATTTTTTTTCAAAAGATTTTTTGCACTTGCAGAAAATGTATTGAGTCAGTTTGGACTGGGCCACACAGGTCAACATATACTGACTGACAAGAGGAACAACCTGACTCAGTTCTTTTTATAAGCTGTTTTGTCAACCAAAACTTGAAAGTCAAAACTCTTATCTATGTTTACCCACGTCTCAAAGAGAATAATAATCCTTGCATTTGATATAGCACCTTCTCGGGTCTTTGAGACATCTCAAAGCACTTCACAGAATATACTGTAGTGAATTGACCATATTTTGTGGGTGAAACGTGACAGCCAATTACGCACAACAGTGTCTCACAAACAGTGGTAGATTGACGTGACCAATTTATTATTATTTTTGAAGGAATTATTACCCCCAGAAAAGCAATCCACCAATCGACAAACCACCAGATTCTTACTTACTGCTAGGTAAACAGAGACGTGTGGAGTGAGAAACTTGCCCAACGTTTTGCCCTGCCGGGATCAACCCAAGTCTCTCGTTTGCAGGTACTCTAACCACTGAGCTACAACAACAACAAGACTGCATTTATAGAGCACCTTTCGTGTTGGGAGGACATCCCAAGGCGCTGGACAGTTGGGTCGGGACCCGAGCAGGGGGGAAATAGTCAGGGTGAGGGGAGGGAAGGAAGTGTGCGATGAGGGGGTAGAGAGTCGAGAGGGGAGCTGAAGGCACGGTCAAAGAGAAAGGTCTTGAGACCGGCCTTGAAGGAGGAAAGGGAGGAAGCAAGGCGAACCACTGGGGGTTGGAGTTTCAGAGCCTAGGGGCTGAAGGCCCGGCCACCGATGGTAGGGCGGTTGGGGCGGGGGATGTGCAGCAGACCGGAGCCAGAGGAACGGAGGGTACGGGCAGGTAAGTAGGAGGATAGTAGGTCGGAGAGGTAGGAGGGTGCAAGGCCATGAATGGCCTTGTAGGTGAGGATGAGAATCTTGAATTCGATCCTCTGGAGGATGGGGAGCCAGTGGAGGTGAGCGAGGGTGGGAGTGATGTGGTCGCGAAGCCTGGTGCGGGACAGTACACGAGCTGCAGAGTTCTGAATGACCTGCAGCTTGTGGAGGGAGGTGCCGGGAAGGCCGGCGAGGAGAGTTCCCATAGTTCAGCCTTGAAGTGATAAAGGCGTGGACCAGAATTTTAGCAGAGTGAGGGGTGAGGTAGTGCCATAGTCTGGCGATGTTCCGGAGGTGGTGGAAGGCGGTGCCAGTTGTGGCGCGGATATGAGGAAGAAAGGACAGCTCAGGGTCGAACAGAAGACCGAAGCTCCTGACCGGCTTTGAGAGGTGGAGAGTGCAGCCTTGGATGCTGATGCTGTCAGCGCCTGAGGTGCGGAGGCGCTGACGCGAGCCAATCAGGAGGGCCTCAGTTTTGCGCACGTTGAGCTGAAGAAAGTTGTCTCTCGTCCAGGACTCAATGTCGGACAGGCAGGCTGTCAGGACATCGGGGGTCGTGGAGTTGAGGGTAGAGGAGGAAAGGTAGAGTTGGGTGTCATCCGTATACATGTGGAAGTTAACCCCATGTCTGCGGATGATGTCACCGAGGGGGAGCATATAGAGGGTGAAGAGGAGGGGACCGAGGACAGAGCCCTGAGGGACACTGCACGAGACAGTGCGGGACTCCACTACACTACAGGATGAGGAACAAAGACAGATTACCTGTTCTTTAAACCATTAAATTATACAAAGTAAACAACAACATGCATTTATTTATAGATCATGTTTACTTTTGAAGATAAGAGCAGTATGTTCAGATTTTCTTTTAGTTATTGTACCTTTTGAATGTGAATATAAATTACTTACAAAAACTAAGTTCTTGATTGCCTTTGAGCCTGGCTCATCTCCAGTTTCTTCGGGATTGAGTGGCCTCTGGAAACATTGGAGCAGGTCTACAGTTATTAGCATTTAATCATTCATATTTAGCAAACAATGACAATAATTTGAAAATACCTGCACAAGTCTAATGTTGTGATATTTCAAAGATACAGTACTTTTAAGTACTCAATATAAATTTTATAAATAACTAATACGTAGAAACTGCAGTTTCTATGTATTGGAAAGTACAACATCCATTCCCCTATTCATTTAAACCACAGATATTAGGAGGCAGTAGTTCACGATTTATGGAAATGATACAAAGTACAACAACTTGGACTTATATAGAGCCCTCCACCCAGGGTATCGTCTCAGAGTGCTTAATAGTGCTAGAGCCTGACTCTGAGCCAGGGGGTTGGAGGGGGCGAGTTTGGGGGTTGGCCGTAAGCACAGTTGAAGAGGAAAGTTTTCAGGCGGGACTTGAAAAAAAAAATGAAGGGGGCAAGACGGAGGGATTGAGGGAGAGTATTCCAGAGTTTCGAGGTGTAGTACACTGCACAAGCAGTGATCAGTCAGCCACTTGCAGCTCAACAATGAAGTCTTGATGTTTAACACTCCAGGTGTTTCCCAACTTCTTTAATATGGCAACAATTCATTACTATAGAACTCAATATTAATTCTGCCTTAGTAGGCTTTCCTTGTATATAATTGATATACGATTGAGGATTTCATAATAAAGAGCCAGATGTAATGTTAAATAATAAATTAATTGAATCTTGAGCATTAGCCACCTATGTGCCCCAAATCTTCTCCATCTCCTTCAAACCCTAAAAATACATTGGATTCCCTAAAAATAATTAGTATGAGTTTTTTTTCCCCCAGCTCAACTTCCTACTTAAACTTTGGATTAAATCTTCAATACACTACAGAGTAACAGCAAAAGTCATGACATATATATATATCTGGGATTGATCACAAGAGGTGAATTTCTAACGATAATTAAACCAGTACCTTGGGTTTCATTAGTGTGAATACAGTAAAAGCTCAGATAGATTTGGAAGGCTACTCTTTACCTCTATTCATTATTTTAGGATCCAATTCAATGACAAGTCACCTCACTTCCGAAATACCAGGGGTATCTAAATACTATTGAGCTTCACTATGATGTAGTGATTGGGATTTATAAAAATGATAGCTGTGCATATAAATTGTTGGCTTGCTCCCTGGATGCTTGTCTAGTCTGATGCTGATTTCAGGGCATCAGGTTGCCACTGATCTTGCTTGCTGCTTTGAGCAGCAAACAGGATGACATCAGTGATGACCTACTTATCAATTTTATTGTGAAAGCTGGCTAGCATGTGAGAAGCAAGCCAGCTGCACACATCTTAGTGAATGGGTGTATTCTAACCAAATTAACATGATAAAGAAGCAAGTTTCAATGGCCTGTATACAGTACATGAATTAAAACATGAATCAAATACAATTATACAAATAGATTTTATCAAATTAATTATCACAAATAGTCACAAATAAATGTTGGGCATGGGCAAGGAGGAATTTAGCCCACCATCAAACATTGCAAATGAACTTAGTACCTCTCTAATGTTTGACCTGAGGAGCTTCTTGTCCTTTTTCTTTGTCGCAAGTCCAGGAACCGTTCTTATAAACTTTTCAACTTCCTTTGCCACTTCTGGAATTAACAGCGGAGTGGCATTCACTGCACATCTGTCAGGAAAAAGCAGAAATAATGAAACTACAGCAATCTAATTGATGTCAGATACAACATCCTTTGCTAGGGAAGGCTAAACCATGGTCTTGTCTGCCTGCTCAGGTGCACACTAAAGATTCCATGGAACGTTTTGAAAAAAGGGAGTTTTCCCTGGTGTCCTAGTCAACAATGTTCAAATAATGTAGGTCATGGCTGTTTGTGGGACATTGGTTTGCACAAATTGGCTGTCGTGTTTGCCTGCAAATACAACACTAAACTTTGTAGTAAACCTTGTGAAGTGCTTTGAGATGTCTCAATGACATAAGGCACTATATCAAATGCAAGTGTTATTTACTATAATATACAAATTAAGAGATAGTGCACTTTCTTGACGAGGTTTACATCCTGGGATCAGATACAACAACAACAAGATTCCATTTATAGAGCGCCTTTCATGTCGGGAGGACATCCCAATTTGACTTAGATACACAATCTAAGTCAAAAAATATTTTCAAACCTGATCTCTGGTCTCACATTCCCTGGAAGGTACACTACCCAGCGTGAATGGCTATATAAATGCAAGTTGTTGTTGAGAATGATCAGAAAGAATGATCAGCTTACATCATCAACTCTCAGACTGAACTGTTCAATTATGTTTCTAGACACAAAACAATGTTCTATAAACTTTTAATTCTTGCTTGAAAATCTCCCTTTGTGAAATATGCTACTTAGCATTCACCATCTGTCCTTACATATGAAGAACTGGCCCTTGGACAAGGTACCAGAAGATTTCTGGCACCCGTAGAACTGCATTAATGAGCACCTTCAGCCTAGGAGAAAAGCAAGCATTATAAGCTGGGCCAATAGAAAAGTATGGGTGCACTTTTTCTGCGGAATCTGCTATAAACACCTCCCTCCGCTACAAACCGAGTTTCTGGCCCATGGGCTGCTCACTGGTTACTCAAAGTCACTGTAGGCAGAGCAGCTCTAGACGAGCATGTGGCTCAAGCAGGCCATTGTAACTTGCTTCACTCGGAGGCCCTGCTTTTGCGATTGTTTGTGTGATTGTGAACGTCTGTGTGTGTCTCTCTCTATGTGTCCTCTTCGACCATGCCATTGGCCACTCCCCTTCCCCTCCCGACCCCAGCTCGGGTCTGAAATGCTGTACTCTGTCCAGCGTCTTAGGACGTCCTCCTGACGTGAAAGGCGCTATACAAATGTAATCTTATTGATGTTGTTTGTGGAGTCCTGTAGCTCAATGGTTAGAGCACTCGCCACGCAAGCAAGAGACCTGGGTTTGATTCCCGGCAGGGTGAAATGTTGGACAACTTTCCTTACACCACAAGCCACTGTTTACCTAGCAGTGAGTAGGAACCTGGCTGTTAGTCGATTGGCTTTTCCGGGGACTATAATCCTTCAAAAAAAATAATTTGGTCACTCAATCCACAACTATTTGTGGGACACTGCTGTGCGCAATTGGCTGCCGCGTTTCGCCCACAAATATACAATTTACTATCAAGCTACCGGCCCATCTCCAACCTCCCCTTCCTGTCCAAGGTCCTGAAACGAGTTGTCGCCTCCCAGCTGCGCTCTTTCCTCTCCACCCATTCATTATTCGAATCCCTTCAGTCGGGTTTCCGTGCTGCCCATAGCACAGAAACTGCCCTGGTCAAGGTCACCAATGACATCCTGACCATCTGTGACCAGGGCTCCCTTTGCCTCCTCGTCCTCCTTGACCTATCTGCAGCATTCAATATGGTCGACCATGCTATCCTCCTCCACCGCTTGTCCTCCCACCTAAACCTTCAAGGCCCTGTCCTTGAGTGGTTTAGGTCGTACCTCTCCCACCGTCTTCACTTTGTTTCCACGAATGGCTTTTCCTCCAGTCCCCGCACTGTCTCGTGCGGTGTCCCTCAGGGCTCTGTCCTCGGTCCCCTCCTCTTCACCCTCTATATGCTCCACCTCGGTCACATCATCCGCAGACATGAGGTTAACTTCCACATGTATGCGGATCACACCCAACTCTACCTTTCCTCCTCTACCCTCAACTCCACGACCACCGATGTCCTGACAGCTTGCCTGTCCGACATCGAGTTCTGGACGAGAGACAACTTTCTTCAGCTCAATGTGCGTAAAACTGAGGCCCTCCTGATTGGCTCGCGTCAGCGCCTCCGCACCTCAGGCGCTGACAGCATCAGCATCCAAGGCTACACTCTCCACCTGTCAAAGCCAGACAGGAACCTCGGTGTTCTGTTCGACCCTGAGCTGTCCTTTCTATCTCATATCCGCGCCACAACTGGCACCACTTTCCATCACTTCCGGAATGTCGCCAGACTACGGCATTACCTCACCCCTCACGCTGCTGAAACTCTGGTCCATGCCTTTATCACCTCAAGGTTGGACTATGGGAACTCTCTCCTCGCCGGCCTTCCCGGCACCTCCCTCCACAAGCTGCAGGTCATTCAGAACTCTGCAGCTCGTGCACTGTCCCGCACCAGGCTTCGGGACCACATCACTCCCACCCTCGCTCGCTGGCACTGGCTCCCCATTCCCCAGAGGATCGAATTCAAGATCCTCATCCTCACCTACAAGGCCATTCACGGCCTTGCTCCCTCCTACCTCTCCGACCTACTATCCCCCTACCTACCTGCCCGTACCCTCCGTTCCTCTGGCTCCGGTCTGCTCCACATCCCCCGCCCCAACCGCCCTACCATCGGTGGCTGGGCCTTCAGCCTCTCAGCCCCTAGGCTCTGGAACTCTATCCCCCAGTGCCTTCGCCTTGCTTCCTCCCTTTCCTCCTTCAAGGCCGGTCTCAAGACCTTTCTCTTTGACCGGGCCTTCAGCTCCCCTCTCGACTCTCTACCCCTTCCTCGCTCCCTCCCTTCCCTCCGCTCAACCTGACCATTTCCCCCCTGCTCGGGTCCTGACCCAACTCTACAGTGCCTTGGGACCTCTTCCCGACGTGAAAGGCGCTCTATAAATGGAATCTTGTTGTTGTATATTCTGTGAAGTGCTTTGAGACATCTAGAAGACATGAAAAGCACTATATCAAATGCAAGGATGATTATATTATTATTTATATTATGTATATGTTTCTCTCTCTGTGTCTGACAGACATCCTGTCAGACTTCAAGTCCTGGATGAGACCTAACGTTCTTCAGTTAAACTTCAACAAGACCGAGGCTCTCCTGATTGGCTCCCGCAGGCGCCTCCTCACCTCAGGCACTGACAGCATCACCATCCATGGTTGCACACTCCACCTTGCTAAGCCAGTCCGGAACCATGGGGTCTTGATTGACCCTCAATTATCTTTTCTACCCCACATCTGTGCCATGAGCCACTCTGCCTTCCCCCACCTCTGCAACATTGCCCGGCTCTAATATTGTCTCACACCGCACGCCGCCGAAACCCTCACACACTCCTTCATTACATCGAGGCTCGACTATGCAAACTCACTGCTTGTCAGTCTCCCCAGCTCCTCCCTCCACAGGCTGCAGAATTCTGCAGCCTGGTCATCTCCCGCATCGGACTCTGTGACCCTATCACTCCCATCCTTGCCCAACTCCATTGGCTTCCCATTCACTCAGAGGGTACAGTTCAAGATCCTGGTCCTCACCTTTAAAGCCCACCACGGTCTTGCTCCCCCCACACCTCTCCGACCTCCTAACCCCCTACCACCCTGTTCGCTTCCTCCACTCAGTGGGCCCGCTTCACATCCCCCGCCTTGCTTGCCCTACTATAGGCGGGCGGGCCTTCCGACACTCTGCATCCACCCTCTGGAACTCCATTCCGCAGTCCCTCCATCTCGCTCCCTCCCTCATCACCTTCAAAACCCATCTCAAGACCCTCCTCTTCGACCATGATTTCGATCTCCCTGCTTCCCCCCCTGCCCTCCACCCTTCCCCACCCCGACCCTCAGCTATGGTCCATAACTCTATCTGTCCAGCGCCTTGGTACTTCCTCCCAACGTGAAAGGTGCTATACAAATGTAATTTTGTTGCTGTTATATGTGTTTGTGAGTGTCTATCCCCTATGTATGTGTCTGTTTATGAGTTTTTGTGTGTCTCTCCTCTGTACATAGATTTGTGAGTGTCTGCGTGTGAGACCTTCTATACGTATGTTTCTGAGTGTGTGTGAATGTGTATGTGTCTCTCTCCTCTGTCTGTGTATATCTCTCGGTCTACAAGTGTGTGTGTCTCTCTCTCTCTCTCTGTGAGAATGTGTCTCTCTCTCGGTGTCTGTGAGTGTCTCACTCTCTCGTCTCTGGGTCTGTGTGCGGTGCACACACCCCCCCACACACAAAAAAAGGACCACCCAGTTTGTTAAAGTAGTAATTAATATATTTTTGCAATGTTTTATTTCCTTATGTTTAGATTTTAATCAATAAAGTGAAAAAATGTAGGTTGGCAGTAAAATGTACCTCATTATCATCACCCCCCACAATTCTCCGCAAAAGATCAAATCTCCCCACAATTTTAAATAAACATTTCCGCGCTTTTCTCTTGGCCCAGATTATAAGCAAGAAAATAGTTATCAAATTCACACTGCCAAGTACTAGATGAAAGCTGGGAAGTGAAAAGTCCAGACAGTAGGGAGAAGAAAAACGCTTTTTTTCCCCCAGCACAGGAAGCAGTTTGATTAAAGACTACTGAATTATTTGTACAGTGACAAACTGGCTAAGGTTACCATTAACCTCAGCAAAACTCTTCAAAATATGGTAATGCACTTATCTGCATTTGTCTAATACACAAATTTTAGGTTTCAAACATCAAAGACTCACCTCATGTTATCGCTGCTCAATAAATGCATCTTAATTCGAGGCAGTTTACGGAGAACTTTCACAATATCAGGCATTTCTGCGATTCTTTTCAAATGTTTCACCTTGCAGGAAAAATATTTTGAAACGTGGTCAGATTTCTGCAAAACTTCTGGCATACTCAAGTACCAACTATTAAATTAGTACTCAAATTATGAAATTTTGTTCACTCCTTTGAAGATTACGTTCATTTTAAAATTTAAATCATATACACTTAAACTAGCTATAGTGAAGTATCATTATAACTCAGTGGTTGGAATTCACAAAATCCAAACTTGTACGTAGAGAAATACAATAGCCAGTTTCAATACAATTTACACTTATTTAGCGCCTTTCACTTTGAGAGGACGTCCTCTGAGAGCTTGACAAATCTCACAGGAAATCCAAGCTCAGTATAAAAGCCGAGGAGGGGAAAGATGACTGAAAGCGCCTTGGGACGTCCTCCCGACATGAAAGGCGCTATACAAATGTAATTCTTTTGTTGTTGATAGCACCATCAAAGAAGGACATTTTGAGAAGCACACCTTAAAAGCGGGGAGGAGTGAGAGAGTTGAATAGAGTTCCTCAGAGTTGATGCTTTCACTGAGCATCTGTGCAGCCAGCTCGCTCCCTATACATCAGCCAGACCCATGCTAAAAAAAATGACCAACTTCTGGATTGTCAGGTTGCCCCTGACATTATTTCCCCATTTGTTCTGCACGTACAAAGGAAAAAGTGGCGTTCGGGCATTTATTTAGGCTAAAGAAGCCAATTTCTGGACCATTAGGTGAAGGGATCAGCTGCTCAAATGTGCAGTGAATGGGGTCCACAGTGCAACCATGTTACAACCAAATTTCAGCTATAAGAAGCCCATTTTAGCAGGCTGCATTGTATTGATACAGATTAAAATAAAGTACTTTTATGACTTCAGATGATTTGCATGTCAGCCTGGCTTAACTGATTGTTTAAATACCTGAGAGGTAGGCCCAGCTCCTCCCCGCGCCAGGACAGCGCGGGGAGGAGCTGGGCCTACCTCTCAGGTATTTAAACTCGACGCAGCAGGGAGTGCAGCCAGTGTGCGGGGTGTGGGGCTGAGGAGGGAACGTGTGGGGGCGGAGCGGGGGAACCGCTGACGTCATAGTTGTACTTTTCAGAAGTGTGCGTGCGCAACAAAAAAAAATAATCATCTGCGCCCCCCCCCCAGGGCTCACATCAGAGCCCACCATGGTCTTGTTAGGTTGGCTGCCCCAGCCTATGGGATGTTTCCATCCACCTGACCGCTCGCTCCCGGTCCCCGCGTACGCAATATGGCTGCCGCTATGACCCGAGCCCCCTCACCCCCTCCTCCCTCCTCTCTACCCCCAAACCCTCCCCCCTCTGCATCTCTCCCGCTCTCTCCTCCTCTCTCTCCGTCCCTCTCGCCTTCTATCCCCACTTGACCCTCCCACAACCTCCCTCTGTTCCAGCCTGGGAATCCTCCGCCGGGCTCACCGTGGCACTCGGCGTTGGCTGTCCAGCAGCAGCCACACCGACTGCCCCATTCCCCACCACACTCACCAGCCACCCCGGACACAGACCCAGGGAGCCAACCTCTCCTCCCTTATCCCCATTCCCCCCACCCCTGCCTCACAACCTGGACACCCCTCCCTCCCCACACACCCTTCTGTCAAACGCTCCATCCACATCGGACTACAAAACGTCCGCACCCTCTGTAACAAGGCCCTGGTCATCAACGATCTCATCCTTGATGAGAACGTTGATATCATGGCCTTAACGGAAACCTGGCTCACCCCAGGTGACACCTTCCCCCTCACGGAGGCCACACCACCCGGCTACACCTCCCACCACATCCCCCGCCCCAACCGCCGTGGCGGTGGTGTTGCCCTTATCTCAAGGACACCACTTGCCCTATCCCCCTACTCCTCTGGCTCTTTCCCCTCTTTTGAGCACCTCACCCTCTCCCACCCCTCCTTCCTCTCACTTAAAATCCTCCTCCTCTACCGGCCCCCTAAAACCTCTCCCACCTTTATCTCTGATATTTCGACACTTCTCACATCTCTCTGCCTCTGCTTTGATCACCTAATCATCCTGGGCGACTTTAACCTGCACTTCACCCCCTCCTGCTCCATCTCCTCAGATTTCTCTTCCCTGCTCTCCTCGCTCAACCTCTCCCACATCAACTCCCCCACTCACAGTCACGGCCACCCACTCGACTTGGTGATCACCCGGGGTCTCAGTGTCTCGGATGTCACTATCACCGACAAGGTCGTCTCCGACCACCACTTCATCTCCTTCACCACCTCCACCCCCCTCCCCACCTCCACCAGACCCACCACCATCTTCTACCGCCCCTGGAAGAAGTTACCCACTCAATCCCTAACCGCTGCCTTGGAGTCCTCTGAACTCCTCTCCCTCTGGCCTTCAACCCTCACTGACCCCTCTTCTGCTCTCACCCTCCTCCACAACACCCTCTCCTCCACACTTGAAACTCTTGCCCCCATCACCTCCCGTACTGTCTCCTACTCTCGCTCCTCCCCCTGGTTCACCACCCACCTCCGCTCACTGAAGAGCCAGGTGCGGGCCGCTGAACGCACCTGCGTCAAATCTGGCCTAACGGTCCACCGACAAATCTGGCTGGACCTCCTCAAAATCTACCGCTCCACTCTAGCCTCGGCCAAATCGTCCTTCTACTCCAGGATAATCCTGGAGGCGAAGGACAACCCAAGGCTACTGTTCTCTACCACATCCCAACTCCTCCGTCCCCCCGCCACCCCGCGCAGGTCATCTCCTCCAACCTTCACTGCGAGGAGATGCTGGATTTCCTTGAATCCAAAATCAAGGGAATTCGCTCCGCGGTCACTTCCCCTCCAACATCCACCCACCCCCACCCCTTCCCTCCCACACTCCGACTCCTACCCATCCTCCCCTACACACCTTCGTACCCGTTTCCCCACCCTCTGTCACCAAACTCATCCTATCCCTGAAACCCACCACCTGCTCCCTTGACCCCATCCCCACTCCACTCCTTATCTCCCAGCTCCACCTCCTTGCCCCACATATCACAGACATCGTCAACCTGTCCCTCTCCTCTGGCACTATTCCCATTCCCTTAAAAACTGCCATCATCACTCCCACCTTGAAAAAACCCTCCCTTGATGCGTCGCAGCTATCAAGCTACCGGCCCATCTCCAACCTCCCCTTCCTGTCCAAGGTCCTGGAAAGAGTTGTCGCCTCCCAGCTGCGCTCTTTCCTCTCCACCCATTCATTATTCGAACCCCTTCAGTCGGGTTTCCGTGCTGCCCATAGCACAGAAACTGCCCTGGTCAAGGTCACCAATGACATCCTGACCATCTGTGACCAGGGCTCCCTCTGCCTCCTCGTCCTCCTCGACCTATCGGCAGCATTCGATACGGTCGACCATGCTATCCTCCTCCACCGCTTGTCCTCCCACCTAAACCTTCAAGGCCCTGTCCTTGAGTGGTTTAGGTCGTACCTCTCCCACCGTCTTCAAGTTGTCTCCACAAATGGTTTATCCTCCAGTCCCCGCACTGTCTCGTGCGGTGTCCCTCAGGGCTCTGTCCTCGGTCCCCTCCTCTTCACCCTCTATATGCTCCCCCTCGGTGACATCATCCGCAGACATGGGGTTAACTTCCACATGTATGCGGATGACACCCAACTCTACCTTTCCTCCTCTACCCTCAACTCCACGACCACCGATGTCCTGACAGCTGCCTGTCCGACATCGAGTCCTGGACGAGAGATAACTTTCTCCAGCTCAACGTGCGCAAAACTGAGGCCCTCCTGATTGGCTCGCGTCAGCGCCTCCGCACCTCAGGCGCTGACAGCATCAGCATCCAAGGCTGCACTCTACACCTCTCAAAGCCAGTCAGGAACCTCGGTGTTCTGTTCGACCCTGAGCTGTCCTTTCTCCCTCATATCCGCGCCACAACTGGCACCGCCTTCCATCACCTCCGGAATGTCGCCAGACTACGGAACTACCTCACCCCTCACGCTGCTGAAACTCTGGTCCACGCCTTTATCACCTCAAGGCTGGACTATGGGAACTCTCTCCTCGCCGGCCTTCCCGGCACCTCCCTCCACAAGCTGCAGGTCATTCAGAACTCTGCAGCTCGTGTACTGTCCCGCACCAGGCTCCAGGACCACATCACTCCCACACTCGCTCACCTCCACTGGCTCCCCATCCCCCAGAGGATCGAACTCAAGATCCTCATCCTCACCTACAAGGCCACTGACGGCCTTGCTCCCTCCTACCTCTCCGACCTACTATCCCCCTACCTACCTGCCCGTACCCTCCGTTCCTCTGGCTCCGGTCTGCTCCACATCCCCCGCCCCAACCGCCCTACCATCGGTGACCGGGCCTTCAGCCTCTCAGCCCCTAGGCTCTGGAACTCTATCCCCCAGTGCCTTTGCCTTGCTTCCTCCCTTTCCTCCTTCAAGGCCGGTCTCAAGACCTTTCTCTTTGACCGTGCCTTCAGCTCCCCTCTCGACTCTCTACCCCTTCCTTGCTCCCTCCCTTCCCTCCCCTCACCCTGACCAATTCCCCCTTGCTCAGGTCCTGACCCAACTGTATAGCGCCTTGGGACATCCTCCCGACGTGAAAGGCGCTCAATAAATGGAATCTTGTTGTTGTTCTCTCTCCTCCGAGTCTGAAGGTTTTGAGGGTCAGGTGCCAAACTCATTTTTTTTTGTCAGCTGGGTCTACGACTGACTTATCATCCTGCTGAAGTATCCAAACCAGAGTTCCATGCATCCCACATTCCAGAGATATTTATCTGCCCTTTTGTCTGCCCTTTCAAATCCTGCCGATGAAAATTCAGCCTGGCTCAGCTGAATTCTGACATTCCGTTTCCAAAATGTCACCTTGAATCAGCTCCAAGGAGACCACGCTTAATCTCCCACACAGGAAGGTGGTAATTTGATGAGCTTCTGTGACATAAAATGCTACAATTCTACAATAAACCCTCACCTTAGTCGATAAAATAGAAACCAATAGACTTTTATCCTACCTGACTTATTCCATCAAACATTTCTGCTAAGTTTCCTGCTGGAGTTAGGGTTTTGCTGGCTTGAACAGATGCATACAAGTGTCCAGAATCTGGAATTCCATTTGATAGTTCCTGAGCAGCCATTGTAACCAAGACTCGTAAATACTCCTCATCATCAAAGCGTGGGCTACAAAATGCAAACTGGTTACTAGAATCACAAAATACAAATTTAAAGCTAACTTCATATTTATGATTAACTGATAGTTTTCAATACCCACTTTCAAAAATATGCTATGCAATATGCAAAGGATATTGTATTGGATATTGTTTTAAGAAATATGCAATACAGTTACGATCGTTAAATAAAAAGTAATTACGTGCCAATTTCTACTGTTGAATGATTTTGCACAGATTAATCACAGTACCAGTAACAAGTGAATGCAAGTGCTGTTAACTGTCCAGTTAGAATGTTTGAGGATTATTTTACTGAGATGCCTCAGATTAATGAAGAGAAGCAATTACAACAGCAAAAATAGTCCCCATCGCACAAACGTTTTATATTCATCTCGGATGTGCACGAATCTAGCAGGACCAAAATTTATTTGCCATCCATGGTTGCCCTAAGTTTATGGTGGGCCTTCTCTTTAAACTGCTGCAAACGTCCGTTTGGCCTCTACACCCCGAAGCTTTGGAACTCTGTCTCAATCCCTCCGCCTTGCCTCCCCTTTCCCCTCTTTTAGATCATGACTGAAGACCTTCCTCTTCGACCGTGCTTAGAGTCACCTCCTCCCTTCACCCCCGGCTCGGTGTCAGGCTCCGCCATTGTTAAGCACTTCGAGAAACTGCCTGAGTGAAGGACGTTATATAAATGTAAGCTGTTATTGCAGTCCTTATGGAGTGGATGCTCCACGACGTTGTTGGGTAGGAAATTGTAGGATTTTGACCAAGTGACGATAAAGGATAGGCATTAAACAGTGCAACCCTACTAATTATGATTGATTCACTGAACTTTACTGTGGACCGCATTCATTGAATGTGCATGGAGCCAGGCTGCTTGCTTTCTGTGCATCAGCTGCCTTTTTTCAAATGGACAACTTTCAGATTATTAGGTTGCCCTTACCTTTCACTTTGCTGCACATGCACAAAGCAGGATGTGACATCGACAATCGCCGAATGAAATGGAAGTTGGTCTTTTTGCTTCCTGCTCTAAAAATGGCCAACTTCCAGATCATTAGTGACAACACTTCCCATTTTGTGCATATGCAGAAAACAGGAAGTGATAATGTAGTAACCCGACAACCCCGAAGCAAGATTGATCAGTTGCTGCAGTGCAACAACTCTTCAAACCGTTTTGTTTTAGATCAAAAGCATTGTATCTCTCACTTGTTAAAAATGTCTGCCCACAGCTGCATCATATCAGACAGATTTCTGTCCAAACACAGAGATGTAAACATCACGCCCTACAATGAAGGAAACAAGGTGTTATTGTATTAAATAGATCAGATATTATAGAAATTTCAACACATATATATGTATACAGTGCCCTTCACTTCAGGAGGGCATCTCAAAACAGAGCAGATTTAGAAAACACAGCAGAGTAAACTTTGTAAATGAAGATTCAAACAAAGGTAGGACTTTGAAGTACTATCTATATACTACTCCTGCAAAAATTAAAACTACTCCTCCCCTTCCCAAAAAGGAGCGAATCTACATTAAACTACACAATGAGGTCAATTTAATCCTTTATTTGATATTTATTATATCTAATTCACATTGCAGGAAGATTTCACCTCCTCTCCAATGGTATTCTCAGTGCTGAGGTTCTGAGACGCTGGGTGAATTGAGGCATTCCAGATGGTGTAAGTTCAATGGTGTGGGCCCAGCTTCATGGACACAGCCACTGAGCACTGGGTAGATCAAGCCTTTCCAGAGTGATAAATATCAAATGTACTGTTAAAGTACCCACACTGGCATACTTCAAACCATTATTCTTTCTCTTATATTATTACTGTGTGAAGTACAATCACAATGGAGTCTTCTTGGTGGGTATGTACTGATACAACATATATANTTTTTTGTGTAAAAGGTAGGCTTGATGTATAAGTGGCCTTCTTGCTTACCTTGTGTATGTTCTTCACCTCTTCCTTTCAAACTGTAATGACATGTTAACTGACTTCTGCCACTGTATGGTGTTTAACTAAGCCCTGAAAAATACCCTTTACTGACCTGTTCATACATATCAAGATTAGTATTGTCTTGGAGGACCTGAGGCGAGGCAGACATGCCTCCAGTCTTCAGCTCAATCCTTTGAGCCTGCTGTCTGTAATCAAGGACTCCACATCCCATCCTGAAAATAGTTTGGGGCATAAATTCTTACTATTAAACATTCCTTGAATTTTAAAATATTAACACTCATCATGAATAATAAAAATAATAATGATCCTTGCATTTGATATAGCGAGTTATCACATTGTTGAGACGTCTCAAAGATCTTCACAAGATATACTGTAAAGTGGATTGACTGTATTTTGTGAGCAAAATGTGATGGGTCAGTTACGCACAGCAATGTCTCACAAACAGTCATAGAGTGAGTGACACATTTTATTTGGGGGACTGTTGGCCTCCCAGGACACTGGGAGAAACTCCCTTATCTTTTCGAACAGTGCCATGGGATGTTTTAACTACCTAAACAGACAACAACTTGCATTTATATAGTGCCCTTTCACATGGGGTAGCTGAGAACAACAGAGTCTGACAACGAGCCAGGGGGAGAGGTGACCGTAAGCACAATAAAGAAATGAAGGTCTTTAAGTGGGATTTGAAAGTGGGGAGATATGGGGTAAGAAGGATTGAGGGACAGAGCTCCAGCGCAGTGGTTGAAGGTATGGCCACCGATGGTGGAACGGAGGGTACGAGGGACAAACAGGAGGCCAGAGCCAGCCGAGTGGAGACAGCAGGTGGTTAAGCAGATTGGATAGGTAGGGATGTGAGGGGATTTGAAAATGAGTGAGAAGATCTTCAAATCAATCCGTTCGGTAATTGGGAGACAGTGGAGCCTGGCAAGGACTGGTGTGATGGAGATACAGAGTTTTGTGCAGGTGAGTATCTGGGCCACAGAGTTTCGAATTAATTGAATTTTGTGTTTGGTGTATGGTAGAGCTGTGGAAGCGATAAAGGTATATCCACTGCAGGAGAGTAGACATTTACAGGAGCTGAACAGTATCGCTTCTGTCTTGCCAACATTCAGCTGTAGAAATATGCGCTCATCCAAGCCTTCAAACAAGCTGACATCAGCGGACTGGGAGTCGCTGCTGGAGGAGACAGATGGGTTTCAGCTGCGTTGGTTGTGAGGTACGGATGGAGGCGGCAACAACAGCAACTTGGATTTATATAGCGCCCTCCACGCCGGACAGCGTCTCAGAGCGCTTTACAGAAACGGATCCCGGGGCCGAGCCAAGGGGAGGGGGAGGAAGGTGAGCAAAGGCGCGGTCGAAAAGAAAGGTCTTCAGCAGAGACCTGAAAATGGGAAGGGAGGGAGCGAGGCAAAGGGAGTGAGGAAGGCAGTTCCAGAGCCTCGGGGCATAGTAGCTGAAGGCACGGCCGCCGAGGGTGGAGTGGATGACTCGGGGGACGAGGAGGAGGTCAGACCTGGAGGAACGAAGGCAATTGGTACTGTTTTGAGGGGAGAGGAGGTCAGAGGGTGAAGAGGAGTGCAGGGACTTGAATACGAGGGTGAGGATCTTGAAATTGATCCTCTCTGGGATAGGCAGCCAGTGCAGTCTGGCAGGGACTGGGGTGATCGGGGAGCGGAGTTTCGTGCGGGTGAGAATGCGGGCGGCAGTTTTGAATGATTTGGATTTTATGGACGGTAGTGGATGGGAGACCGGTGAGGAGGGCATTAGAGTAGTCCAGCTGAGAGGTGACAAAGCATGGACAATGGTTTTAGCGGCTTTTGGGGAGAGGTATTGGCAGAGATGGGCGATGCGTCGGAGGCGGAAGAAAGTGGTGCTGGTGAGGGACCGGATGTGGGGGAGGAAGGATAAATGGGGGTCGAACCTGACGCCCAGGTAGCGTACACGTTCGGAGAGTTTTAGGGGGGAGGTCGGGTAGGTGGAGGAGGTGAGAGCCGTGAGATTTTAGACGTTGACGAGAGCCAGAGAATGGCTTCCGTCTTGTCAACGTTCAGCTGAAGGAAGTTTGCACTCATCCAGCCCCTAAGATCTGACAGGCAGGCTGACAGAACATCAGGAGACTGGGGGTCGCAAAGAGAGGTGGAAAGATAGAGTTGGGTGACGTCTGCATACATGTGGAAGTGTACCCCATGGCTGCGGATGACATCCCCAAGAGGGAGCATGTAGATCAGAAAGAGGACGGGGCCAAGGATGGATCCTTGGGGCACCCCGCAGGGAACCGGGTGAGAGTGGGAGGAGGAGCCATTTGTGCAGATGTACTGCTGGCGGTTTGTGAGGTAGGACTCGAACCAGACAAGACATCAGTAGACTGGGAGTCGCTGCTGGAGGAGACAGATAGGACCTCAGTTTAGAATGTCACCCGAAGGATGCAACTTTGGCAATGAAACACTCTCCCAACGTTGCATTGGATCGTCAGTTTAGACAACGTGATTCTAAGTCCCGACGTGGGCTTTGAACCCCCAACCATCTGACTCAGAGGCGAGAGTGCTACCACTGCACCAGGCTGACACAAATAAATAATCCTTGTATTTGTTATAGCAGTTTATGACGTCAAAGTCTCAATGGGTTCAAAGTTGCAATGTGGGGATCGAAATTGTAATCTTCTGACCAGAGATGTGTCTGCCTCCAGAACCAGGTGGGACACACATAAATCAATACAATATAAATTTATAGTTACATTGCGCCTTTCACGTCGGGAGGACATCCCAAAGCGCTTAACAGTCTACAGTAACAGGATGGAGTTTTAGAGTGGGTGCAGAAAGTTTGAAAGCCCGCCAACCAATGGTGAAGCAGGTAGGGCAGGAACAAACAACAGACAGGTACTTGCTGAGTGAAGGGAGCAGCCTGCTCAGTTGGGTTTTAGGAGGTCACAGAGGTAGAGTGGGCTGAGACAATGGATGGATTAAAAATGCAAGAACAGGATCTTGAACTCAATCCTATCATATCAGATACGGCATGATAATATGTATATTCACCTCGACCATATCAATATCCAGCAATACGTCAATCATCATCAGCAAGAGCGTTTTATTTAAAACTCAGCAGTGAGTCTCCCTCTCTCTAGTTTCAACTACAGTGGTTAGAATCCATAAAATCCCAACCCAAGCTAAAATGAGGTGCGATAGTCTCTTTCACTGCATGTGTAATGCATACCAGTGACTTGTCTGGTTGAGATATCGAATCACCGAAACCACCACGGAGAGCTGACAGTAGAAAAGCTATGTTACAGGCAAGCACTCGACAAAGTTACCTTGTGATCACATTGCAGAAAAGTGGCACGTAAAGTTTCAGATCCTCAGGCAATGTGTTAAGGTTTGTAAAAGCCCTGAAATAAACAACTCCATTTGTAGGTTGGGCACAATACTGAACGGGAACCTCACCAGCTGAAAGAAAATAAAGTAAGAAAACAATGTTATTTAAAGCTAAATCTAATTCAGTTTTAAGATTCTTTTACAAGATCTTGATTAATGTGATTCGCCGTAATTAATCATTGATTTTTCGGATTTTATTGTTAATAATCCTTGCATTGGAGACCTCTCAAGGAGCTTCACACGATTTACTGTAAATTGGATTGACTGTATTTTGTGGGCGAAAGGCAGCAGCAAATTTCTGAAACTATGGTCAAGGCGGTAGGGTAAGCCCTGGTGGGGAACATAACAAGATGCTTGCTGAGCAAAGGATGTGGCCAGGTTGGTAGGGTTTAAGGAAGTTGTAGGGGTAGGTTGGGCTGAAACAGTGGATGGATTTAATTCAGAATTTTATTTATTCATTTGCAAGAAATGGTAGACCCCCCCCATACAATTTATGATCTCATGCAAACTGGAATATGTTTCAAAAAATAATTTCAAAACTGCTGAGCATCTGCTGAAACTAAGTTATGTACACTTCCAGCAGAAGTCATCCACTATCCCGTTGCTATTTTATAATATAATGGCTTGTTTGGAAATATATAGGAATCAAATTTTTTAAAAAATACAAAAAGATCATAGAGTAGAGCTTGAGTGAATTTAATATATACAGCAGCATCTTGAAAAGTATCTTGGAAGGTAAAAACTCCATTGGCCAAAATGTACGATTTGCAATAGCGATGGTCTCAATTTTTAAAAGACAAGAGTGATACGATACTGAAAATGAACGGACAAAACTTTGCATTTGTAATACTCCACAGAATGAGTTTCCAATCTTCACTAAACTCCTGAACAAAAGTGCAGGCAGGTGCTTCACTAATGTAAGGGAAGTAAACAAACCAATAATCAGTGGTTAAATTCACACAACTCTTAGAAAGCAGTACCAGCAGGGGACATGGGACTAGGGCTCTAGCCAGTGAAGCCTCTCCATATGGGAAAGACCCATGGCACAGAGAAACCAAATAAATAAATCAAACTCAACATAATTGAGTTATTCAAATATATTAACTGCTATGAAAAGTACAGCAGTCTAGAACATTGTATATCCTGAGCTGGTCCTGTACAAGATGAGAAAATCCCATTTCATGATCTTACCTACATATTCCATTTCCACAGGCGTAAATGTGAACATGGGCTGAATATCAGAAACCTTTAGTGCTGGGAGACACGATACATCCTCTAGTGTCCTCTGAGCAGTCATCAGCTCCAGCCCTGAAGGGAAAAAAAAGACATTTTTGGAATACAGGTTGATCCCATTATAATACAGTGGTTTGAGTCCCTAACCTCAGAGCCCACATTATAAGAAGGGATCCTAAAAAAGATGGACGCCTTCCAGGTCGTGAGACCTATTGCTAAACATCGTTTCCCTTTCAAAGTGACATCAGCGATGCTTCCTGCATTTAACCACATATGCAGCATGCTGAATATCACGCCAGTGATATTTGATGATACAGAAAATGCCAATTGTTTAGCAACGAAAACACTGCGTGCAGGGAACTAATCTACCACACTTATGTTAACCACATCTACAGGATATCTGAGCTAAACCGAAAATTGCTCTGTATTGGGATGTCCTGTACCTGCATATGAAAGATAGTATCCAGCATTCAAAAATGAAAATAAAGACAGCAATGTTATCCTATGTTGAAATTAACTAATTTTAATGTTTCTTCTTCCACCTTATTCATTCAATGACTTCTATACCAAATACAATTAAAAATAAAGTTATCTATCTAAAGTGGAAAAGAAGAGTTGTAATTATATGTGGAAAAACACTATGCAACAATTGCAGAATTATTGCGATCGCACACTTCATTCATAGATTATTTTGGTCACACAGTGGTATGCTGGACGATTTAAAATTTGTGGATGCTTTGGGGCAGAAAACAAAATGGTAGATGGTAAATATCCTGACCACATGACCATATTTCTACAGCTTTCATATGCCAATGTAACCAAGGATAACAACATTTGAATCCAAAACCCCAAATCAAAATTGCTTCACAAACTTTAAACACATCAACACCAACGGATTTTTGAATTAAATACTGAAACATAACAAAATACAAGGAGTATATAGCTACAACATCTAAACCTCTAAGAAACATCATACTGCAAATAAACCGGTGACTGTTCCCACCTTTTTTGACAATGTTTAATTTTTCTTCCTCAGAAAGAGAACTGGTCTTCTGTTGTAACTTTTCTTTCTCAATTTTAGCCTGATTTGCAAAGTAAGCTTCATCTGGACTCATAGACAACGCCAACTGGTGCTGGTTCTCCTGTGGTGCAATGAACATTGTGATTGATAAATAATAATTGGGTTAATGGAAGCAGTCACTTTTGTGGTTAAGTAAGCTGCCAAACTGGTCAGCCGTTGTGACTAACTTTATAAATATTTATAATTAGGTCTGATAATTCTTTTACGATCTTTTTCCTTCCGATCCCCATAGTTTCACACCCAAAGCTTGGGTACCAAGCCAGGATTGTTAAGCACCTCGGCAAGTCCTCCCAATGTGAAAGGTATAAATGCAAATTTGTACTATATTGATAAAACAAATTTGTAAAATATAGCTGTGCATAAATATTACTTATTTTAATCCTACAATAATAATTTATAATAATCAAAATCTTCTAATGATATCATGAAATAATGTCAATGTAGCTAACAGTAGAAACCAGTTATAATGTGCCTCTTTAAAAACAATGGTGCACTTGTAAGTGCCCTGTTGCCTGGGTTAGCCAGCTTCCAGCACTTAGAAGCACTAGAACAAAAGCCGGTCTGGATCATCAGATAACATTTTATTTTTTAATTAGGTTATCTGTGGAGTCCTGCAGCTCAGTGGTTAGAGCGCTCGCTTTGCAAGCCTGGATTTGATTCCCAGCAGGATGAAACCTTGGGCGAGTTTCCTTACTCCATACCCCTGATGATAATCCTTCCAAAAAAAAATTGGCCATTTCAATCCACGACTGTTCGTGGGACGCTGCTGTGCACAATTGGCTGCCGCATTTCGCCCACAAATATACAGTCAATTCACTTTACAGTTTATTCTGTGAAGTGCTTTGAGACTGCTCGAAGATGCAAAAAGCTCTATATCAATCGCAAGGATCATTATTTATATTATTTTTATCTGAGAGTTTGGATTTAGAGGGCTGATTTATAATGGGATTTATTGCATATGTAATCTACTTTTGTCACTCTCAATTGCAATGAAACTGAAAATTGTAATTCAATCATAAGGCAAGTTGCAAAATGAATTCAAACTCTTTGCATCCTGTAAAATACATAAAATACATCATTACCTATGCAACAGCAATACTCTTTATTTGCAGAGAAAGAACAACATAAATGGTACCACAGACAGGTTGAAAATTGTAGAGTACTGTAAAAAGAAAGCACATTAAGATGGCCACTGAAATCTCAAGCAACAAATTCCGAGTGACATGGGTGGTCTTCATTTGAGCTCAACATTGCAAGTGACCTGAACTCTGAGCCAAAGTTTACATATCACATATCCAAGAATTTGAATCCAGCTCAGCGACTTCAATTCCCTTTATTTGTCAGACTGAATCAGTTGGTAGCACGCTCGCCTCGGAGTCAGAAAACTGTGGGTTCAAGCCCCATATTGGGACTTTGAGCTCACAATCCAGGGCTGACCCTTCAGTGCAGTACTGGGGGAGCAAAATATTGTAGGAGGTAGCATCTTCAGTTAAGACATCAAACCAAGGTCCATGACACTACTTAAGTTTCCTAGTATCCAGATAAAATTGGTCATTCACTTCAAGCTGTTTGTGGGACATTGCTATGAGCAAACTGGCTGTCACATTCGCCTACAAATCGTCACTACGTTTCACAGTAAAATCCTGTGAAGTACTGTATGTCTCGATGACATAATGTTCAATATCAAATTCAAAGATTATTATGTTGTATTACATTAGACTGTATGATAATCTTTGCATTTCAGATGAAAGCACTTCACAAGATTTACTGCAAACACAGCAGGCAATTTGCGCAGTTTAAGGTCCCACAAATAGCCATGAAGTTGATGGTAATTTTTTTCATTCGAGGGATTGCTGGCCAAGACACCCGGAAAAACGTTTTGAATAATGCCATGGGATCTGTAACTTCCATCTGAACAGGCAGCAAGAGCGCACCATATACAAATACCTAAAAGTCAGCGAGAATGACAAAACTGCTAATTCCCCGTGACAATTTGATTTTTGAAGATGAGTGTGGATAGTGACTCAGTAAGCTTGTACTTCCAAAAAAAAAAGTGATAAAAAAACACAAGGCCCTTACCTTAAAATACTGCTTGACTTTTTCTTGTAGAAAATGTGGATTTTCTTTTAGACATTTTCTAAACCAAGTCACTTTTTCATTAATCTGCAGAACCTCCACAGGATCACCATCATGGTTCCAGGTTGTTGAAATAAACTGAGGATAGACACACACAGAATTAGCTACCTGTTTGCAGTGGAAACAATTAGTTTGAAGTGGAAACCTGTTTGCTAGTAATAGCTTGATTTACAAAGTTGGAACTATAAAACAGACATAGTGAATAACCAGTCTAAACGTTTTGAGACATCCTTCCAAATGTGAAGGGCATTATATAAATTGACATTACGTTATAGTATATTTAATGAATTTATATACTGAATAAAAATATCTCAAAACTAGTTTCATTTTTATAAAATAACGGTTTATTACTTTGATTTTTATTAGTTTTCTTCGTAGTTTTAAAGAACATCACAGATTCATTGCCTCGATTTCAGTTTACAAAAATGATTTTATTTATTAGTACGATTCCCAATTGGAAACATACATATGCACATTCAGTTCACTTTTTCAACAAGCTTTATCTACTCATTTTCTCATAATATAAAGATGCCAGGAGAAAAGTTAATTTTGTTTGTACTTTATTCAACTAAAAAGTTGATGAAATTGAGTTCACCAATAACAAAGATGCATCTTTCTGCTTATTGGCTCCCAAAATGCTATTTTATTCTCCAGATTCTGAATTAATATTCACAAGGCTTATTTTTCAAGTTTAAACTGTCTTAATCATTTATGTAGAACTATAGGGAGATCTACAACACTTAAATATGTACTAAAACCTAAACACATCCGGGATAAAGCTAAAATAAATCACATCTAAAAGTCATCATTGTTTTTTTTAAAAAAAACACAAGATAGCAAGGAAAAAGATAGTAAAGTTTAAGAATTCCACTTCAGTCAAAGAGAGGATGGGGACCAATTCAGAAGATATAGTACAGTGAAGGCTGAGTTAAGGAACACACACAAACAAAAGTGAAATGTGTTCTTTCTGGGTTCTTGGAAATCCACAACAAATGAATGTATAGCCCAATACCAGGAGCAGTGTTCTTGGAATCGGTGGCAAGAACAAAATCTCCAAGTCTGCTATTTCGAACATCTTCCCAAACCAAGATGTTTTGCAACTTACAATTCTAGGAATATTGTTCCGTGCAACAGAGGTCAGTCAGAAATGACCTGCCTTTGTGTAGTGGACCTTTAGAAGAAATAGGCACTGAAGCAGACAGCTGTCACTCACAACCAACATATCCCCGGAGAGGCTGAAAACGCTCCTTCCAAAACATAGTTATACCTAGTCGCAATTCCATTCAGCGTAGTAATGGTTAGAAAATATGCCACTTGCTAGAAAAGATCCCCAGATCTTTATCCAACAACCAGGATGATTCATACGATGGTCTTCCCATCACATTCTTCTGCAGATGTACTGTTATGGGCGCCCCACTCCATTATAGCAAGCATATGAAAAGGTAAGAATAAACTTTGATTTGATATAGCTCCTTATGATGTTGAGACATCTCAAAGCGCTTCACATGATTACTGCAAAGTGTGAAGACTATGTATTTTGTGGTCGAAATATGGCAGCCAGTTTGCACGCACAATCAGCCCCGGAGAGACTAACCAATTTTATTTGGGGGATTGTTGGCCAGGACACTGGGAGAAACTTCTTTCTCTTTTTGAATATTGCCATGGGATCTTTAACATCCACCTAAACAGGCAGATGGAACCTCCGTTTAACATATCATCTGAAGGCTAGGAGAGTTATAATAATAATAATAATAATAATCCTTGCATTTGTTATAGCGCTTTTCACGTCGGGAGGACGTCCCAAAGCGCTTCACAGAATATACTGTAAAGTGAATTGACTGTATATTTGTGGGCGAACGCGGCAGCCAATTGCGCACAGCAATGTCCCACAAACAGTCGTAGATTGAAAATGACCAATTTATTATTGTTTTTGGTTTTGGAGGGATTATTATTAGGCTCTGTGTGGAGCAAGGAAACTTGCCCAAGGTTTCGCCCTGCCTGGAATTGAACTCAGGTCTCTCGCTTGCAAAGCGAGTGCTCTAACCACTGAGCTACAGGACTCCACTGTAGTTGTAGGGTAGATTCACTAGGATGCTACCAAGCCTGAGAGGTTCCATTTATGAAGGGAAATTTAAGAAGCTAAGGCTGCTATCACAAAGGCTGAGAGTGTTAAGTAGTAACCTGATACACAGTGAAGAATTATGACAGTGTAAATAGTAATGATTATTTCCATTAGCTGGTGAGTCAGTAACTAGAGGGCACAAATTCAAGCACTCACAAAAATATGGGGTTAGAAAGAGGGCAGTAACATATGAAATTCTCTGCCACAATAATTGAAGCAAAAATCATTTGTTTTTTAAAACATAAATTGAGTGGATTCTTGAAGAGGAGCATATTAAAGTGAATAAAAACAAGCAAAAGAGTGGAATTAGATTGCCTCATGTGTGGCCCAAGTGGAGAAAAACACAGGCGCAGACTGTGAATGAGCTGACAGCTGAACGAGCAGTTTCTCTGCTGTAAAGTTGTATGAAACCGAGTGGGACCTACCCCAATGGTCAGAAATCTAGAGATGCCCAGATAAATAGTACAGCTTCTGCTCTATGGTTGTTGAACAAGGCACTCTTCAAGTGTGCGCACCTCAGAAATTGTCTGGGAGACAGACCAAACTTTGGGTTAAATCATATACAGGGAGGAACCAACCAATAGTTAGATCATAAATCTGAAATTAAGGTGGTAGTTATTTGATGCCAAAAAGGCCAATATTCACCAATGATCCAGGGCAACCTTTTTCTGAGGTGCAAGATACCAGAAATTAATATCAAATGCTGAGCATATATATTGCAACTAAAACCAATGGCAATGACTTCTGGACTGGAAGACAATGAGAATCAGATTACCATAACCTACTATGCTGAGTTTTATTTGTATCTCCTTAAGGATCTTATTTAAAAACGCAGTGGAAGGGTATTTGAGGAGGACAGGTCTGCATGGTTATGGGGAAAGGGCTGGGGAGTGGGATTGACAATGCATTGCTCTTTTCAAAGAGCCGGCACAGACTTGATGGGCCGAAGGGCCCCTTTTTTGTAGTGTACGATTCTATGATTATTCTATTTTCTACAGTAACGGACCAAAAAGAATCACAGTCAGCTCTGACAGTTCAACGATCCAATCACAATCCTTCTTTGGTAGTACTCTTAATATCTCTGCAATAGTATTGGGCCACATATAGAATCAAGGTCATTTGATGACTCAAGATCAAGTATGCTGTAAAATGCATCTGAAGTACTACAAAAAGAGAACTTTGTACAAACATTAACAGAATCACATAAACTATATACCAAAACACAAGAAGTGTATTATGATACTTCAGTGGTTTTCATGGTGCAGCAGGCAGATTGCAGCACTATCTTGTGGTACTTTCTGACTAAACCATAGCACTGTTACAATGTTTGGTTAGAGTGACATCTTGTGGTTAACAAATACTTACCGATGCCAACGCAAGGCCAAAATTAGTAGACTGGTGCTTCTGCTGGATCTCAATCTTATGCAGAAGTGCTTCTATTCTCTCTTCCTCAAAGCCATTCCTTTCATATCGAAAAAAAATTGTGAACAAAAGAATAAACATTGGCTTATAGGAAGGAAAAGCAAAAGCAAGACAAAGGGTTTGGAAAAATTCCAGAAGACAGAAGTGTGGTACCTGAAGGCTCGTTCACCAATATTCAAATGGAAAAAGTGAGGAACAAGCAATATAGCAAAAGGTACAGAGAGGTGAATAGGGCTGGAAGAGATAGCATAGACAGGAAGATCTCAAACCAACAACCCACTACTCTAGTGGCACCCTAGACTTTAATCATACAATTAACATACTTTGCATTATGGATCACATACTTGATTGTTTCATCAATTATTTTGACAATGATTTGTTTCACCGTTTGAATATCTTGTTCTGCAATCCCTTGTAGTCCCACACTGAAGCAAGCCTCTCGAGTACTGCCATCATACCTGGAAAATAGAACAAACTTCCAGCAAAAGAATGCAAAAGGCTAAAACCTATCATATCCTTCCACCCACAAAACAAAACTGTAAAATTAATTCACTTTATAATAATAATGCTTGCATTTGATATAGCGCCTTAAACGTCTCAAAGCGCATCACAGAATATTCCTTAAAGCGAATTGACTATATTTTGTGTATATATTTTACAGTATACATAGATGTTTCAATGACATGATAAGGTGCTATATCAAATGCAAGGATTATTATAAGAAAAAAATCAGATACAAAACAATTTCTGTTTGAATAACACTAATAACAGTTTAAAACAGTTTTAAAAAATAAACTGGGCACTTACCCGACAACAGGGGCAAAGTCAGTACCAATCTGAAACTCAATCAAGGCCTTGTAAAAAGGAGAATTGGGTCCAGATACCAGCAAGGATGACAGAAGACTGAGTGTGAATCCTTCAAAGCTATCTGTGATACTACAGGAAGACATTTCAGTAAGACATAGTTGCGGTAAGAAAAACAGTCCCTAGCCTCCCCTAAAAAAAAATTAGACAAAAATAATAATCCTTGCCTTATCAAGTCTTCGAGATATCTCAAAGCGCTTCACAGAATATACTGTAAAGTGAATAGGTTGTATATTTTGTGGGCGAAATGCAGCAGTCAATTGCACACAGCAGTATCCCACAAACAGTTGATGATTGAGTGACCAAATTATTATTATTTTGAAGGGATTTTTACCCCTGGAAAGCGATCCATCAATCAACTAACAAGCGGGTTCCTACTTACTGATTGGTAAATCGAGGCGTGTGGGTGTGGAGTGAGGAAACTTGCCTAAGGTTTTGCCCTGCTGGGAATTGAATGCAGGTCTTTCGCTTGTGAGGCGAGCGCTCTAACCACTGAGCTGCAGGATTCCACAGATAACATTTCCCCCACACCCCTGGAGCTGACTATTCTTGCGATATGTTTGCCCCCCTTTGAAGGCCACTATTCCATGAGTTCTAACTGCACTCCAATGTCTTGCTGAAGTGACTGTTGCTGGCGTGATCAAGCCACAAAGCCCACTCCGCTCACACCCATTCACTTTTACAACTACCCACTTTTATATATTAAATATATAAATGCGTTTTGAAACTGAATTGTACTTGAGACACTAAATGTTAAAAGCATGACACTGTATCAACATTTCTGAAATTTATATAAACAAAAGCTTAAATTTCTCTCAAATAATCATATAAGCAGAAACAACATAATTCTTATAATAGCAGAAAAGGGGAAATTTACAGTATCGTTTTGGTTGGTTTAAACTGGAATGAGTAGCAATTTGAGTTTTATACATACTTGTATAAAAATGATGACAAAAGGTAATGACAAAAGGTCATTCAGCGTTCAATCATTGCAATTTACAGTATTAATGAAATATGATCACATTGTTGGAAATATTTTGTAAACATTCCAGAGCTACAAGTATTGGGCAAGGAAGTCAATGTAGTGCATATTCTAGCCAAAGTTTCTGCAAGGAGACTAAATCAATTATCCAGACCAATCATCTTAAAAGGCATGATAAGAAATGTACATATTCCAACTATGCTTTTTAAAACCATATCAAAGAATTCATCATGTAACAAGTGTACAAATTCACCTCTCTGCTATTCAAGACATCAGCAAAAATGCAAAATCTTTGGGGTTTTTCAAAACATATTTTGATATCACGATGGAAGACCTAACGTACGAGAGGTTGGGGCTTCAATGGATCAAATAGCGTTTTCTCATGTGAACTATTGTACATTTACAGAATTATATCTGTATAGCACTTTTCACGCTGAGAGGATGTCCCAAGGTGCTTGACAATCATGGATTTGGATACGAGCAGAGTGGGGGAGGGGGGGGACGGGCGGGGAAGAGGGGTTGAGATCAGGGAGCATGCAGGGTAGGGAGGGTGACCGAAGGCTCGGTTGAAGAGGAGGGTCTTGAGACGTGCAATGATGCAATGAAGGAGGCAAGTGTGGGAGTGAGGCGAAAGGAATATCAAGAAATAAACAAGAGATATTGTGTAATGTAGCTGAAGTTACTGAAATAGTCTCACTGTGTAGTACAATCAGAACAAAATAAAGAGATTTAATATAAATGATCCTTTATTTGAAGAAAACTTTTGTATCTTTGTTTTAAAAATGTTGGAAACTACTCCATCCCCCACACTTCAACTACTTTACCATCCCTGAAACACCGGTTCAATTTGAAATTGTGAGAGGAAATTTAAATTCAATTACAGTACTTCCAGAGACTGAAGATGCTCTTCAAAACAAAGACATGGATTGTTCCCAGTCCTTACCAACTTGAGAGCAAAGTTAATTGGTGATATTCTACTCTTGAAATCAGCAATAACTCTGAAATTATTCAACATAACCTCTTAAGATTTCTCCCTGGTAAGTTCAAACTAAATGCAAGAATTATTAAATATAAGCTTAATTCTATTTACTTATGGCTACAAATGAACTGCAAGCTAGTTTTACTTCTAAATTCTGTGCCCTAGAAATGTGCTATCCTATGTGAAGGGTGCTGTATAAATGCAAGAGGTTGTTTACCATTTTAGCAAGTTCAATACTGACTCAAAGTACAAATACCAGTTTGAGTAGTAATATAAACAGACTACAATCAATTCTGGATTTTGAGCTACAAACACTGAGTTAGAAAATACATGGGATACATTCTTTATGGGTTTTCAAGCATCATAACTGGATGATTAGAACTATATAGGCTCTTAACTATCTAGTCTAAAGGCAAGAAAATGTGATTTGCATATAAAGCTCCAACAAACTAATACATTTTCAAAATAGGTTTAATAGGATTAATGTGCTTATTCGTGATCCTACTAAGGACGAACATAAGCTTGTCAAATTTATGCCACAAATTTAAAACATAAAAAATACACTTCCTCTATCAAAAACAACTCAAAATAATAAATACTTACTCTCCCAATAAGAAGCTGACACTGAACATGGTTTGTTTGGTAGGATCAGGAGCCATTGAATCAGGACCACAAGTCACATGACACTCTCTCTGCAAAACAAAAGCAACAAGTGTAAAACTGGCCTTCAACTTTTGGAGTCAAGCCATAAAAATAGGGGATGTGCTGAATTGCTTTGAACCAAGATTCCAAGCCCTGTTCTCAGATGAACATTATTCTAAATAATGATAATAATCCTTGCATTTGATGGAGCATTGCTCAAAACATCTCCAAAATTGGCTTCCGCATGTGCCCACAAATACATTCACTACATTTCACAGTGAAATTCAGGTTTTACAAATTCCCGTACCCTGCCCATTCCACTATCAGTAGTTGAGCCTTCAGCCTTTCTGCTCCTCCTATCTTATCTGAAACTCTATCCCGGAGTCCCTTAGCCTCATCCCTTCCCTTGCCTCCTTCAAAACACATCTCAAGATCTTAACTCTTTGACCGTGCCTTCAGTAATCCTCCCATCACAGTTCACACCCCACTTGCCCTCCACCTCTCTTGATCAAACCCATGACTATCCAGGATGTAGGAACACCTCCTGGCATGAAAGGTGCTATATAAATGCAATTTTTGTTGTTGTTTATTGCAGGTAAATGCAAGGTGTCCCATATAGGAAGTAAGAGTAGGAAAACACATATACCACACAGATAGAACTTAGTAATAATAATCCTCGCATTTGATACAGCTCCTTACTGGGTCTTCAAGCCATCTCAAAGCGCTTCACAGAATATCCTGTAAAGTGAATTGACTGTATATTTTGTGGGCAAAACGCGGCAACCAGTTGCGCACAGCAATGTCCCACAAACGGTAATCAAATTATTATTATTTTGAAGGGATTATTATTCCTGGAAAAGCGATCCGCTAATCGAATAACAACCAGGTTCCCACTTACTGCTAGGTAAATAAATAATAATAATAATAATAATAATAGGCATATAGAAGTAAGAAGTAATAATAATAGGCATATAGAAGTAAGCAAACTTGCCTAACATTTCGTCCTGTCCGGGAACTGAACCCAGGTTCTCTTGCTTGCGAGGTGAGTGCTCTAAACAATACGCTACAGGACTCTATAAAGTTTCCAAGAAGGCTCAGGAAGATCTAAGAGTGTCAGCTCACTATGTCAAAAAGCAGCAATAAACAAGACAAACAGGATGCTGGGCTAAATTGCTAAATCTGTAGAATTCAGTTCCTCAGACATTATTCTCAAGCTACATGTTATTCTGCAGAGTACTGTATAGTTCTGGCCACATCATATAGGGCTGCCTAGGCCCCAGAGTCAGTGCAGAGGAGATCAACAAGAATAATCATCAGTGTTAGAGGAATTGAGCTATAAGCAACAATTAGACAAGCTAGGTCTCTTCAGTCTTGAGATAAGAAACTACAGTATTGATTGTCTATTGATAGATAGAGTACTCCACTAACCGGCTTGCTCCAACGTTGCTGTATCGGAACTGCAGTGTCAGTTTCAATTCGATTGAATTTACAAAGTGCCTCTTCCTGGATTTGTTTTAAATGTTGTTCCAATGGTAGATCACCATAGGTGAAGAACCTGGAATGGACGATTTCTTATGAATAATCACTTTTCATGCAAAAACTCTTACTGAATTCAGTTGAATACCTGCATTATTCGCATACATTTTAAATATTTATGCCCATGGTAAGGTTTTCTCCAGTTAACATAATCATACATCTGCATGGCACACTGGTAGCACTCTCGCCTCCCAAGTCAGAAGGCTGTGGGTTCAAACCCAATGCCTTCTGGACGACCTCATTAAACTGAAGTCCTACCTGATTGATCTGACAGATGTTAAAAATCCTGTGGCATTGCAACAACAATAAAATTACATTTATAGAGCGCCTTTCACGTCAGGAGGAAGTCCCAAGGCGCTAGACAGTCGGGGGTCAGGACAAGAGCACGGGGAATGGGTGGGGCAGGGTGAGGGAAGGCAGAGAGGTGGGAGGGTGACCAAAGGTATGATCGAAGAGGAAGGTCTTGAGACCGGCCTTGAAGGAGGCAAGGGAGGAAGCGAAGTGGGATGGAGTTCCAGAGTGTGGGGGCAGAGAGTCTGAAATCCCGGCCACCGATGGTAGAGCGCGTCGGGTGGGAGACATGGAGGAGGCCGGAGCCTGATGGGTGAGGCAGTGGCAGAGTCTGGCAATGTTGGGGAGGTGGTGGTAGGCAGTGCCGGTCATGGCGCAGATGTGGGGAAGAAAGGAAAGTTCAGGGTCAAACAAGACACCCAGGTTCCTGACTGGCTTAGTGAGGTTGAGTGTGCAGCCGTGGATGCTGCCAGCACCTGAGGTATGGAGGCACTGGCGCAAGTCAATCAGGTGGTCTTGCTCACATTGAGTTGGAGAAAGCTGTCCCTCATCCAGGACTTGATGTACGATAGGCAGTCGGTCAGGATGCCAGTAGTCCTGGAGTTGAGGGTGGAGGCAGAGGGATAGAGTTAGGCGTCATCCAGATACATGTGGAAATTTACCCCATGTCTGTGGATGATGTCACCAAGAGGGAGCATGTAGAGGTGAAGAGGAGGGGACCGAGGACAGAGCCCTGAGGAACGCCACACGAGACGGTGCGGGTGCTGGAGAGAAGCCATTTGCAGAGATGAAGTGGAGGCGGTGTGAAAGGTAGGACCTGAACCAATCAAGGACAGAACCTTGAAGGTTGAGGTGGCAGGAGGCAGTAGAGGAGAACTAAGTGGTCCACAGTATCAAAGGCGGCGGAGAGGGCGAGGAGGCAGAGCCCTGGACACATGGTCAGGATGTCATTTGTGACCTTGACCAGAGCAGATTGGAGGAGCTCATGGAGGGAGTGGGAGGAAAGAGCGAAGCTGGGAGTCAATGGCTCTCTCAAGGATTCTCATTATTTTGAATGAAAAGGCAATTTATTCCTGTGTCTTAGTCAACTAACCCTCCTCCCCCCAGACTCACTTCCTCGTTGTTTGTAGGAAACTGAACCACTAGTATTCAAGTTGCGACCTGACCAATGTCTTGTAAAGATTCATCACCAATGAAAGATTCACATACAAGTGAATGCGCTGTCTGTGACCATACCTTGCATTGCTGGGATGGTAATGTGTAGCATGAAAGTGTTTCAGTTCTTCCCATGTAAGCTCTGGTATATGCATGGGGTCACCACCAGACACTACTGAATAAGTGTGATCAGGCAGGATTTTATTCTGTACGTGCTGAGCATATAGCTTCTCATTATCAGTCTGAAATAAAGCAGAAATCCTATATTAAATGCAAAGGTTTTGAAAAACAATCTCTTTGCTGACAATGTCTAAACATACAATCAATTTGGAAAATATGGTTTATAGTAGCTCACCTTTTTTTTAATATGTCAGCCAGGTGACTGACGCATGCAGAAACCCATCAACATTCTTAAGAGGATCTAAACCAATCAGAGCTCCATGTATCACACCTATACATGAAAATTCTGAAGACATTTATTGGAAATGTGCATTTTCTCCCTGGAGGGAAGCATCTTGCTTACCTAACACTGCAGAGGGTTAGTGTGCAGGTTGACTTGAGCCTTGCCTAGGGCCCCTAGAGAGTGCATTGAGTACTGCTGGAGTTTAACCAACTAAAACCCAATTGCTTACCATTGAAAGCACCGTCTCTGCTGCTTGTCCAGCTTGGACCGAAACTATCCATTGGGGCTTTGGCTTGTAGGATTAACAGGAGCTGAGTGAGATGACTCCCTGCCCCCAGTGACTGGTCTGTCCTTTCAAGTCTGCCGATGAGCCAGGTTGTCTGTGCTGTCATCAGGGGTGCCCTGGAGTACCTTGGACCCGCCTAACTCATGAAACTAATGAAACTAATTATGTTGGATAAGCTTGGATATATGAGCATGCGTTCATAAACACGGACTCCAAGCAACACCTTCTAGTAGCTATTGCCCAAGCTCCCTCACTCTCCCTCCATCTGTCTTGAGCGTGGCGGGAGGACCACTTTTTTATATAATGGCAACTGCACTGTCGTACTGCAAAGCTGCTATAAAATCAAGGACAACTCAGATGAACCCCAAATTAATGTATCATTAAAGAATCTGAAGAGATTGTTTCATAAAATCAATTGGAAACCTTTGGTCTTTCAATTCAGTACAGTGGTATTCACTTTGCTAAGAAACATTATCTTGCATTAGAGTACTAAAAGATGAAACAACGATAAGGACTTTACAATATAGTCGGGTCAAATTATGGAATGCTATAGGAAAAATACAACTTACAAATGCACCCTTCATTTCATTGAACACAACTCCTTTAAAAACAAGAGGTGAACTTGGATCATGAGGGTTTTCATGCTCTAGTCTCCATCCTTCCTGGCTAAAAGCAACAAGATTTTAAAGTTAAATTGAACTTCAGAATTTCAAACACAAATGCAATGCCCCTAACACACGCTACACTTGCACACATGAATATTCTTACCAAAAGTCCAACTCTCTGAGACATGGAAAGAAGACAGCATCCAAGTAAACAGAGAGAAGATTCTGAAAATCTTTGGAATTTTGTGTGGAAAATGGGTACATTGTGTAGTCACTAGCTAGAAAAAAAGAAAACAATTGAATAATACACCTGAAATATCAACTTCTTTGATATTAAATCACCCACATTAGCACAATTACCATGATGGAACCAGCAGGGCATTCCTCATACCAATACATTTCTGGGTGAAAAAAATCCTCCTAAGTTCTCTTTTCACCTTACTTGTGGCTATCCTATAACTATGCTCTGACTCTCCACTGACTCTCTATCAATATAAATAATTTCTCCCCATTTACCCTCATAGTTTTGTGCTGCTATCCTTTTCTATTCCAATGAAAATAAACCCCTCTCTAGTCTCTCCTCATACCTGTAGCCCTTCATCCCCCAAATCATTCTTGTATGTATCCTACCACCACATAAAATGTATCATTCCTTACCTGTGAAGGCATTCATAAAAGTTGAGAGTGATCGATTCAACATTTTAAAGAATGGGTCTCTGCACGGATACTTTTCAGAACCACAAAGTACCACATGTTCTAATATATGAGGCACACCAGTACTGTCCAATGGTGTAGTGCGAAGCTGAACGCTGGGAAAAAAACATAAGAAAGCAACACTTTCATTTAAATGTGCAATTGCTCACAATACCACTCCTAAACCCCAAACATGGGCTTAATTTACCAGTTAAAGATTTTCATCATCATAATGTTTTTACCATAATGGTCAACAGCCAATGTAATTTCATCTTAATAATTTACTACAACTTCAGAGCTTTCCAGTGAAATTTATTTTAAAAGACAGATGAAATGCAAATTTCTGAAGATCTAACTTAGCTGGTGAGAAATTCTGAATTTAGTGAATATATAGTCCATTACAGTGTGAATTTATAATGGAAAGGACACGTGAAAGGTATATTTATATCAGACTCTTTGAGGCTACCCTCTGGAAACCTCTTCCAGAATCCCTCACCCTCCTCTCTGGTTTCATAAACCATCTAAAGACCCAACTCTTTGACTAAGCCTTTGGCCATTTCTCCCTAAATCACTCCTAACTCAAGCTCCCACTCCATTTTTGTAAAGCATTTTGAGATGTTTCCCCTTAGGTGAAAGTCACGATATGAGCATGAGTTGTTGTTGTGATGAATCACTTGTTCTCATTTTTATTTGTCCACAAGTGTTTGATTACTGTGGGATACCAGATTGTGCCACATCAGTTGGTTGCAACTTTTGATTGCTAAATGTAAACAGCAGTGCAATACAGCTTTTGACCATGGAATTGTTATCGGAGACGATAAACTGAGATAAACTAAGTTAGAGTATAAAAATTCAGCCAAAGCAGTTTTCTCCACTGAGAACATTATCTTTCTTTCTATTTTTTCTTTGAATACTGGATGGCGAGCCTTGGTTAGTACCATATGAGAATAGTCAACAAATTATGAAGAGAAAATATCTCAATTATGATACTTGAAACAACTGCATTAAATGGCACCCTACACAAAAGGTAGCATTTAACAGTGGCGGGGCTTTATACTGAGCCAAGGAGAAAAGGAAGGTGGCTGTAGGCATGGTTGAAGAGGAAAGTCTTCGGGTGTGATCTGAAGATGGGCAAGCAGGGTGGAAGGCAGAGGGACCGAGACATAGACAGTAGCTGAAAGCAAGACTCCCAATGGTGAAGGAGAGGGGACGAGGGACATGCAGAAGGCAAGATGAGCGAAGTGAGCAGAAGAGAAAGGGGATGCAAGCAGGTCAGAAAGATAGGGAGGTGCCACAGTATGAAGTGATTTGTACGCAAGTGTGAGGATCTTCAAATTTGATCCGTTCTGCAATAGGGAGCGAGTGAAGCCTGGCAAGGATGGGGCTGTAGAATTTAGGGCAGACTGCAGTTTTCACAGGGAATTGGATAAACACATGAACATACAAAGACATGAAACGGCAGGTAAAAAGGTTTAAGTAGACAGCTCCAGTTTGGAGCAAGCACAACATAGGCACAAAGAACTAGCATTTTCCTGTGCTAACATTTTTGTCTGTGATATAGAAATAAACTTGTGTACAAAATGTACAATTACGAAAAATGGTAAGCAATTAAGTTACCTGAAAAGATTGTTCGGGTCATCCCTTGCGACATGCAGATACTTTGCTCCTGTGCTGTCATGGCTAAGCTTAATTGCAGTTAGAAAGAGATCAGGAACAGCTGTCACCTGCAGCAGAAATTTTTTTGTTTCCAAGCATTAATATAAATATATTCAATATTTTCCTTCAAGGACACACCAGAATACTGCAGTGCCATCAGAGGAGTTAACATTAATGTTTAGTGAATTTATGACAAAAATATAATTTGTATGAGGTTCTGGACACCTCTTATTTTAGTTTGAAAAGAATTATACCCCCCAATGCCTATCCTCCTTGAGGGAGGGGGGGGGGGGGGGGGGGGGGGGGAGTAAGTGGAGTCTCCTTGGGAATCAAGTCAGCTCTCTGTGGTAGTCCCAGAAATCCGGCTCCTGAGCCAGGCCAGTCCGCAATATTCCAGGGCACTGCTGATGACAGCACAGCCAGCTTGGCTCATTGGCCGGACCTGGAAAGACAGATGAGTCGCAGGGAGTCATCCCACTCCGCTCCTGTTAAACCTGCAAGCCAAATTCCTAATGGATAGGGTGTTCCTATCTGGATAAGCAGTGGGAAAGCTTGCAGCAATATCAACGGCAAGCTATGTGGTTTAGCTGGTTAGACTCCAGCAGTAACTATTGAACTCTGTCTTGAGTGTCTTGTGTTGTATTGGAACAGAATATTGGTATTAAATGTTTTCAAGTGGTTTCCAACTAGTAGTTTGAAAATATTAAACTGATAGAATACGGATACAAACAAATGTTCCCTTTCACAATATTTAGGATGGTGCAACAACAGAGTAGAAGTAATTTCCTCTTTAGAGATATGTGTCCTTTGGATGAGATATTAAACAAAGGTTACATCTGCACATTCAGATAGACATTAAAGCCCCATTAAAATGCACTATGAACTGTGGGTGGATTATTATTTATTTAAACAAAAGTGGCTAGCAAGTTTCTTAAATTACCTGGTTTATAGTGAACCCATGAATTTTCTCCCCAACTTTGTACTGGAGTGCTCTCTCTGTGGCAGATCTGCTGTTCCACCGCCATGATCGCTGATGTATATAACTGTTGAAATAAATTAAGCTATAATTATAAAAAAAAACTTTTGTACGATATATTTCAGAAGCAGATAAATCAACCTGTAATCACACAAGCAACAAGGTTGTGTCCACCAATGGCCTGACAGAAACCACAGTGTTTAAGAATAAACAAAATGCATCACAGTCATATATAATTAAACATCATTATATGGAAACAAATCCCCTAAGCAAAAATCTCTGGAATTACCCTTCAGTGAATCAGGAAAGCAAGGAAGAAAATTAGTTGGATATTTAAAAATAAATTTGGAAGCTCACAATTAAAACACTGTATTAAAACAAAATACAAGACTAACTGAGATGTATTCAAAAGGAGGTGAAATACATTTTGGAGGAAGCTAGGCCTTCACATGAGGGAGAGAGGAATAGAAGGATATGGGAGCGAGTAAATAATCAGTGTTTCAGAACACTGCGCAGACCAGTTGGGCCAAGTGGCCTGTTTCTGTGCTGTACTTTGCAAATCTTTTTTCTTAAAACCTCTTAATAATTTCCCAGAGATTAAAACAGAATTTTGTAAGAAATACATATTTTAATCAGGTAATGCTGAAAATCCATAAGAGATCAAACTGAATCAGAGTAAGGCAATCAAGGTACGATTTTAAATAGGAAATGTCGTTCATAAAAGCATATCCAAAGCCTTAACCTGTGTGTCAGCCTGCCACAGTTGTAGCATTCTAAGTCAGAAGTTTGTGGGCTTAAGCCCCACTTCAAGAATCACATAGTCTAAGTGACACTCTAATGTAGTGCTGGGTGTGTGTTACTGACAGATAATTTAGGTAGTTATAATCATATGTTTCTATGTATAAGGTTAACTAAAGTTCAATACACATGATGCTTAAAGCTTCAGTCGAGGCTTGGTTTAAACCTCAACTGCCTGCTTGAACATAAACAAACTTCCATTGGTGGATAAGGGAACCGCCCCTTATTCCTCTGCATTGTATATAAGTGTGTGCGAACGGCACGTGGGGGTCGTTTTAACTTGGAGAAGTGGCGACCCTATCTCTGTTACCAGACTAGTGTGACTGGTTCAGACTTAGAGAAATAAACTTGTTTGTGTTTCAGTAAGTTGTTTCTGTGTTTATTGTATGAGTGTGTCTACAATACAGGACAAGAAGGTAAAACAAAAATGTACCTAACAGTTACATTGTCAGATGTGCCCTCCTTTCAATGAAACATTAAATCAAGGTCCCATCTGCCTGTTCAGGTGGATGGTAAAGATCCCATGGCACTATTTGAAAAGGGAAAGGAGTTTCTCCCAGTGTCCTAGCCAATAAATCCCCCAAATAAAATTGGTCACTCACTCAATGGTTGATTGTTGAACACTGCTATGCACAACTGGCTGCCACATTTCACCGACTAAAGACACAGTCCATTCACTTTGCAGTGTATCCTATGAAGTGCATTGAGATATCTCGATGATCTGATAAAGCGCTTTCATCAAATGTGAGGATTATTGTCTTAACTACCTCCACCTACAGAGCTGGTGCAGAACTTCATTTTTGTGTTTGTCTCCCAACAGTCTTTATAATATAATCCTTTTCACATCTTTGAGACGTCTCAAATCGTTTCACAGCATATATGGTAAAGTGAATTGACTGGATGAGGGCAAATTTCCTACAGTTGAATGTGAACAAGACTGAGGCCCTCCTGATTGGCTTGCGCTAGCGCCTCAGGCTCTGGCAACATCAAGCGCCATGGTTGCTCATTACAACTCACCAAGCAGTCAGGAACGAACCTAGGTGTCTTGTTTGACCCTCAACTGTCTTTTCTCCCAAACATTCAAGCCATGACCTACTCTGCCTTCCCTCACCTCCGTAACATCACCCGACATCGCCACTACCTCACCCCTCAGGTCGCTGAAACTCTTGTTCATGCCTTCATCACCTCCAGGCTCGACTATGCAAAAGCCCTGCTGCCACTCGGACCCTCCCCCCCAACCCTCCCCCTTCTGCATCTCTCTCACTCTGTCCTCCTCTCTCTCCGTCCCTCTCACCTTCTATCCCCACTTGACCCTCCCACAACCTCCCTCTGTTCCAGCCTGGGAATCCTCCGCCGGGCTCACCGCGGCACTCGGCGTTGGCTGTCCAGCAGCAGCCACACCGACTGCTCCATTCCCCACCACACTCACCAGCCACACCGGACACAGACCCGGGGAGCCAACCTCTCCTCCCTCATCCAGATTCCTCCCACCGCTGCGTTACAACCTGGACCCCCCTCCCTCCCCACACACCCTTCTGTCAACCGCTCCCTCCACATCGGACTGAAAAACGTCCGCTCCCTCTGTAATAAGGCCCTGGTCATCAACGATCTCATCCTTGATGAGAGCGTTGACATCATGGCCTTAACTGAAACCTGGCTCACCCCAGGTGACACCTTCCCCCTCACGGAGGCCACACCACCCGGCTACACCTCCCACCACATCCCTCGCCCCAACCGCCGTGGCGGTGGTGTAGCCCTTATCTCAAGGACACCACTTGCCCTATCCCCCTACTCCTCTGGTTCATTCCCCTCTTTTGAGCACCTCACCCTCTCCCACCCCCCCCATCTCTCACTCAAAATCCCCCCTAAAACCTCTCCCACCTTCATCTCCGACATTTCTACACCCCTAGCATCTCTCTGCCTCTGCTCTGATCGCCTCATCATCCTGGGCAACTTCAACCTGCACTTCACCCCCTCCTGCTCCATCTCCGAGGACTTCTCTTCCCTGCTCTCCTCGCTCAACCTCTCTCTCCACATCAACTCCACCACTCACATTCACGGCCACCCACTCGATTTGGTGATCACCCGGGGCCTCAGTGTCTCGGATGTCACCATTACCGATAAGGCCGTCTCCGATCACCACTTCATCTCCTTCACCACCTCCACCCCCCTCCCCACCTCCACCAGACCCACCACCATCTTCTACCGCCTCTGGAAGAAGTTACCCCCACAATTTCTAACCGCTGCCTTGGAGTCCTCTGAACTCCTCTCCCTCTGGCCTTCATCCCTCACTGACCCCTCTTCTGTTCTTACCCTCCTCCACAACACCCTCTCCTTCACACTTGACACTCTTGCCCCCATCACCTCCCGTACTGTCTCTTACTCTCGCTCCTCCCCCTGGTTCCCCACCCACCTCCGCTCACTGAAGAGCCAGGTGCGGGCCGCTGAACGCACCTGCCTCAAATCTGGCCTAACGGTCCACCGGCAAATCTGCTTTCAGCCATTTTGTCCCCAGTCCAAACAGAGTGTCCACAGACACATTTCCTCACCCACTTTACAATATATCCCATGAAGCATTTTTAGATATCTCATGTGATAAGGCACTATATCAAATGCAAGTATTATTATTATTACCACAATCTCCAGACACAGCGGCCGGTCCCAACTCATGTTTCTGAGCTTCCTTGCACACAGGTCACGGTCTATCCTATCTGCCTGGTGCCTGGGTCTTGCCGTCTCAGAGACTCACCTCACAAACGCTGTAAGTCGTCGAACCACTGCCAACATCTCTCCAGTTTTGCTAACTCCCGCTCTCCTCTCCCCGTGTACTCGCCCTCTGCTATTTGTCTCTCTCTCTCAGTATCTCAGGGTCTAACGGCCGCTCCTCACGCGCCCTCTGCACTCAGCTGAATTCCCCAAACCCATTGGTTCATGGTCCCAAACAACACACCTCCTGATTGGCTGTTGGTCAAGGTCCTCTCCCACTACCTCGCGGGACTTTGTGTGTGTGTGTGTGTGTATGCGCGTGCGTACACCACGTGAGTTACCATCGCCGGGTGTGTGATCACAGAGCAACAGCAACAACACAGTGACATCTGGAAAGCGCCTTTCACATCAGGAGGACGTCCGAAAGCGCTCGATAATCAGTGTTTCGGACCCGAACTGGGAATCGGGGAGGGGCTGGAGGAGGGTGATCGAAGGCATGGTGGAAGAAGACGGTCTTGAGATGGGACTTGAAGGATGCAAAGGGAGGGGGCGAGGGGGAGGGACTGTGGAATGGAGTTCTAGAAGGTGTGGGCAGAATGGCTGAAGGCCCACCCGCCAATGGTGGGGTGGGTGAGGCCGGGGGACGTGAATCAGGCTGGAGCCCGCTGAGCAGAGGGAGTGGCCATGTTGATAGGGAGGTTGCAGGTGAGGAAGTCGCAGAGGTAGGGGGGAGCACGGTCATGGAGGGCTTCGAAGGTGAGGACCAGGATCTTGAGCTGTATCTGTGTGATGCGAAGCCAGTGGAGTAGGACGAGGATGGTGGTGATAGGGTCAAGGAGCCTAGTTCGGAAGAAGACACGTGCTGAGTTCTGGATGATCTGTAGCCTATGGAGGCAGGAATTGGGAAGGTCGACAAGCAAGAAGTTTGCATAGTCAAGCCTGGATGTTATGAATGAGTGTGTGAGGGTCTTGGCGGCTTGTGGTGTGAGACACTGGCGGCCAATATCGCGGAGCTGTGGGAAGGTAGAGCGGGTCATGGCACGGATGTGGAATAGTTGAGGGTCAAACAAGATGCCAAGGTTCTGGACCTGCTCAGTGAGGTGGAGTGTACATCCTTGGAGGGTGATTCTGTCAGCACCTGAGGTGTAGAGGTGCTGACAGGAGCCAATCAGGAGAGCCTCGGTCTTGTTGACATTTAACTGTAGGAAGTTTGCCCTCATCCAGGACTTGATGTCTGCCAGACATTCTGTCAGGACAGCAGTGGTCCTGGAGTCAAGAGTGGAGGCAGAGGGATAGAGTTGGGTGTCATCAGCATACATATGGATGCAAGGGCAAGGTGTAATAGATCAGGGTGTCAGCATCACAATCAGCAACATGCATAGCTAATGTTGCTCATGCATTTGTTTGCATATTTGTCATACATAGCCATAGTAAAAAATATACAGTATAAAAATATACACTTTATTCACCCACAAAATATACAGTCAAATCACTGTACAGTATATTCTGTGAAGTGCTTTGAGACATCTCGAAGACATGATAAGGCGCTATATCAAATGCAAGGATCATTATTATTGCCACATATTCTGTGAAGCGTTTTGAGACATCTTGAAGAGGTGATAAGGCACTATTGCCACTCTCACCTTCTGCTATGGCCTTGTCTCCTCACCCTCTGCTATTGCTCTCTCGCCTTACTCTCTGCTACTGCCTTCTCTAGGTCCACCCTCTCTGCTCACTGGCTTTTAACTCATGCAGTAGCTCCCCACGACCTCCTGGGACTTTTACTTCATATGTGCCTGCCTCACTCAGTCAGTCACGCTCTTGCCTCTTTAGTCAGAAGGATATGAGTTGAAGCCCCATGTCTGGACCTGAAATCATACTTGGGAATTGTGCAGATCAGTGGAGAAATGTACAGTACTTCACATGGGGACAAACAATCTTGGAAGGGACTATTATTTGAACGGAAGGAAAATATGGACAATGAAAAGGACCTGGGGGTCTGATTGACAATAAATTTAAACTCTCCCAATATTGCTCTGGCAGTGAGTAAAGCAAACCAGATGTTGGGATCTATGAAAAGATCAATAGCAAGACAAAATAGTGGGGTAATCCGGCCACTGCATAAATCATTGGTGAGACCATATATAGAGTACTGTGTACAGTTCTGGTCACCGCAGTACAAAAAGAATATTGGAGAAATCGGGAAGATACAGAGGAGGGCAGCTAAAATGATTGAGGGTGGCGGGTGGATATCTCACTTCATGGTGTTTCACCCACAAAATACATAGTCGATCCACTTTACAGTATATCCTGTGAAGTTCTTTTGAGACTTCTCGACAATGTGATTAGGCTCTATACCAAATGCAAGGATTATTATTATTACTCACTCTCCTAGAGTCCTGTAGCTCAGTGGTTAGAGCACTCACCTCGCAAGCGAGAGATCTGGATTTGATTCCCAGCAATGCAAAAAGTTGGGCAAATTTCCTTACTCCACACGCCTGTTTATCTAGCTGCCGAAACCCTCACCCACGCATTCGTCATATCAAAGCTCGATTATCAACCAAAACTCTGCAGCGTATGTACTCTCGCGCACCAGGCTCCCTGACCCCATCACTCCCACTCTCACCCGACTCCACTAGCTCCCCATCCCTCAGAGGATCGAATTCAAGATCCTTGTCCTCACTTTCAAGGTCATCCTACCTCTCTGACCTGCTGACTCCCTACCAACCTGCCCACTCCCTCCGTTCAGCGGGCTCCAGTCTGCTCCATGTCTCCCGCCCGACCCGCCCTACCATCGGTGGCCGGACTTTCAGCATCAAGCTGCTTTTTAAACAATTTCAGTACCCGGGCCTCAGTCACCCTTTCTGGCAAACTTTTACATTTATTAATTAATGGTAATCCTTGCATTTTGATATAGTACCTTATCACATCGTCAAGATGTCTCAAAGCGCTTTACAGGATTTTACTGGAAAGTGGATTGACTGTACGTTAATAATAATCTTGCATTTGATATAGCTCTTTTCACGTCTTCTAGACTTCTCAAAGCGCTTCACAGATGACTATAAAGTGAATTGACTGTATTATCGGCGAACTAAGGCAGCCAATTGTGCACAGCAGTGTCCCACAAACAGTCGTGGATTGAAATTACCAATTTATTATTTTTTTTGAGGGATTATTATCAAGCACGTGGAGTAAGGAAACTTGCCCAAGGTTTCAGCCTGCCAGGAATCGAACCCAGGTCTCTCGCTTGCAAAGCAAGTGCTCTAACCACTGAGCTACAGGACTCCACTTTGCAGGCAAAACATGACAGACAGTTAGCACACAGCAATGTCCCACACACAGTCACTTTTCTGACCAATTGCCAGTCAAACATCAATATAATAGAGATCAGGAAACATTTCTTCAAACAAGGTTGCGAAAATATAAAATGCACTGCAAGTAACATCATAGTGTAGGGTTGTTTTTGTGGTATGACCCTGAAGTAAGATAGTACAGAGGCAATGGATAAATGAAAGGGTTAATTTATTAATTTAAAAAATGGTTATTAACCAGTTACAAGTTTCATGCTTATAACTGCAGAAGATGATTCAGACTGATCTCAAACTTCCTTTGGCTAATTGTTTAGCCACAAACCCATAAAGCCTATGGGATCCAGTATCTCACAGTGTCCACTATGTCTAACAATGTCCCACGGTGTCCAACCTCTTAACGTTTGTTTAGTTCTTTTACACCCCAAATTTTGGACACATGATGACAAAATAACAAGGTGTAGCCATTCTACTGAATCAGAGTTCACAGTTTGATTGCCCAATCATATTCCTGAATTGATCCATCCAATCATCTTTCCACACATGGGAGGCCCCAAGATAATCAAGGCTTTAATCTCAGGAATTCGGGAGTTCTTCACGAAGCCTCTGATGCCAAGTGTGAAAAGTTCAATTTGACAGTTAATTGTCTTTCCTTGACATCTTCACATTGTAAAATTCTTTCAAGATCTTGTCCAAACAGCCTGCAAGGCACTAAGAATTCCATTAATCAGGACAATATCAGGTTAACTCGAAGCCCACACATTTCTGATCTTGTGAATGTTGGCTTTTGGTGTCTTAGTTGATTGTAGTCTCTTGTATCAACACAATGTCTGTTTTATTTACTTGAGATAGACTATTAGACATAATTCTTCCAAATAAGGAAAGGAGTAATAGCTATCCATCAAGTCTTCATCAAATGGATCACAGAATCCCAAAACACAGACCTCACTCCAATTCTCTCTCACATTCCTTAAAATCAATCAAGATTGTCTCAGTTCTTTGCATACACTTTGGGTATCAAACAATAATTTTAACAATGATTTCAGACATCTTACAATAGAGAAGAACCAATGGAGATTTTCCATTGATCTAATAAACTGATGGAACAATTTTGATGGCTTATTGGCCTTTTCCTGTTATAAAGTACAACAGCACAACTAAATCTCATTCAGTGGTAACGAAAAACACTAGCATGACATGGGAGCACATTGCTGGGAATAGGCCAATGCAACTACCAAAAATGGTGATTGAAACATAATCCTAAATAGCTTTTAAAAGGGATTAACAAACATCTGAAAATAAAAAATACAGAAGTATGGGGAAAAGGCAGGGAAATTGACTAAATAGATAGCGTTTATATGCTAAATAATTTTATTTGTCAAACTGTTGACAGTAGAATGTACAATAATAGTATCAATCTGATTCAGTTGGTAGAACTTTTGCCTCTGAAACAGAAGATTGTCGGTTCTCAATGTGAACTCACTGCATTGAACTGATACTCCAATGCAGTGGCTGGGTGGGGGGGTGTTGCATTATCAGAGGAGTTAAAGTTTCAGATTGATGACCTTTCATCAGAACTGGGGGAAAAACACTGCTGTGTGCAACTGTTTGCCCCGTTTCGCCCACAAAATATACAGTCAATTTACTTTACAGTATATTCTGTGAAGTTCTTTGAGACATCTCAAAGACATGATATATATATCAAATGGAAGGATTATTATCACAAAAAACAAGTCGCTGGGAACACTCAGCAGGTCAGGCAGTATCTGTCGAGAAAGGAAAGTGAGTCAACGTTTTGGGTCCACGACCCTTCGTTAGAACTCAGGATCTAACTATCGAGGATTTCTCTATAGATGTTGCCGGACCTGCTGAGTATTCCCAGCAACTTCTGTTTTTGTTTCAGATTTCCAGCATCTGCAGTATTTTGCGCAAGGATTATTATGTTAGAATATAAGAACATAAGAACATAAGAATTAGGAGCAGGAGTAGGCCATTCGGCCCCTCGAGCCTGCCCCGCTATTCAATAAGATCATGGCTGATCTATTCTAACTCCACCTACCCACCTTATACCCTCATCCTTAATTCCTTTATCCACAATAAATCTGTCAATCTCAGTCTTGAATATGTTCAAGGACTGAGCATCTACAGCCCTTTGGGGAGAGAATTCCATAAGTTCACTACCCTCTGAGTGAAGAAGTTTTTCCTCAACTCAGTGAGAATTTTAAGACTGTGACCCCTGGTTATAGTTTCTCCAAACAGGGGAAAATGTCTCACACTAAGTATCCCACTACGACATCCTTAATTAAGGATTCTAGAATTTTCCCTACCACCGATGTCTCCTATTTTCCCTACCACCAATACTCAGAGGATCACAATATGATTAGACAGAGTCAACATGGCTTTACAAACGGGAAGTCTCGCTTAACAAATCTTTTAGATTTTTTTGAGGACATATCAAGTAGATTAGATAGGGGGGAATCAGTGGATGTAGTGTATTTAGATTTACAAAAGGCATTCGATAAGGTGCCGCATAAAAGGTTGATCCACAAGATTAGGGCCCATGGAATTAAGAGGAATACATTAGCATGGATTGAAGAATGTTGGAAGGGAGCAGTTTATAAGGACAAGCAGAAAAGGGAGCAGGGAAAGAAAGACAAAGGAAAAAATTAGATGGAGTACAGTGGATGATGAGATCAGAGGTATTAATGGTGCAAGACAAAAGAAGGCAATAGTGGGAGATTATAAAAAGAAAGGATGTGTCTGAGAGGATGTGGAACTACGTGAGTTACCCAGTGCCAGGTGTGCGCATCGCATGCATGATCACACAGCACAGGGCAACAACAACAACAACAAAATTACTTTCATGTCAGGAGGACGTCCCAAGGTGCTGGGCAATCAGTGTTTTGGACCCGAGCTGGGGGTAGGAATCGGGGAGGGTGAAGGACGGGGGGAAAGATGGTGACCGAAAGCGTGGTTAAGAGGAGGGTCTTGAGACAGCTCTTGAAGAAGACAAGGGAGGTGGTGAGGCGGAGGGGCTGCGGATGGAGAACCAGAGGGTGGGGGCAGAGTGGCTGAAGACCTGCCAATGGTGGGGTAGGTGAGGTGGGGGACGTGAAGCTGGCTGCAGCCCACTGAGCGGAGGGAGCGGGGAAGTTGGTAACAAGTTAGGCGGGGAGAGCAAAGCCATGGAGGGCTTTGAAAGTGAGGACCAGGATCTTGAACTGTATCCTCTGTGATGGGAAGCCAGTCGAGTCAGGCGAGGGTGGGGTGATAGGGTACCAGAGCTTGGTGCGAAAAAGGACACAGGCTGCAGAGTTCTAGATGATCTGCAGCCTATGGAGAGAAGAGTTGGGGAGGCTAACAAGCTGGAAGTTTGTGTAGTCAAGCCTGGATGTTATGAAGGTGTGTATGAGTGCCTCAGCAGACTGCGGTTTGAGACAGTGGGGGAGCTAAGCGATGTTGTGGAGGTGGGGAAAGGTGGAGCTGGACTGAAGGCATGGTTGAAGATGAAGGTCTTGAGATGGGCTTTGAAGGAGACAAGAAAAGGGGCGAGGTGAATGGACTGTGGGATGGAGTTCTAGAGGGTGGGGGCAGAAAGGCTGAAGACCCGATCCCAGTGGTGGTGTGGGCAGGGTGGAGCATGAAGGAAAAAATTAGGTTATTTGGATTGTTGCATCAATCAGCGCTAGGAAAGAAAAACAAATCTGGTCAACATACATTTTTTAAAAGTACTTGTTTCCTTTACATTCACTTGAAACTGAGGTCCCATCTGTCTTCAGGTGAACGTCAAAGATCTCGGGGCATTATTTGAAAAGAGAAGGGAGTTTCTCCTGATGTTCTGGCCAAGAATCCTCCAGATAAAACTGTTCATTCACTTCATGGTGGTTGTGAAACATTGGTGCACACAAATGGGCAGCCATGTTAGACTGCAAAAATAGTTGCTATCCTTTACATCATATACTGTGAAGTGCTTTTGAGACGTTCTCCTGACGTGAAAGGCATGATGCCAAATGCAAGTTTTTCGTAATCACAAGGTAGATGGAATCAAAATTAATATTACAAATGAAAAAAGATTATGATGATAACCCACATCACAAAACGCTTCGAATGATTTACTGTAAAGTGTAGTGACTGTGTATTTTGTAGGACTATGGTGGGGACATAAATGCTAAACTGATTCAAATGGGGTTGAAAATGGGGAAATCACAAACTGTAAGTTACGATCATGGAAGTAATTTCCTTTTGGACTGTTTATTGGCTGGGAAATGATCTAAAGCATCTGATAAAAGATTGGAATGGAAAAGACTGGCAGTAAAATGGGCTTTGTCAGCCAATGGGATTGTGAATGGTAATGTCTTCCTGGAAAGAGGAGGTAAGCGGGGTATCCTTGGAGCTGAGCTGACCCCAAGGTGACGTGCTAGGGAATGGAATGTTGCGATTTAACGCTCTTCCAAAGCACATGGCACCACAGCCATGGAGTTAATGACTCATTTTAGTTGGGAAATTGATTGCGAGCATACCGGGAGAAATTCTCTTCTCTTTTCAAATAGTGCCATGCACTCTATAATGTCCATCTAAACAGGCAGACAATGCCTCGCCTCAATGTCTCATCTGAAACGTGGCACCAGCACTGCATTGGAGTGTCAGCATGGCTTATATGAGTTCCATGTTTGTGGAGCTTGAACCTGCAACTTCTCCCTCAGAGGCAAGAGTGCTACCAACTGAGTCAGGCTGACATATCAAATGCATCTGATTTTGTCTCGATGGACATCTGGTACATTGCATTCCATATTTTTACATTCCTCTGTGAGAAGAAATGTAATAATGAACAAGATACAAACTATTGTGAAGCCCATTGCAGAAGAGACAGTTGGAATTACAGGTTTATCATTGAATTATTACCTTATTTTCCTTGGTCCATTTTCACTCTTTTAGGAAATCCATCTATGAAAACGCAAATCTGAAAAATGTGTAATAAACTCCAATGATGATCTAGGAAGATGGGGAGAGGCACAGTCTTTTGACCAGAGAATAAAAAATACTTGGGGGTGATTAAAAGGCATTAATCTACCTGAGAAGTTTAGATGATCTCACAAACCACAAGGATGGAGCGGTAGCGATTTATGGCTGTAATGTGACCAGTGAGTCAAATTATAGCTTTGAAATCACCCCCAGGGTATTTTTAGTTTACAATATAAACTTTCTGACGTTGTGTTATTCAGTTTCTGTGCTTGCAGGGTCTTGGTGGGGTGTCTCTCCATTACTGCATTGTTCCTGTATCACTTGCCTGCAAAAAAAACAGAAAGAAACATATTTTGTTTAAGGCTGGATTGTTAAAAATGATTAAATCAACTAATCTTGAATTCACCCTGATTGACAAATTATTGTATGCAGGCTGGAGGCTCTTATCTTTAGTTCTGCATGTTTATTTTGAAATAAACAACCAATTTATAGCTTGTATATAATTTAGTGTTAGAGGAAACTTGGATAATAGGCTCTCGGCTTTTCCTGCTAAACAAAATACATTGGAGTCTAAAACTGGTGATAGTGAACTTTTCGTACACAGCTAAAATGGAATATACCATAATAATAAAAATAATCTTTGGTGCTCTCTCTTTGGGGCTGGGGCTGGGCTGAGAACCTGGCCCCAGGTTATTTAATGGTTAATGCAGCTTGGCAGGGATTGCAAGTTGCAGGCTTGTTAAGATTGGCAAGTGGAGTTGGGGGAGAGGTAAGCTCGGTCTCCTTGGAGCTGAACTAGCTCCGAGGTGACATGTTTGGCAATGGAATGTCAGAATCAAGCCAACCCTCTGTGGTGGTCTCGGTAATCCAGTTCCTGAGCCAGGCGGGTCCGCAGTGCTCTTGTCAACCTGTGCCTAATACTTTCTGGAATTAGGTAAGCAGGATGCGTCCTTCCAGGGAAAAAGTGAGCATTCCACCCCAACAAATATCTCTGAAATTTTCATGTGTAGTTTGGATACGTGGAACTCTGTTTGGTTTGGATACTCTTAAACTTGATGATGGGTTTCCACATGTGTAAGACACCCGGCTGAGCTAAAAAAAAAGTGTTTTATGGACCAGTCTGACATACATTGGTGATTGGCTTTCCTGGAGATACTACAGCAGCATGAAAATATTTTGCAACTAAAATGCACAGATTAAATTATGAAAATAGCTATTCATGCCGAAACATGCCGAAGCTGTTGCTCAGCTAATGCAGTTAATACAGATTGCTCCCTTGTTAAGTTAATGCTATAAAGTCTTTTGCTTTCTCTTTGAATGGTTGCTTCTGGTGAATAGACAAGGCACCAAATGAATCAAATTATTTTATTCAGATAGTTTGCAGAATCTGAATTTAAAGGTTAACAAAATGTCTCTGATGTAAATGAGGTAATAAAGTTGTTGCAAATTTTCATACAGGTAATCAGAGACAACTTAAGTGATGGGTTTCTATGTATATCGGACACCCGATTGCCAAAAAACGGCTTCTGTTGAAAACACTGCAAGACAGATTTTATAGTGGCTCAGTTTTAATATCTTTCTTTACCATTAGTGTTTATCAATATGCACCAGCAGAACCCAGGTGGCTCAGATAGCCTGGTGCGACACTCAGTCATGAAGGCTCAGTGATATGAGGATAAGTTTAGAAGAGATATCAGGAAGTGGTTAATATTAATAAACCTTGCATTTGATAAAATGTCTTTCCCAAAAATATCTGAAACTGCTTTACAGTATTTATACTGTATTGTTACTGTAGTGTACTGTACTGTTAAATGTAGTGATTGTATTTGTAGGTGAATACTACCACACCATCTCCAACCTCCGTTTCCTCTCCAAGATCCTGGAATGAGTTGTTGCTTCCCAGCTTGACTCCTTCCTCTCCACCACTCCCTTCACAAACCCCTCCAATTGGGTTTCCGCGCAATGCACAGCACAGAAACAGCCCTGGTCGAAGTGACAAATGACATTCTGTCCACCTGTGACCAGGACTCCCCTGCCTCCTTATCCTCCTGATCTCTCTGCTGCCTTCGACACCGTTGACCACTCTATCCTCATCCAATGCCTCTCCTCTCACCTCAACCTTCACGGCTCTGTCCTTGACTGGTTCAGATCATACCTTTCACACCACCTCCACTTCATCTCCACAAACAGTTTCTCCTCTACCCCTGCACCGTGTCATGCAGAGTTCCTCAGGGCTCTGTCCTTGGTCCCCTCCTCTTCAATATCTACATGCTCCCTCTTGGTAACATCATCCGCAGACATAGGGGTCAACTTCCACATGTATGTGGATGACATCCAACTGTACCTCTGTGCCTCATCTGAGTCAAGGTGACTCATCTGAGTCAGAATTAGACACTCAGACGAGTATTCCCAGTTAACTACAATGCCTGGTAATGTTCTCACTGCCAGAAATAGGATGTTGAGAGCTACCCTCTGAGTGTTTTACTCCTTTTCTTGTTTTCGGATTATTACAGAGACTCTAGGATACATACGGTAGAAAACAACAGTTCTTTATTAAGACCTAGCAACCCTAGGCTACCTTGCATGTAAGAAATACAACAATGTAAGATAAACAATAATGGAATCAAGTATAACTAACACACACACACACAACTATATCAACTTGAAGCACAATACTATATTAGTAAAACAGATTTAAACCAACCCAACAGTACAGTCTTCCTGTAAACGTCAGTACGTACTGGATGTCGACCATTAAACAGTGACCACAAGGCACGCCAAGCATTGCTTTTTATAGGCGCAAATGGCTCTGCCCACCATATGATGTGTGGGGTGAAGCTGAGGCCTAGCTGCAGATATAAACCCAGCCAAGTGAGGAGCAACTCATTCGGGAGTGGAGTCAGGAGAGCGCGGTGTGGGTGGGGGGTAAGTGAGGGAGCGACACTGATTCACAAAGTGACGTTGGCGTGACATCATAATTTAAAAAAAAGCAACAATGGTAGCCTGGGTCTGTGACAACAACAACAAACCAGCCTGGGCATCCTCTGCCGGGCCCATCATGGCTCCTGGCTGTCCAAGAGCAGCAACCCCACATGTCCCATCACTCACTCCCTCCACACAAACCGCCTCCTTAAGGCTAACACAACTTCCCCTCCCTCATACGTACCCTCCCCAACTCTCCACTTTCCACAACCATCACTCCTGTACACCCTAAAATCCTCTTCTCATCACTCTTCCTCCCTCCAGCAAACCCACCTGCATTTCCCTCCAAAATGTCCATTCCCTCTCAAACAAAGCCCTCACCATCCTTGACCTCATCCTGGACGAGCACCTTGACATTCTTGGGCTCACCGAAAGCTGGTTCTTCCCTAATGACTCCATCCCACTAGTTGAAGCCTCCCCTCCAGGCTACACCTTCCACCACACCCCCCGTCCAAACCAATGTGGCGGCAGGCTGGCCTTCATTTCCAAAGCCTCCCTTGGCTTAAACCCCTATGCTTCCCCTCCTTTGAGCGCTTCATGTTCTTCCATCCCTCTCTCCCACTGAAAATCCTTCCGGTCTACTACCCCCCTAAGCCTTCCGGTTCCTTCCACACAGACATCTCTACTCTCCTATCTTCCCTGTCCCGCTGCTCTGAACGCCTGTTCATAATGGGTGATTTCAACCTCCACCTAAACTCCCCCTGCACCACTTTTGCGAACTTCACTGCCCTCCTCTCCTCCCTAAACCTCACCTTTCACATAAATTCACCGATCCACAACCGTGGTTATGCCCTCGACCTCATTATCACCCACAGCCTTGACATTTGTGGAGTCTTGTAGCTCAGTGGTTAGAGCACTCGCTTTGCAAGCGAGAGACCTGAGTTCATGTCCAGGCAGGGCGAAAACTCCACACGCCTAATAATAATCCCTCCAAAACAAAAAACAATAATAAATTGGTAACTTTCAATCTACGACTGTTTGTGGGACATTGCTGTGTGCAATTGGCTGCCGCGTTCGCCCACAAATATACAGTCAATTCACTTTACAGTGTGTTCTGTGAAGCGCTTTGGGACGTCCTCCCGACGTGAAAAGCGCTATATCAAATGCAAGGATTATTATTATTATTATTTATTATTTCCAACCTTAGCATAGTGGACAAGGCCATCTCGTCCCAGTTTCTCATCTCCTTCTCCTCTCACATCCCTCTCTCCTTCACCAAGCCCTCTACCATTCTCTACCGCCCATGGAAAAGGCTAACCCCTGAGACCCTTACAAAGGCCCTCACATCATCAAATATTCTATCCCTCTTGCTTTCCACCCACGGAGATCCTTACAGCCATACAGCTGCTCCATGATCGCCTCTCCTCCACCTTCAACTCCCTTGTCCCCCTGAAATCCCCTGAAATCCAGGACCATCTCCAAACCCACCCGATCCCCCTGGTACAACAATCATCTCCGCAGCCAAAAAACCCAAACCCGGCTGCTTGAGTGCAGAAAATTGGCCTGACAGTTCATCGCCAACTGTGGCTCGAGCATTTCTACAGCTATCGCCGTTCCTTGACACGCGCAAAAACGGCCTTCTACTCCAACATCATCTCTGAGGCTAAACGCAATCCTAAATTCCTTTTTTCCACCACCCAAAACCTCCTCCGTGCGCCTCCGCAAGCCTCCTCAATCTTTGCATCCAACGCCAAGTCCCCTTCACCCTCCCCATCATCAGCTCCTACTACGACCCCCAACCTACATTCTTTCCTCCCCATCTCTCCTTCCTCCCTCTCACCCACCATCACCTCAATGAAACCCACCACCTCTGCCTCGACCCCCTTCCCACCAACCTGCTGGTCACTGAGGTCCCCTTCCTCTGCCCATTACTGGCTGATGTCATCAACCAGTCCCTCTCCTCTGGATGAGTCCCAGCCCCCCTCAAAACTGCTGTCATCACCCCACTCCTGAAAAAACCTTCCCTAGATCTCACAAAGCCCAGACACTACCACCCTATTGCAAACCTGCCCTTCCTCGCAAAAGTCCTAGATCGCGTTGTTGCAAATCAACTCCGCGCACACCTCTCCTCCCACTCCCTCTTCGAACCCCTCCAGTCTGGTTTCCGCCCTGCCCACAGTACAGAGACTGCGCTTGTGAAAGTCACAAATGACATCCTCTCTATCTGTGACCAGGGCTCCCTCTGCCTCCTTGTCCTCCTGGACCTCTCCGCCGCGTTCGACACAGTCGATCACGTCGATCCTCCACCACCTTTCCTCCATCATCCACCTCAGTGGGACCGCACTCGTCTGGTTCAAGTTCTACCTCACGAACTGCCAGCAGTACATCTGCACAAATGGCTTC